ACGCCACCTGCTCCACTTTCTTGAGAGAGCTTTCTCCGAATAAGAAACGAGACGATGGATAATTAGAAAACAGCGAAAACAGCGAAAGTCAATTAGCTTTTTGTTTACATTTTCGAGTAATTGTGTTGTTCACATTTTCATCTCAATTACGAAGGGATATTGAGTCGCCATTTGATGATTTACGTTTACTTTCTTTCTTATGAAATATGGCAAGACTAGAGTCCTCGGCTTGAAGGCTATGGAGTTTAGCTCGTTGAAAAACTGGTGTAACTTATGCGTGTATTTTTGATATGTGATGAAAATATCAGTAGTATGAAGTCAAGGAAAAGTTTTTCTCTAATAAATATACATTTAAAATTGGAAGCAGGACGGGGTTTGAACCGTTTTTAATTATGAATAGGGTTTACTTCACGTATAAAGTTTATTTCCTCCCTATTCAAGATTTAACTTGCTATCAAGTGTCCCCACAAAGAAAGTGTCAAGTTTCCCCTTATTTTTTCAACCACTTACAAATTAATTTTGGATATGTAAAAAATAGGCAAAATAGGCAAATTTTATAAGCTTTCTAAAACTGAATTTCTGAACTGAAAGCAGAATTTGATTATCTCTGTCCGTTAAAAAATTACAGCACAAAATGTGGGAGAAGTGGAAAAATTATTTTGCCACTCAGTCAAAAAAATGTTTTTCTCGAATCGGAAAATGGCTCGTGACCACTTCATTCTTCAAGGGATGCCCCGGACAAAATTAGTCATGCACTATACATATCTAAGGATCGTGAAAATGTAAAATGTAAAATTTTTCCTTGTCAACCTGTCCGCCAGGAGACCAATAGACTCACGCGAAATGTGAAAAAATCTATTTGACGCAACCCCAACATACCCGTAAGGGTTGAACCCAGACAACTAAAAATTTCCAAAACCTATATTCGCAAGATCAAAGCCAATAAGATGGGCTTCAAAACGTACACCATTAAAACCGCGCCAAAATACAACGAAGGTGAAAAAGCTGGAGCTGAAACAAATTTTCCAAAACCTTTTGAAAAAATATTGAAATCGATTCCTAGAATTTCCTCGTCGTGGATTATGAAAACCACTGCCCCGTTGACCTCGAAGCGTCAATGGTGTAATGTTCTACTCATGTTGAAGTAAAAATGACGTTCGTTCGAATTATAAATTCAAAGCCAAGCAAAATTTCCAATGAAATGCATAAAATGGCTGGCGACGGACAAAAATGAGAACATCTCTAATACATTCGCTTCAACCATGAATATGAACTTTGCACTTTATTTGAAAGAGTGAATCATCAAGAGATTGACCCCATCTATCAAAAACAAACGCGTTCTATTTTGGTCTGACATGCGCACGTGCTAGAATGCCAAAATAGTGACAGGGTACCATCGAGTCAAAAAAACTGATTTCGTCGAGAAAAAAGACATCCCTCCAAACGTACCTTAATTTCGGTCCATTGAAAGATTTTGGGCACTAATTGCGTAACAATATACTTAGAAAAAAAGCACACCAAGAAATTTCAAAAAACTTCGACGGGCTATGGAGAAAGTCATCATAGAAGTTGATGAAACGAGTGGCAAAGCGCTCATGAGAGGTGTTCGACAAGGTCGGCTCTCCACCGGCATCCAAGATGTATTTTGACAATTGAAGGACAAAAAAACTTCGGTATACTCATCATTAGTATAACACAAAAGTTTCATTAAATTTGATTCACGCATTCATTTTTACTGGTCTAAAACGTTCTGACACTTTCTTTCTGGGGACATTTGGTAATTTACTCTTAATTTAGTATCATAGCGAGTTTGAAATTTTGAGAATTAATTGGTTTTATTTGATCTAAACAGTTTCCAAATCATCCAATGGCAAATCATCGCAGTCGCACACAAACCTATTTAATATGCCGTCATAGTTTATAGCAAAACTTGCTGCAGGTACCTATGTACATATTCTCAGAACTGATATGATGAAAGGCCAACTTATTTATATCTGGGACATTAAGAAAAAAATATAGAAGCTAAAATATATCGCATCACTTAACATAATTTATCTGCTGAGCACTCGCAGCCCAGTCCATACTGCGTACACAACAATAAATTTATACAGCAAGAAGCACGTAGGTCCAGAGTTGGGCTTCGAGTTTCTTCTTCTTCCGGGCTTACTCAGCTCGGCTACAACTTTCTCCAGCACCCGGAGTACATGTGGTATCGCTTTCACCACCATCTCCTCCTCAGCTCCGTGGGCCCTGTCGTGTTTCTGGAGATGGACTCATCTAATGGAAAGACGAACATACGAACCATCTCGGATTACGTTTTATTCAAACTAATAGTTTCCATGTCACGAGATGTCCTTGACCATTGATTGGATATATTCCAGTATTAAACTGGCTGTACGTGTATGTATCCAGAAAGAACTGTATCGTGAGAGAGCACTTTCATTGTCTTTCTTGTCCTGGATATTTTCATAATCATTGAAACACGCCATGTTCGGATGTGACCATGAAAGTTTCAGATATGTATTTAGGATGCTTAACACGAAGATTTGCTTTGTTTAACATCGATTTTGGATATTTATAACAACACTTTGGGGGGAACCGAAGACAATTTACTTGTATCTTTACAATTCCATCCGACGTAGCATTCATACATAGATGTCTAATCTAATCGGTCTTCTCCTCCTACACACATTTCCCAATTTATCAATCATGTGACAGCCATTTTTGTCTTGTCAGTTGAAGATCTCTCTTCTTTATGAAATGCTCGTATTGTGTGCGTCTTATATGTTATATGTATGTATCAAGTATACAAAATACATACCTAAGCACTTATACTCTATAAGTTATACACACATAAACGTAAGAACAAAATATTCAGGTTGGCTGAATTACCTTAACCGAAGTTGTGATACTGCTAGGACATTTTTTACAGAACAGCGATGACAGTCAAGTAGAGCAAATAAATTAACACTGTTTTGAAAGTAAGCAGATTTGACCCAAATTTCTTTTGCTATTTTTAACCCCTGAAACACTCTTGTATGTACCTTTTGCGAGTCATTTATTACTCTGTTTCTACTTGAAACTGGACAGGATCACATCACGCCTAATGTTGAAATGTCCTCCCTGCACATTGTGCTGTAATGAGAAGTCTGACATTATTTTTTCCCAACTTTCTTCGAACGAACTTGCCATCGCCAAGTGTGTGTACTACAACTATTTATTATTTACCGTAAACTTAATGACAACTCTGACACATTCTAATACCGCGGGATGCGGGATGGTATCGTGCCCGATGATGTTGGGGGAACTTTTTGGGGGGATACTCGTCAAAGAGTGAAAGTTCAAACTTTTACACACGTGTTGTTTCCAACCATGGAATGGAGATAGTGTTTATGGACTCCATATTTTGGCGTCTATTTCCCAATCTCAACCAGTCCTTTAAATTGATTGAGTGTGCAGATTGTACACACCTTGGACGAGTGTTTCTTTCCCAACATAAATAAAACTTTATTTGTGCGTCACTTTTTTATGCATGTCTACTATTACATAAAGCACCTACTTATTAAATTGTATATTTGGCAAGCTGTACTGAACTCTATTTTCAAGTAGAAATGTAGGGCATTCTTTTTGTTGTCGTCATAATCATAATCAATAAAAATTTTAGTTAAGCCTGTCTTAAAAGATTTTCAAACGCTTGGTGAGCTTGAATTGATCACGATTTATGGAATCGATTATGGATGAACAAAACCTGAGAAAGTTGATGTCAGAAAGCCTTCATGACGCAATTCCAACCAACCGTGGTACTTTTATCCCACTTTCTCCAACCTCCTCCTTGCTAGAGTTGGGTACAACAAAGAAGCAAGAATGATAAATCTGTGTAAATGTAGTCTGGAGTCTGCAACTTATCATTTCTGTCCCTCAGACGACCCGCTTTTCCACCGTCGTTGTCGTTGTACATATGTAAAAGAGCGTCTATACCTCATACGTCCTTGGTATTGATTTTGATTTTTCTCCACGGTTGAGATGTCTTGGCCAGTGATGTTTTGTAGCACGCAATGTCAATTTTGTCGACTTTGTCGGGTCTGTATTTGACGATTGGAGGTTGCAATAAGAGCTTATTAATAAATCATTCCATTGTTTGGTGAACTTCCTTACTCGCTCGGTAGTCATGATTCTTGAGTTTTACTTTGTAACAAGTAAAACGTTTCCGTGCTATAGAGTGATAAAGTGTCAAGGAATAGGGCTCAGTAGCCACATTTAATCCTGGAGTGAGGCTTAAAATTATTCGAAGCCTGGCAGAGGTTTATTTTCGCATCATGACGGGAGAAAGCTTTATGCTGTCATCTGAGGTGAAAAAAATTTGGCTTTCACGTTGACGGACGAACGAGGCGATAAACCAATGACCAACCATTACGATTCAGAAATCGGTTGGCTTCCACCTCGTGTGTAGCAGAATACGTGGAGCCTATGTTATCATCACCAAGTTTCCTCATGTTTATGCATTGAATGGAAAAAGGTTGTGTGTACGAGGGGGGTATGTTCTCCGATAAGTTGATGTGGTAAAGTCAATACTTGAATATTCTAGTACGTGCACTGAAAAGCTTCTTACCTTGGTTTTCTGAACCAGTTCAGTTCGATATGTGTGGAAAATATTTGAGCGGATATCAAACTTATTGAATATGATCGATTTTTCGATTTATTCGGAAAACCGGAAAACATTTTGAGTCCTGAAGTAGGAACCAAAGAAAGTGAGAAGTCGCTCGGACGTTAAGTTAGGGGTCCAATCCATGCGAAGAAATCGATATGCTGTCGCTAAGAAAATACTAGCAGGCACGTGTATGGTTGTGTGTGTACATGTGTGGATATTGCAGTAGACAAACAGTTTTTCACTTATCGTCTCGTACTTACATGTCCCATATTTTCTAAATGTAAACTGCTTAAAAATTTACCCCAGTTTAACCAATTTGTGAAGTGCGTACAGAGAACTCGTACTATCCATCCACTCAAAATGTAATTTATTTTTCACATCAATCACCCACGATGTACTGTATTTGTAGTTGTGTTGTGTACTTCATCTCCATGTTAGGTCGCGTGCATTGCACCGGAAATGGAGCATAATTTATTCCATTTGTGAACCCCACCTGATTTCTCCATATCGGTCAATCTACATATTAATGTTCAAAAGTGTGAGTCATTTTTTTATCGCTAACAGTGCCATGCTAAGCTTAATTTAGGCGATAAATCGTGAACTTATGGAACTTTTGGAACAAGTTGGTTTAGCTGTCTCTCAGGTGAATTAAGTGTACTTTACATTTTCAATATTTGCCACAATCATCTTTGTCAATACATATGTATATTGAAAATTAGTTAAAAATCTCACCAATTTGTCAAATTCCAAAGACAAGTGAGAAACCTCAACTTCCCAAATTTAAACATTTTAGCAGCAACTTGCAAAGCTGAAAGAAAGGTGTTGAATTTAGTATTGTCCAAGTTTATGCTTAATGAGGTTCTTGCATGCGTTCGCCGTTTATGGAGAAAGTTCAGATTTGCATTATCACAGGCAGTAGCGGATACGATGGCAAATAGGTTACGCCACGCCTGGTTAATTCCCATGCTGGGTTGACAGGTTGAATAAAGAAATTTTCTTATTTGTGGCCTTTTATCCAGACTTGTTGAAATCAATTAGCCGGGAACACGAAATGAATAAATCACACTAGAAACTGAATTATGTCTGATATGGAAATTGCAGTGAGAAATGGTATAAAAAATCATGTGAACATATTTTACTTCGGCTCTTGGTTCACATGAGCATTCTGATCTTGTCAAACAAATACATAATTCTGAAATGCACACAAATATGTTACTCGAGTTCACATGTGTTAAAGCACACGAGTTATTTTATCATTAAACATTCAATATTTAACCATGTGTCAGATATTCCTATTAAAAAATGGGTTTATTGGATCTCCAATAAACGTTAAAAGATTATGCACACAATTGTTTAAAGCATAACAATACGCTTCATTTATGTCACTTTGATGATTTCAGGATGCTTGTATATCGCTCAAATAGCAAAATTCTTCTTTCAATAAGAGCAGATTGAGCATGGTTAAGATGGCATGACGGCACACGAAATAACATGATCCTTAGAAAACCGTCTCTGAAAATCATGTTCCTTTGTCCATTTAACATGGTCTTACTACATAATTAAACGAATGATAAATAACCTTCTGTCAGCTAATGCAGTGTACATTACAAACTTGTAAATGCTTAAATTAACATTGTATAACGACTGAATTACAACAAAAAATGAGTCGCATTTGACTTTTTTCTGCATCCGTCTACATCAAATCCCACTATTCTAACATCTGTTCTGAGTTGAAACTATTGAAAGTTGACTTAGTGTGGGAACTTTTCTATGGCATGGCCTGCAAAAAAGTTGGGCCAAATTAAATAGCTCATGCATAAAAGAAACGAAAGAAAGCAAGTTGTCGAGTATTTTGAGGAGCTGCTGCCATTCCAAATTCATTGAGAAGCAGTAGACAAATCTTAATGAGCGAGGTAGTAATGATCCCAATAACAGTTGAGCAGTTATAATAAAGGACAGAGCTAATTAATTAATTGCTTCTCGGTGACTATGTATCTGCGGCGCCGTCAGTCGTCGTACTTTTCTCTGTGTATGGTAACTGGTCTTGTTTTATTTAGTCGTTGTCATAATTCACGTGAATTGGTGTGTAGGCATCCAGTTAAGATAACTAGGTTTCGTTTATATGTAATCAGCATGAAGGACAAGTACATATATGTAAAATCTAAAATTTTAATGGGTTCTTCTCCCCCACGCATTTTCACTTTTGTCATCCCCGCCCTACCCTTTTGGCCCACCTTTCAATTTGATAAGAGAATTAGAAACAGAAAGTCGCATTAATAATAAACGATAAAATATTTGACGAACAATGCATAAATTCACTACTTTTCGTAAGTTTTTAGCATAACAAGTTGTTGGAATATCTTGCGCAAAATGCATGACACGGAATCTGACCAAAGATATTGAAACTTGTATTGATAATTAAATTAAGTAAATGCTGATTGATATAGCCACATATTAAGCGCACCTTTGCACCTGCTCATGTAAATTGTAATAAAGCAATAAGGTTTTGACTAAATTTTTATTCAGCAACTTTCTTACCCAAATTTGGTAGGATCGAACTAATCAAGTAGAATAAAGGTGACGATAGTTTTGAAATTCTACAGAATTTGTCGCGGCAGATTTCCCACAATAATTTTTTGCATCCATAAAATTCACAAAATCCATTCTAGAGATATGCCATGTCTGCTTTTGCAATTATCCATTGTTTGTTTTGTTTTGTTCTGGTTTTGTTGGTGTGCTTAGGTGTTGTTTTTGTCATGGTGTGTGTGGTCTTGCAGATTTGGCTATTTAAAATCTGTATTATTATTCAACTAGTCCTATGCATATACAGTACAATATGTATGCATATGTAGACGTATGTACATACATGTGCACATATGTGGGCACGTACATATGTACGCATTATTTGTTGGATGGACTCTCGGTTCGCCTGCTACTTGGATTTAGCAAACTAATGATGTTACTGACCGAGTGGTTGACTAAGGAGGACAACCCTTCACCGACAGAATCACCGATCTTAACGCCCTTTGGATATGTTGTAGTCCTAGGTGAGTCTAGCAAAAGTGAAGAAGGATTTCATTCAATGGCCCCATTTGCGCCCGCCACACCCACTCAAAGGTGCGAAAAACACGAAAAATACCCTGTTTTCGTTCATTCAAAAAATCACCAAAAATCCAATTTTAATCGGATTTTCATAATTTAAGCATTTTTGTGATCCTAGATAGTTGCTTTATCATATCCAATAGCTAACTCAATTTTTTTGAAATTTTGATTTTTTCGAAGGCATACCCCTGGTCAGGAAAGTTTCGAAAATACTCAAAAAATTAAAAAAATTGAGTTTGCTATTGGATATGATAAAGCAACTATCTAGGATCACAAAAATGCTTAAATTATGAAAATCCGATCAAAATTGGATTTTTGGTGATTTTTTGAATGAACGAAAACAGGGTATTTTTCGTGTTTTTCGCACCTTTGAGTGGGTGTGGCGGGCGCAAATGGGGCCATTGAATGAAATCCTTCTTCACTTTTGCTAGACTCACCTAGGACTACAACATATCCAAAGGGCGTTAAGATCGGTGATTCTGTCGGTGAAGGGTTGTCCTCCTAAGAGAACAAAAAATGCTTAATCACAGCAGGTATTTTGTTGCATTGTTCTCTAAATCGAAATGTTTAAAAGGCAAGTGGACGGTTCAAGTGGAGGAGGGTAAGCTATAGCAGGTGGATGATTGCAGAGTTTGAGGCTATGATAAATTTGCATATAAATTCACTGATGAGATAAGCCTCAGCATTTGCAATTTTTTATGAAATTATGCAATTTTGGTATTGTAAGCCATTTTTCTATTTTGGCACATCCGTATCCGGTGGTTGCGAAAAATCTTTCATTGGCATTTTTGTAAATATTTTCAACATACAAATTACACGTACACTTTTTATAAATACGACGGAAGTTAAATGGAAGGCAAACTGAATTTCATTGTATGATTAACTTTCGTGTTTGTGTTTGTGTTACACATATGAACTTTTATTTCCACTCGGTGCGAAGCCTCGTAATGAGAACACAACAAATGGACCATAATCTCGAAATTAAATAAATACACGAAAACTGCCATAATCATGATCCCAATATTGCATTCTTGGAAAGACAATAAACTGAGATATACAACTTGTAGATACACATCTCAAACCACGTACACAACGCATCAATGAATCGGGTTAAGATCTTGTGAGAAAGTTGGTTTTGTAGGAGTCTACAAGTCTCAACACACGTAATTGTATGTACACATGTACACCCTGATAAATATGGGACGTAGTGGATGGTTTGATGTGGTTTAGTTTGGTCGTGGTTGATTAGCTTATTTGATAATTACGTTCTCAATTCGCATCCCAAATGGGGGTGTTGTCCCGTTACTTCGCTCTTCCTTTTGTAACATAATAGCCCCTAATGGCTAAACGGTCATATGTAAAGGTTGATTCAACTTCATTTTCATTAGCAAGTCTTACAGATGACTGAATACACAAATGGGTGCACTGTCTTTTAAGGGTTCTGTGCGAGTTGGTATGAATGTTAGTATGAATTAGTAACTGCATCATGAATAAATGTAACGCACATATTGCATTGGACAAAACCTGCGAAATAAATTTTTTGATTCACTGTCGTCATTTCTCTCGGGGTTTATCATAAGAAAGAAGCCCTTGTGTTTGTCGCTTGAAAAGTTCTTGACTTGGCTGCTTGTGTCGCAAAATTGTGCCGTTTCTTTGAAAGTATCTCGTTTTTGAACAATTATGCAAAATCGTGCTCAGTCTGCTTTTCTGCGTCTGGACTAAACGCCTAACACAGATGAGCTACTTCTTTTTACCAGGGATTTAGTCCTTTTCATTGTAAGAAGGAAACTTTTTACGTCATCAGATAGAGTAGAAAGAAAAGGAAATGAGGACACGACACGTGCTAAATAAATTATCACTGTCACGTCAATCTTCCTTCTATTTTAGCAGCAGCAGTTGGTGGTGTGGAGAAAAGCACTTTGACTGGAATCGAAACCCAAAACCATCGAGATGGATACGAATGTATGAGCATTTTGTTCATCACCCCGCATCATGAAAGCTTTGATCTTGTACAAGCAGTCAACAAAGATCAAATAACAAACGTACAATGGTTTGTAAAATTACAAGTATTTCCCACAAAGAAGCATAATTGTCCTCAATTCATTTGCCTCGTTTGTAGCGAGAATGACTTTTACCAAACCTTAAATTAGTAAATAATAGGTTCTGGTTTACTAAAATTACTCAAATATAGGCTTTAAATGGTACATTAGTAAATCAAATTGCACTATTCAGATAAACTTGATTAACTGTAACTTCAAAAGAAATGCTTTTACTTCTTTCACCCAAATAATTCTAGAGTCAGAAAGATCAATAGCGTTTTTTGCGTAGGTACTTTCTGTAGTCTCATAAGGACTTTAGACTACAAGGAATACGCCAAACTTTGCAATATCGAGGTTCAGGGCGTACTGGTTGTGAGAATGCAGTTTATGTACGAATTGTCTGCAATGTAGAACTGCCATGGAACTCAACGTCAACCCTGAAGTACATATTTTCAAATTATTACTATCCCTCAGTTCTATCTTGCCATTAAAATCAAATTTCTGACAATAAGGATCATTCAAATTCCTTTCATAAATACAGTCAAATAGTGCTCTAATTATGCATACATGTTTTTAAGGCTTAAATAAATTCGGTGTTTTTTGTACGCACAAATTGTGAAAGTTGATTTTCTTTTCCTCGCTGGCTTTATCGTTCTCCCGACAAAAGAACGTATCTGAACTTTAATATGACGCCACAATACAAGGACACAATATCGAACCAGTTACACAACACACACACTGGTGCTTGCTGTCAAGTTAAAGTGAATTATTGTATACTTTTGTAAAGTAGTACAAAACAATGCAGTTGTACCGCATTCGCATGAACAAAATGAAATTGAAATTCACATTTTTTCCGAGTTTGCAACATTTTGTTTGGATGTAAAAAATCTCATAAATCTCAGACATACATGTATGTACTGTAGACGTGCAATAATAATATAACCATATGCACGACCAACGTTCAGATCTATGTGAATATGGCTGTTTCTCATTTTTAATCTTTCTCCCAATTTTATGGTTTCTTTCAGGTCGGAGGAAGAGTGCAGTAGAATTGCTTCAAGAGACGAAAGCATTTTACGTGAAATCCGAAAGTGTATTGGACAACAAGCAAGAGTTTAAGAATGCGGAACATCTTCATGTGACAACTAGTCCCCAGTCTCCCACATTTAACATGTCACTTGGACACAGCTACCGAGACCGAGGTGGACCCCCATCAGCCCCACCCACAATGTCAAACTTTCCCTACACCATGTTCACCTACACATGCGGAACATGTCCCCCGTACCCCCACGAGCACTTGGACCACTTGCATCTAATGCATTCAAATTACCTCAACTCCATTAAACGGGAGAAACACCATCACCAAAGTCACCACAAAAGTTCGAAGCACAGCAGCAATTCAAATACTAATCATTACTCCCAACCACCCAAAATCGTTGATGGAACCAAGAGCAACAATTTTGGAGAAAATTGGGGGGAATATGTCGAGAAAAAGACGAAGCACTTCTCCTCGTCCTCTGGAAAGAGGAACTCTGCTGCACCACAACCAGCCCCTCCTCCTGGAATCGCCCAACCCATCCCACGCAAGGAGTTGGCCTCCAACCACTCGAGTGGGAGTGGAAGTGGTAAAAGCCATAGCTCGGCTCCCAAAATAGCTCCGGCAGGAATGGTGGTCCCCACACTCGTTTCGAACGGTGAAATGTGTCCTCCCACCACAACTGGAACCATGACTTTCACCTCATTTAGTCAGAGTGGGTCTCTGTACAGCAGCCTGGAGAAACATGTCACTGCGAACTTGCCAATTGTCAACTTGAAACCAAATCAAGGTAAGAATAACTTTTGATGCGTGTCAATTCATAGAGCATCAAATATGCCGAATTATGATAAGCAATTCGATAATTGTGAAACAAAAAAGTTTCTTGGTTGCCCAGTTTCAGTAGATATTTTTGTCCAAAATGAACTATATAGGATGGTACACCTACTATAATCTGTCTGTTAGCTTATGCAACTACTGCGTGTATTAGAATGAGTTACTAATTTCACATTTGCATTATGACAATAAATACTACTGTTGGATTACTAATAATCGTTAATTGGCACAGTTAAGTACATGCAGCAACCATAATAATTTTGTAAGAATTTAAAAAGGATACGTAACTTGCAGGCCATAAGATCTGTAGATGATTTCTTCATGTCAGTAATTTCAGATTATTACGACGTTTATTTGTTGCAACGATTATTTAAACTCGTGTTTTTATTATTTTTTCGTATTCATTTTAGTAGGCAGTAGCGAACTTAATCCTCAATTGGTAATCCGCAGATCTCTGACTTTCCCACGATTCCATGCACTATTTCAGGCAAAAAATGAGCTAGAAGGCATTTTATGATCAACATCACACCTTACAACTCGTAGGGCACGGACTTTAATCTTCTGTAATCCATTTATTTATTTTTGTATGACACATGTATTACTGAAGAAAGGTTTTGTCTGTGAGTTGTGAATAAACATAAATTATGAGCAAATACGACAAATGAACTTTAGAATTACAAGTAACAACTAAAGTGCAAGTGAATGCATAAGACTAAGAAATGTGATTGTTTCTTGAGATATTTTATCCACCTCAATTTGTATTTATGCATTTGTGCATCACGCCACTGATGATATTGATCTTGATCTCTTTACTGATTTGCGTACTTCTGAATGCGTATTTCATCAGAAACATTTACATTGACAAAATATGATTCCGATTATTCTGCTCATAAATATAAATATATGCGAAATGATACGAGACATTTATGCTGATGCCAAAAGGAAAAGACTTACAGGCCACAAAACTGCGTCAAAACTGATTTAAATTGCAAAAATCCTCACCAAACAGCAAACTTTCATTAACACAAATACAGAATAGCGTTTTCATTTAATTGGTTATATCGTATTAGTTTAATACTTTACAACATTACATTTACTTTACATAGCTTTCGAATTTTTTCAATTTTACAAGTACAAGAAAAAAAATCATTAAACCCACACGTTGCTGTCAGCCAAATTATAAGTTTATACACGCTTTTATGTATCTATGTATGTATGTGCCGTTCTTGGTTCTTGCACTACTCGTTGGTTGTAGGATAGAAGAAAAAGTTGCAACAAATCCGTGTGTGATGCAATATTAAACGTTTATTAGCTTACGATACATATACTTACAAAAGCTTGTGGGCACTACCTTTGCTCTGTCTGTTAAAGGAATTAATTGATGAATGAACCAAACCTAACTGCAGCAGAAGCAGGTTTGGTTTTTATGTGAATGGTCAAGTCAATGACTTGGAAAGAAGTGAAAGTCGAATGATCTGTCGTTTTGGTCTTTATTTTGTCTACCATAATTCTCGTCGTTATTATTATAGTTATCAATCCATGGTCCATCAATGCATCGTAAGCAAAGGCATTTCTTTTATTGAGCGAGATGCGATACTCCATTCTCAATATTTTCTGATTGTATCCGTCCGTGACACGCTTTGATTGATTAATTATTTTTTCCTTTATCTTAAAATCTCAATCTACGACTTACTATCCCTAAAGATTTTCATTAAACATGTCTTTGTTTAAAAAGTGACATTTTAGAAAATAACAAGGAAAATTAACAGTAAGGAAAATACTTATCTGAGGACTTTATCCTTCATTTATGAACTATAAAGAAGATAAAATGGTAATTAATGGATATAAGTATATAAAAATATATAGAAATGATTAATCAACATTATGTTGGAGATTTTACTGTATCCAGTCATTGAAGTAAATAGAATCTTGTTATACAAATAAATAAGAAAGTTATAGTCTTGCAATTTCTTGAGAATCTCTCTTCACCGATATCATGAGCAGTAATTTGTTGAGTAAAGTCTTGAATTCTATCAATATCTACAATATACTGACTACATCAGCTAGTTTGTACTATTTTGTAGCCGTTGCGGTGATGTTCTTTTATGTGTATACAATTAAAGATAAGCTAACCATTGTTGCCAATTTCGTCTCGTCTAATCATTTGACGTGGACTTGACATGGCATGCAATACCACTAGCACAAGTCTAGTTTGGTGAGTTTGATGATGATTTGATGTCAACCTGTCCAAACTTTGTTGAAAACAAGTGACCGCAAACAAGGGAAAGGAACTTGCACACTTTGCTTTTGTTCTCTGATTTACATGTAGCTACATACATTTGGCTTCTACGTACAGATATTATTGATCGGCGAATTCGTCTGCTTGCCTTACAAATTTTGCAACTTGATACACAGACCAATTTAAATGGATCTTGTTTCCAATGTTTGTTTGCAATCAAAACCAGCAAAGGAATATGTATATGGTACAGCCAAACCGATATAAAGCCAAATATTTTGCATGCATGGCGAAAAAGCAAATCATTATCTTATAGTAGAGATGCAGCTATATTTCTTGCATAGTAATTGCATAATTAGACTGACCAGTCTAATGAATGAATGAGTGAAAATTTACAGTACATTTTCAAACTCATTTATGTAAGTAAAACCAGAGATTTCTGTCAACGGGGAAGATACACACATAAATCGTAAACATATTAAATTAATAAATTCAATAATTTACTCCTGGTTAAACGGTATAACTCGTTTTGAGATAGGTCAAGTGAAATCATACGGGAAAATAAGACTACTACAAATACAAAATAAGATATCTAGCGATAAGTCTATGTGTGTATGCGTACATGTACTTATTTACGTATTAATATTTAAAACAGCGGTAAAAATATTTTAATAAATGCATGACATGTAAATATGTATTAGCGTTATGTAGTTTCCTATAATTAGAGCTATTCGTCACGCCTGCAGATTTTCTGTCTTTGTGTGCACAGAAAACAAACTTGTCTTCCTGTGTGTCATAAAATATTTGTCCTATGAACTTATAGGTTCAATTCAAAATAAAAGCAGTAAAAATGTTGCCTTGTTTAAACAAATTTATGGATTGCATCCACTAAGATTTTACAAACGAGCCAAATAAATGCCACATAGATTCGAAATGCATATCATTTCGTGTTCGGGTGTAGCGGTCTGTTTGGCGTAATGATCTCTCATTTGTGATTTTTTGTCTCCCTTTTTTGTCCAAAAATTCGTTCTAAGCCATTTCAACGTTCGTTTGTAGTTGCTTTGTTGCTGTCGGAGCAAAACAACTAAATAAATTTAAGGTAGATTAAAGGTTAGTAATAGTATGAAACTGGGGATTACGGTACAATGTAATTAATGGCTGTAAATTAAATTACCACGGAACACCACCGGATGCTTTGCAGTAAAATAGATGAATGTGCCTTTCAGAGTTTTATTTTTTAAATATCCACTTCAGTAGTTCTTATTAATGGATACGTGTGTGCATAATAATAATTCTTTCAAGCTTTTAAATATTAAGACTGAAAATAAGTGGTCAATATGGAAGATTTATATGCTAAAAATCATGAAATAATGAAAACTCGCAGGTGCTGGAGTACGTTTTAAAATGGTTAAAAAATTAACGATTGAGTTGAGTTGGTTGCTCAACCGGAAGGAAGGATTTATGAGGTTGATGACTTGATTTCCTGGACCCCGTTTCTAGGCTCCAGGATTTTTTGTTTGGACAAAATGACACGACAATTTCAACCCCTGTAATAATCCCACAACACTGACCAAGCACAGTTCCATGTAGTCCTTTTGAACCACAACTCCAATTATAAAACCTTCAATCATTGACGCAATAACTGTGCATGCATGTGTCCGCTTTCTGTCGTCCTATTTGTATGTCGTAATGATTCATCTATCCAAGTATTATGCTAGATGAGGAACGGAATGTAAAATGCAATAGTTTCCGGCATTTATACTTCAGGAAATTTGTATCCAAAATCTAATCAAGCTGATTGATTTCGTATTAAACCAACTGCACAATTGTGTTATGTTATTGAAATTTTAATTAATATTCGTTTGTGTGTCTGCAGGGAAAGTGCGAAAGGACGACCATGGAGAATCTGACAGTCCTCCCCCACTCCCACCGAAAAGTCCACGCACAAGCTCCAAGCCTAGCAGACCTTCTGACTTTCCACAACGTCTCAACCAAATTTTACCTCCCCCGGTCGCAGTCCTCGAACAAATCACCAACCATATTATCCTGCCCCCACCACCCCCACGCAAAAATCGGCACAAGAGTGGAGAAAACACGGGAACGGTCATCCGACGAAGTCAAGCTCGCAACTCCTCCTCTTCCACCACGGATGCCACAGTTCAACCAATGACGCTTCCATCACCAATTTTGCCCCCAACCCCACCAGACGTGGTCATGGAGTCTCCGATGTCCGATTCTGGGCCCATCATTTCTCCACCACCCGCATTTTCCACACCAGTCACACCCATGTTGGACAGACAAGGCTCATGTGTAAGCGACCGCTCGGTGAAAACCTTTGGGGCTTCTACTACCACACCTCCAATCTCGGCCCAACTAGCAAAGGTCCCTCTTTCCGCTGCGGTATCCATGTCTGGAGTATCCTCCATCTCAAGCAGGTCTCAAAGTCATGGCGATGATGTGTCCATGAACAACAGTCCGTTGGATCGGTCCCGTTCTCGGTTGTCGTCGTCTAGTCCCATGTCACACCAGGACATGGAAAACAATTCAGCTTCGCATCCCGTCAGTGTGAGTCGTCGACCTTCTGAGAGTGCGTCCAACTCTGTTTTCAACAGCAATGTGAGTATAGCGCAAAACACTTCGAGGTCAAACTCCAACACGGCATCTCCCTCAGAGGAGGAGAACAACGGGGATGAGTCCGAGGAGGGTGGAATTTCTGGGGACGATGTGGACGGGGATGATGACGACTCTTCCAGAGCAGCAGATGACAATGTGCAGCATTATTTATCAGTTTCTTCAAATACTAAGCAGCTGAGTCGAAACAATAGTCGCAAGTCTGCCACGTCTGCGGATGGCGTCACCTCAACGACATCTCCATACACCTCGCTGGGAGTAAGAGAAAAGTCTCCGAGTCGGGGCCAAAGCAAAATATCTTCCACTTTGTCTTCTGGAGAAATGGGCAAGAAAAGTGGGGATCGTATGAGCAGTATCTCCTTCAGCAAGGGTGCTGGAGAAAGCAGTAAGAGTGGGAAGTTGTCCAAATCCATTACTTCTCTGTGCCGTGCTACCACCTCGCAACAGTCGGAGTTGCAAAATCCGGAAGGAAATCATTACATGGAAGTTGGCCAAAGTCTGTCCATGTCACATGCGTCTAAACCTGCTCGAAATGGTGAGTTAGCCATCATGCAGTCTCCGTATATCTATGTAATGTAATCATTCTGCACGGATTTACTTTCTCCTGCTACATACATACCGCTGCTAGCAACTAGTAGTGCGAATGATTATGAGAAGATTGAATGAGTCAAGCGCATATCATGGCGAACAAATTAAATTCTTTTATAACTCGGCTCAATATTTTTACGTAATCTAATCTTATTTCTCGAATGAGACGGGTGAGGAGGCATGTGCGTCAGAGCAGAGCTTTCAAAGTCATTAAACCACCTCGATCGTTATGATTAATCCTGTTCTAATTTTCTCCAATCCCACCTTAATTTCGCCAGCTCGTTTAAAAGCAAATCCAATTTTCTATACATTTCAGCTTCTCCTCCAGTACGACGCCCCAGCCTCTCGCGCTCAAAGTCGGACATCGGCCGGTATATGAAAGCGAGTCGGAGTGCGACGCTGACTCCGGGCTTTACTCTGGTCCATGTGGACTTGGGACCCCCTCCTCCAGTCCCTCTGCACTCCTCAGTCTCCACTTCCGACTTCCCATCAGCCACAACTGCCCATGCCTCACTCGGTAGGAACCAAAATACATGAATGCAGGAAATACATGGACATGACACCCATAATAAGCTCTTCCCTATATAAATAGCGTACTTCCTTATGTAAAACTGAATTTGTATGTTTTTACCTTCCAGGAAAAAGTTCTCTGTATCATCAAGCACCGCAACCAAAGCATCAACACCACCACAGCCACCAGCACCACCAAAGTCATTACCAACAACTATCCCATCCGACTTACGCCCACGCTTACCACACGCTTCAACCCTCCTCCCACTACAGTCAAGGGCACAACATCTCTCACCACCATAATTCTCTCCTCTCCACCTACCAACAACCTCACATTTATGCTCGACCTTCATCCTCAACCTATGAAAATCTGGTCCTTCAAGGAGGGAAAGCCGAGCTAGATCGATTTTTTGACCAACTTGGACTAGACAACAAAATTGATTCGCTTTCTCCCTTTTCGCCCCAACTTCACACACATCACGCCAAAGGGAAGGAAGGCGACGCGACTAAAGGGGATGATGACGAGTCTCCTGTTTTCTTCTCCAGCGTATCCAGTGTGGACTCTTGTGCTCGGAGGAGTGGGAGTGGTGACTCTGAGGATTCTCCAGTTCAACCTGGTGGCAAACCTTGCCAAAACTCAAAAACCGTCAGCGGTGCTCCACCCAACAACAACCAAGCTTATGGAAACAATAATCATAACGCCACCACTCTTGTGGTACATCATGGGGAACCTTCAATTGTCGAGCGAAATGCGCGGGTTATCAAGTGGCTTTATAGCATACGGCATAAGACCAATTGACTGTAAGATGTTCTCCTGCGGTTCTAATTCCAACCTCATCAAGCCCTGAACATCAAATTGTCATAAAATCCATGTCACAGAGAAGCCTAGCCCAAAAGATTTGCGTCATTGTTCGACTAAAAAGTCCAGCCACAAAATAATTCCGGGTTCAAACAATTTTCCTATTGATGCAAATTTATATATGTATTCAAGTTTGGCCGAAAACAGTTGTGACGTGTTCGTACTTGCATATAGATAATTTGAGACATCTGCTACGTATGGATCATTGCTAAACTCATAATGTTGACTTGAATTCTGGATGAATAGGGAAAAATGAATTGAATGAGATTGAAAAAATGGAAAAAGGGAGAAGGCTGCCCGGTGAAATTTTATTGTATACTGGTTCTATAACTCTTAGAATTTTGACTGATTTAAATTGTAATGGCAACTTTCTAGATCCATTTTCCAAAACGCAGCGGTTTTGAAAACCTTTAAGACATATTGCACCATCACTAATGACGCATATATACATCTTGTATAGTATGCTAGTACTGTTGCTATTTGGTTAATAAGCAATGCATAATTGTGACCTACTCCTCCAGACTCGATGCCAAACGAAAGATAGGCGTGATAGGCCAGTTGTGGCATATCTCCACATTTCCATGAAGTTACAAGTTCGTAAAAGGTCAGATATTTATTACTTAAGCAGGGCACCAAACAATTTATAGTGATGACAATAAAAGGTCGGTCGAGGTTTATATAGCAAATTTCCTTCACTCTTTGTTAGTCATACGTTCCTCCTCCTTCTTCTCTTGTTAAAATCTACTGATTATAATAAAGTGTACACAATATACATAAGTACTTGATTATAAAGATAATAGATTTTAGAGAGTGTTATCGACGCTATTGGTGCGATATGCAAATTGTACATATGAATAGCCAGCAACTAAACTCTCCTACTAAACTAATTTGATTGTGATTACAGGCAAGTCATTTATGATATTATTATTTAAGTTTCAACCAACATGATTATTCTTGCAAGTTAAAACTTTGTATTATATTATTGCATACTGCTACATATGATTGCACTCTTGAAATAATTTCGCTGTTGATTATATTTATACATAAATAGTTGCCGTACTTATTTGCGTGGCCTGCTGCTTGATTTTGTGAATGAAATGATAGTCTGAAAACCGTAGGATTTATGGGTGCAAAAGGCTTGTCTAGTCAGGTTGCATAAAATTAAGTGTTATGTAATTACTCGTAATTAGTTAGTTATTATACAATACAGCTCCGATTGAATTCCACTTAAAGTTAACCATACACAAGTCTAACAATTAAATAGATATGTGCTAAACCTGAATCAGTGAGACTATCCCTACGTAAGTACTTGATCGTCATCGTTAAGGAAATCAAGAGTTTAAGAAAATCTACAATACTTCAAATACCCTACTTCTACTTTACTTTTGAAAATATGACCTTACAGTTCCCAAAGTTGTTGAGAGATTTAAAAAAAATTCCGAAATCTGCAGGTTCGATTTTACCAGTAACTACATAAATATATTTATGTAGAGCCCGGGTACTGCGACGTTTAATTGAATGAATTCGTGGATAAAAGTTTATAATAATGTTACGAACATGTTAGCAAAAGTAAAAGATAAATTCGCACAATGCAAAAGTTTAACATATTCCGACAATGTAAACTCGACATTTAAGTATGAATGGAGGTGTTGTGCAATACGCTCCGAATTGTTACTTACGTATAATATTTATAACGAGTACGTAAACCAATTACTTGAGATTTTTTGACTCCGACTTGTTATTGCTTTGTGTTATACTATTCTATCAAACCGTATTATGCATCTCAAACACGATAATTGTCTAGTGAATTACTTAATGTTGACCATCTCCCACTGTACTATTTTTATTGCAATCTTTGTCACATTTATTTTAGCAGTATGATAAGTCATTACCTATGTATATGCAGAAAAATTAAGCTTGTACTGTATCCAATACATGAAAGTTGTTGTTACAAAGCTTTTGTAAGTTCCGTTTGATCTTTTTGGGTCAAACATTACAATATAGGCATGTGTTTTTATAGCTCTGTGATATCTTTACCACTTCGAATAAGTAAAACAAAATAAAAACTTAAGTGTTTTTTATAACAAAACTAATACCTTGAATCAGAATAATTTATTTGCACTATGACCTATTTAAGTTCTTGATGCAGACGAATCTTTCAAAATGCATAAGTTCACTAAATTCAATCTGTTTTACATGCGTCATTTTCAATTTTTAACAGCATTTTTGCAATAATGACCAGATTTGTTACATGATTATTATAAAGCACTGTGTGTGATTAAAATAGGTGTGAAGAAAGAGGGTATTATTTAGAAAGGTGGGGATTTTTAGTTTGTTCGATTTCCAGAAAATAACGTGGAGCAGCCCCGAATTGAGAGGGGTGAAAGCAACCCTTTCTGCTCCGGATGGATGGGAAAATTACCCATGGATACCACACCATCGTGGCGTGGTAACAACACAAGTTTTTTTGAAGTTTTATCAAAACAAATCGATAAAAGTTTCCATACCGGAATTTCAATAGACAGCAGAAGGCAATGTAACCAGCAAACTATTTAAACAACACGTATGATAAGCATAAAGTGCAAATGTCCAACTACTCTGAACCAACGTAGATTTTTGTGTATCTCTAGAAGTCGAGATTGAACAAGACGAGTAAAGACAAGGCAGCATAAGCGTCCTTTTTTCGTTTCTAGCCACCACCAGCGTAGTTGTGGCTTGTTCTCGAGAAGATAAGAAATGAAGCCTCCAAAGGACCTTCACGGTGGCCTGTCAGTGAGCTGGCCATCGTCTTCAGCAACTGCGAAGAGAGCTGTTCTTTCCACAACAAAGGAAAAACGCTCAACTCTTGCCGAACCTGAAAAGTCTGACAAAATCTCCGTCATGAACTTTGTTCCTCGTTTAGACGGAGGCGGAGATTCTATAAATTTGGGAGAATTCAGTGAGGTCAAGGTGCCTCCTCCACCCCTCGCATTTGATAAGGTAAAAATTGTCCGCTTCCACGTGTGAAAAAAATATTTATTTAAATAATTGTGCCAAATGTTACATGTGCATAATGTACAATTTATAGGCAAGAAAAACTTCGACCAGTGTTTCATATCTTGCTGAAGACTTGGCCAAAATAAAAACACGTCAACTGAACCTCAAACAGTTTGCACAAACATCATTTCCGACACAATTGTTAAAATCACCAACGTTGTTGGCAGGAGGAACTACGCAACAATACGTCCTGGACGAGAAAAAATCCACATCTGATGATAAAGTGATGGAAAAAATAGACCCAGTAGTTGATAAGTTGTACACTTTGAGTCGTCGATTGGGAAAAGGGGTAAGAAATAATTGTATTTTTTGTAATTACATAACTGATATTTTTTACAGTAAGTTTGAAAATATATCTTGGTATTTGTAGGCGTATGGCGTTGTTTGGGAGGCAATGGAGAAGCGGAGTGGACGAAAGGTTGCTCTCAAGAAGATTTTTGAAGCATTTAGAAATACAACAGATTCTCAAAGGACGTATCGAGAGGTCGTGTTTCTCAAGGCATTTGGTCACCATCCAAACATAATTAGCATAATTGGAGGTCACCCTGCTGTTAATTCTTTAGACCTGTACATCGTCTTTCCCCTAATGAGTAAGTATCACCAATTCTGTAACATGTCAGATTCATATTGTTAACAAAAATCTCCCCCTCACTCCAGACGATGAAATTTTGTATGTGTGCTTACAGAGTTTGATTTATACAAGATCATTGAGCGAAATCCAGAGCGTTTGACAGAGACCAGCACGAGACGCGTAGCATATCAACTGACTCTCGCCCTCAACTATTTACACTCTGCCCAAATAATTCACAGAGACCTTAAGGTAAGCAGCAATAAACCATTTTATTAAGTCGTGTCACTTGCGTTTTGTTCAAATCTTTTAATAATCCAATTATTTATGCAATGTTTGTAGCCGGCAAATATACTTCTGGATGAAAGGTTGAATGTAAAACTCGCTGATTTGGGCTTGGCCAGATCGCTTCCTGCAGATTTTGAACTGGATTTGACAGGTCAGACAGATGGGGATCCTCAGCTCACAGACTATGTCGCAACAAGATGGTATAGACCCCCAGAGATCATCGTTTCCAGCCGAGTGTGAGCAAGTCTAACTTTATCTGCAGATAAAATTACAATTGAAGTTGCACGTATTTATTATTAAAATGAAAATTGCTGTACAATTTTAGATACTCTAAATTCATGGACATGTGGGCGTTTGGGTGCATTCTAGGTGAATATAAACAATCCGTCTTTTAAATATGTCATTTCGGGGTAACTGACTGTCACTGTAAGATTTTACTTCATCAAAATAGGGGAAATGTTATTGAAAAGAGTGCTTTTTGCTGGAGAATCGACTAGCCACCAATTACAGCTTATAATGACAACAATCATCACTCCAGACAATAATGGTACACATATTTATTTTCTACGTGACCACGTTATTTTTATAAATACATTATTTTTGCGCATAAACTCATAAAATCTGAATTATTACATGTATGATCTTTCAGAAATTGAAGATTTGTGCAAATTTGTTGACCACCAGAATGTAGACATAATTAAGAGTTTTATCAAACAACGGGGTCCATCCATCGCAGACATTTTCCAAAACTTTGACTGTTCTACAGTGGACATAATTGAGAGACTTTTGCACTTCTCACCTGCTCATCGACTAACCGTGGAAGAGGTGCTGAATCATCCTTACATGCAAAAGTAGGTAGAAACAATTTCTATAATTTCTGCACTATATTTTATTATTTGCAACGCATTGCAGCGAAGTTATTGATTGACAAATTCTATATTTCAATTTTAAGTGTAAGAGACACCTCCAAGGAAATGCGAGCTCCAGGACCTTTTCATCCTCCACTAAATGACTGCCTGAAACTAGATATAGTTGACTATCAAAACGCATTGTACAGCATGATTGACCGAAAGGAAATGATTAGTGACCTTAATCCATTTGGTGTTGGTCTCAATAATTTCTCATCGTCCTACGCGTCGTTATCCCATTTGAAATCAAAATACTATCCACATCAAGCTGATGACGATGAGTTTGTAGATTCTACCACAGACACTGACGGGGAGGAGGATTTACTCAAAACCATTCGTTCAGAAAATGAAGGTCACCCAACTGAGGAACCCTTTGCAAACTTTGACAATGACACCGACACCGTGGATGGTTATACAAATTTTAGGACGGAACCAGCCGATAACAACTTGTTGGACTCTAGCCACGGACACGGGGTCTATCATCTTGACTTGGAACTTCAAAATCAGTATGAAAACTTGGACGTGTCTTCTATTCCTGTTCCAAGCTCATTTCGTCAAGCCCCCAACGTTTCACCACGCACAAGCAGCAGTAGTAGCAGCGCTGGTGAGCAGTTCTCAACATGGACGACCCCATCAATTCCAGCAACCAAGTCCGTCTCTGACTCAACAACGTTGTTAACAAATACTAGTCCGTCTGAAGCAAAAAGATACGGAGGTTCCAAAAATATTTCAATTCTGACAATGCCATCAGGCAAACGAGAAGATGGTGGTGACGATGATGAGAAACCAGAAGCGTTCAAAAAGTTTGAGCTTCTTTGTCAAAAACATGACGTGAGTGTTGAGGAATATGGCGATCTTTGCTGGAAAACGGATAATGTCAAGACCCCGTTAAAGGTTGACATGAGGAATACCGTCAAGAAATTTGAACAATCTCGTGAAGTATCAATAAGTGGAGAAAGCCAGTACGACTACTTGCCTCAGTCTATGTTTCAAAAAGCAGTGACGAGCAACCCAATGACGTCTTTGCCGAATCGGAAAGGCAATGTGAACCCACCACCATCGCGATCTGGATTTGAAGGTAAAAATGAGTAAAAATAGTAGCTGCCTCCTTGCCACATTATAATTCGCTATGCTATTCGCATTGATTTCTTGATATTCGTGAATTCTTTCACTCTTTTCAACTGTGTTCACGTTTCACACGGTGTAGGTCAGGGCCAGGGTGACACGTTTGGAGATAATTTTGATACTTGCGACTATACAGAAGACTTTACCCGAATTAAAAACACAATGGCAAGAAAAACGGGTGCCGGTGAAGCAACCGATGCGTTTGTAAATCCCTACAAACCTAAAGGACTCAAGACGTTTGCAGCCTCTTCCACGTATGACAATGACAATGCTGGTGTGGAAGACGACGACTGGGAAACTTCACAGGCAGATGACTTTTTCCAACAGTGGGGTCCAAAGACAGATCTGAGGTACAGCAAGTCCCTACCTCAAGTTAACAACAATCGGAATGCGAATACCAGACAGACGAAAGTACTGGACAAGTTACCGGGCATCGGAGAATTCAGGCCCAACAGTAACTCCCTAACTAGTTTTACAAATAAGGAAAAGCTTGCGACCAGAAAGACTTCTAATCTTCTTGCGTTAAAAGGATCAACAACATTTACCAATGAATCGGTTGGAGGGAGCAATAGATTAACTGGATTTGAGAGTAAGGGCACTCGGGTCACCCTATCACAGTCGCAAGATTCCATTTATAAGAGTAATGTGGTCAACAATAATAAAACCAATAAGACTCTCAACGGTCACTCAACCGAAGAGATAGTTCTCACCAACGGGAGAAAGAAGGTTCGAAACCCAGAAGGTACAATTACAATAGGACCTTATTGCATGTATATGTCATAAATACTTTACCTGATAAACTTGTTTGGTTTAATTTTGCTTGAGAAAAATGACATGGCGTATTCTATATTAAAGTAGGTATCAAAGACACTGCAAAAGTCAAGTTTGCCTTCAACCCTTACGCCCGTGTTGAGGAAGGGCCAGTTGAACCTCAGCCACGACGACCCTTCGGAGGCCGATCTTACAACAAAGGTTTTCAGGGTCCCTCATTCAAGAAAAATGCAGATCAGCGACAACCTCATTCTTTTTCGGACACGGAGGTTGCAGTGGCCAACTCGTCACACGTCGGATACAACGCGTATGCCAGGCTGCCCAGTCAAGGGGGTCATCGTTCTCATGGACGAAGCTCATCAGCTTACTTTCCAGGCATCCCTTCCCAACGACCAGTCCTTAAAGGACCATACCAGAACACAACTACACCTTCCATTAATAAGAATGGGTTCGAATCAGTTCAAATGGCTTCGGCATCCAACTTTGGCAATCATCAACAGCGTTTCTCTCGTCCTCGTCATATCCTCAATAAAACTGGAACTCACTATGGTGGACATTCTTCATTGAAGAATCCTACTTCCACAATTGGAGATTTTGACAAACCTGACTCGTCCACTATCAGAGCATCGGAATTATTTAAGCTGAGAAACAGTTTGCCTTTGGGACCGAAGGGATCTGGAACCGGCAGAAAGTATTTGTAAACAAAATGTGAACAATGAATTATTAATATTACGCTTGATACAATATGAACAGTTATGCATCCATAAATTAGTGTAAAACTATAATAAAAGTACTGACGAGTTGTAAAATAATGAACAATTGGAGTAGTTTTTGTGACTATTTTTATTAAAAATGATAAAAATTCTGATTCGTAAATTTTCAAAAGCCGCAATAAATTATATATTTCAGTAAATATAATAATAACAACTTATGGTTTAGAATTTTTTGTTTTTCTCTTTTTCTTTGGAGGCTCGGCAATTGGTTTTGACTGTTGTTTTACGTCTACCGTTTTAGTTTCCTTCCCACCTAACAATTTCTTGTTAGAGTTGGGAACCATGCTTTCAGACGGATTAACTTTACGTTTTTTGCCCTGCTCCTTCAACGTTCGTACGTTCTTCTTTGACTTTTTGTCGAGTTTCCCAAGTTTAGTTTTATTCACTTTTGAGGTCCTAAGTTTGGATAATTCTTCATCATCATCCTCGTCATTGACTTTCTCATCATCATCAGAGATTTCATCATTTTTGTTAGTTTTTGCAGTCTTATCTATGGATTCCACTTCAGGAGTGGCAATATCTGATTGGCTTTTAGCAATACTTTTACTCCAAACTGTAAGACATGTGATTCTACAGGTTGTATCCAACTCGGTCACTAAGGTAGGTGAGGTAGAGCAAGACTCCTGCAAATTTCAAATCACAAAATAAATATCATACTCACTCATTCCTACACATGCAATGATAATCGTCAAATAGATAGTTACTGTTATTACGTCTTTGAATCTCCATAGTTTAATGTATTGATCACAATTGGAACCAGTGACGAGTAAATTATGCTCCACAATGAATCTCATGTCTTTCACTCGAACTTTATGAGCCTTGAATTCTGACAACTTTTTGGACTTTGTAATGTTGTGAACTTCTACGGTATCTTTATCGCCAGCCATGATCACGACATCGTCCTACAATGTATACAAGAAATGTATAAGAAATCTATCAAATAATTATAAACTCATTCATTAATATACTTTTTAAAAGTTTTAAAATAATTGTAATCTATTTATGGGTGAGTTGACTGACGCAGAGCGTTATGAAGAAAAACTCTGCGCTAATTAACTACCAGTTATTATTGCACATTGTAATGCCAAAGACAACATTTAAATATAGTCGCCACTGAGGTAAGTATGTGCTTAAGTTTGTCAAACGTTCATAAAATACGTGGCACAATAATTTCAAATCAATCACAAGATTAAAAACATACATTTGGAAAGCACAGCGATGAAACTCTCTTTCCAAAAGGCACAGAATATACTACTTTGGCAGTCTCCACATTGTATACATCAAGTCGATTGGAAATCCCAACAGCATAGTAAGTTCCTTCAGGTGACCATCTCACTACATCGCCAACACCATGTAGATTTGTAACAAATCCGGTTCGTCCTTTAATCAAATTCCATGTTTTCAGAGTTTTATCCATTCCAACTTAAAGAAAAACAATAAAATTAATTAGTTGGTAATCAAATCAATCACACTGTACAACAAAAGTAAGTTGTTTTTATAATGTAGTCCATCTAACCTGATAGGGCCAATTTCCCACTGGGATGGATGCTGACGTCCAAAACACCTCCGACATGAGCGTGCAAAGTCTTTTCACATATCCAACTTCCACACTTCCAAATGCATATTGTTCCATCAGTGCTGCCACTGAAGAGGTATTTCGACCCAAAATTAGTGATGCAGGTGATTGTACCTTTAGAATAGAAATTGTTCAAGTTGATATGTTCCATTTTTCCCTATTATTAGCTATACAATATAACTTATTGTAAATAATTTGTATAGTGGTAGACTGGACTCTTGTAGGTCGAGTTATCTGACGCAGCTAAACATAATCGCTTATCCACGCAAATGAACCCCCTTTTGCTTTCGCACACTTCACTAACAAGGCTACCATATACGGAGATAACCTTGTGGTAAGCATGTGCCAATGTGCAACAAAGCAAAAAGTCTCTACAAGAGTCACATTACCTTATGAAATTTCTTTAATTTGTCTCAAGTAGAACTATAATGATCTACGGCATTAAAAAGAGCTAATCTATCTGAGAAATGAAGTACGTGCAGAACTAGACTAAAATAGTTTTAGGAGGAGCTCCTCTCCTCTCTCACCATCGTGTACAAAAATGAGGGATCTGTTAATGAACCCGGGTAGTACGTCCCGAACGAAAGGCTGCTTATATGTTATACGTAAAACGTACGACAGCAAACAATACAACTACCTAACTGAATCAAACTCATGTTCGGATATAATATTGCAAATTAACCAAAAGTCGCATACCTGATTGTTGCTGCATATACCCATGTTCAACTCTCAATCCCATGTTAATAAGTCGAATAGCTTCATCTGCACTACCAGAAGCCAGATATTTTCCAGCGACGGAAACAGATCGTATGCTTCCACTGTGGGAATGGTTTGTAAAACTCTGCGTCAACTTGAGCTTCTGTAATCAAGCACAACAAATAATTTATTAATCTACGCATTGATAATCTGTGAAAACATGTTCAAAAATTCTGAAATACTTACATGTCGACCCTCACCTTCACTCTCGTCACCTGATAATTTGTAACCTAGTACGAATTCTTCATAAGTACCCACAATAATTTCAACCCCTTCCGATTCCAGATCTTGACACTCCATCATAACATGTGAAGTGATAAATGAGCTTTCAACTAGATTCTGAAATTAAATTTTTAGATTTTAGAATTTGCAAATTAATATAAGATGGGTAGAATTATTTAATTATAATTATACAGAATTTGTCGACAAAAGCTAAAACTATTCCGGTAATTTTTCTACCTTACCTTTTCAATTGCATTCAAATTAAACAGATTCAATAAATGACGTCAAGAAGAAGACGGTCCGATTTTTAGGAAATATTGCGAGTTTGCTGGAGTAGTGAGCACGTGGAGAGCATGCAGCAAAATGGTCAGTCTTGCTGCAGGCTCTCAAGTTGAGACTGTGCTGAGGCGGGTGAGGAAAGAAATAGGTTGACAAATAAATATTTATTCAATCGCATGATCGCTCTTCGTGTTATTTTTATTCTTCTCACTTTTGACTTTATAGTTCTCACTTGGTTATTATTCAGTGCATTATTTGTGGAAGGAGTTGCTGGTCGTATTTTGTCCTGCTGCCAATTTTGGATTTGTTGAAAATGTGTGAAATTTCCTGAATATTTGACATTGAAAATATATCTACCGCAAGCAACCCGTTTGAGGTTTCTCTGCAAATTGCAGATTGCAATTGTGCAATCCATTTAGCTGGAGAATTTGTAGAATAGAGAACTTTAGGTGTCACTAGAAATTCGTCCAAAGTCCAGAAAAACAGAATAAGAGTAAACAAAGATAAGAGACCAACCTGACATGATTCCATGATGGAAAACTCTGCTGAAGAATTGGCTTTTGCTGAGGAAAATCTGTATCTCAACCTCTGCTCTGACCCCATTCGTTTTGAACCTGGGTCCAAAGTAACCATTATATTTTATGATGATGCCAATCAACAGGTACTTTGCGTTAATTTTTACTAACGACAATTTTATTTTAGCAGGAAAAATAATCTCAAGTTTTGATATGCTTTGACAGGTATTTGCGGTGCGTTCAGGGGGTGCGACAGGTGTTGTGGTGAAAGGACACAAGGACAATTTAAAGTGCTCCTTCCGTATGGAGGACAAAGGTCCAGTTTTATCCATCAAATTTTCACCAGACTTGAAAATTCTTAGCGTTCAACGATCAGCTCATTCCGTGGTGAGTGAGTACTTAAAAGAAACGTTTGGTTTGTATAAAGAGAGATTTTTTAACATTAAACGGCACATTTGTTTTTCAGGAATTTATGAACTTTGTTTATAGCTCGGAAAATCTCCCAGAATATTCTCAATCTTGTAAAAACAAAAATGCTACGATTTTGGGATTTATTTGGATTGCATTCAACGAAATATTGTTCATAACAAAATTGGGACTGGAATTATTTCAAGTATGACCTTATTTTAAATCAAATTAATTACAATGTGAGATGAAAAGTATTCGAGAACTTTGTAATATGCCATTTAATTTTACTTTGGACAGGTGTATCCGGAAAAACGAATGCTAAAATTCTTGAAAAATGTTTCCATTAATGTGGATTGGTTTCTTCATTCACCAGAAAGCAATATTTTGGTAATTTCATCTACAGGGGGATTGATTCAACCGTTTCAGCTCAAACCTGGAAATATCTACAAGTTCCCAAAGTTGGACGGTAAGACACTATGAGAATGAGATTGGTCTCTTTTATGTATTCATTAATTGAATAAATTTTCGAGCAGCATTAGTTAACCAAGTATTAACAAATAGTTGACCAGGCTACTAGCTCCCAAGCGACTCCTGAGCGAGCCAGCGAGCGAGATGTATCAATTGCATCTTTGTATAATCAAACGGCCGTTTTGATCCTGAGACACAAGCCCAAAAGCTCGACGTGCAGTGGTGCTGAAATTGATGTCTATGTACTAAATAGGTATTAATATAATGCATATGTGTATATCATTATTTATTGCATTTCATGTAATATGTAATGCACGCATTTTGAACTAGGATACATTTAAAAAATTACATAATATTCATATATAGCATGTTAATTCTTTTGTCTGACACGTAGGGAGAAAACTACTCCTAAATCACACGTCTTAAAGTTGGATACCAGTGGTCGATTCGCTATAAATGTGATTGACAATTTAATTATAGTCCATCATCAAGCTTCAAGGGTAAGTTTTGTTTGTTTTAAGATATATTTTTAGGATTTGCCTTATTTTATCAGGTTATTTCAATTGGTTTAACTTTCGTTTTTTAGAGCTCAATGATTTTCGACGTACGTCTAAGTGGTGGGTTTGATGGGTACGCTACGTACCACCAAACTTTGGTTGTTCCAATGCCGATAAAACCATTCCAGCTGAAACTACCTATGAGCACAACAACTCCACTGGGAGAAAAATCGGAAATTGATTGTGAACTTTATTCCGTTAATTGGGTCGTCTTTCAACCAAATGTGATTATCGACGCCAAACTCGGATGTCTGTGGTACTTACAACTGAAGTTGGACTCGATCAAAAACCTTATGCACGACAAAATTCGACTCGTTGAGTTTTTTCTCCAGCGATCAAATGGGAAAAAATATATTTTAAAGCTATTACAATCCACTATCATGGCCGAGGAATGTGTTCCAGATTTAACCCTGATTTCAGGAATGTTTGACAAATTAAATGAAAATTATAAGAGTTTTCTGGACGTGGAAATGCAAAACCAGGTTAACAGCGCCATATATATTGTCATAATTGTTGTGAAAATATTTTTACGATCTCTAAATGTTTTATTGAAGATGTCGTTGCCTGTCCACGGGAAGTCGGAGAGATTGGCTTCCAAAGGAATTGTCCTCGTGGACCAACAGGACCTATACACCCACATTTTCTCCAACTTTGCCAACTGCAGCAATGTCACTGATCAATTTGTTGTCATAATCTTGACTGAATATATCCGTTCACTGTCCCAATTCCAAATCCCGGTGCAACACTATATCTACGAGTTGATTCTCCATGCAATGGTCAGACAGAAGGCTTTTTATCAACTTCACCAATTCCTACAATATCATGTAGTCAGCGACTCGAAACCCTTGGTAAGGTTTATGATTTTTAAAAAAGTATTACCTATGTACTAAGTACATGTACCTAAATGTACAATGACTGATATAAGTGGGCACACATACGTAACTATAAATATAATTTTATTAAAGGCATGTTTACTATTGTCACTGGAAGGGGTTTATCCAGCTGCGTATCAACTTGCCTTGGATATGCTCAGGCGTTTATCGACTGCAAATGATTTGATTGTCGAAATTTTGATTAATAAGCAGAAAATTATTCCTGCAATGAGGTAAGAGGCAATGCAATAAAGTATGATATAGCATCCCCACCATCTTATCTGTTTATAATCAAAGTCCGTTTTTTAAAATGTTAGGTTTGTCCAAAGCTGTGAGAGAACTGATCACATTTCAGCACGTAAATTTTTGGACGCTGCAATGAAAACCAAGGACAAGTCAGTTTTCTACGCAGTTTTTAAATTTTTTGAAGAGAGAAATATTAGAGTTCGAGGAACGCCGGTGTTTGAGGCTAATGAAATGTGTGATCTTTATGTGCAACATTTCCAATCTGTTTTTGGGAAAAGCTCTGCATGTTCCAATTTTTTTGCGGATGGTGCCCCACAATGATTTATAAAATACATGCGTTTTACATAGTTATTTCTTTATTTAATAAACGCTCGTTAATCGTACAAATACTGCAACTTAATAATTGATACAATCGTTTTTAAATACCATATTTCAAAATGAAATACATTACTCAGAGATAACACCATTTTTAGTATATGCATGCACCTTGCAGCTGTATTCACATAGGAAAATTAAAAATAATATATTTCATCAAGTTCCTTCGCCAGATGGAATTTATTAATACCTATCTACTTAAATAACAAGTCACTCATTCATACGAATAAAAATACTTTTTATTTCCCAGAACTTGGATTTTGTTTTCTAATGGTCATCTCATTACATCGAAGGACGATTTCCATTTAACAATTCATTGATACATTTGTTACATTTCCTTTTCTTTGACTCATACATATGTATGAGGATGTATTTACATATCTACAACTGAAAATTTTATTTTTCTATAATTAAAAATGCATGTTATGTATATTAGTTCGGAAGACAAGAATCACTTTTGGGTCCATTGCCCTTTTTAGGACCTACAATGAGATCGTTCAGTAAGCCCATTTACCAACTAATATTATTGCCATCCTGTCATAAATATTTGTATTTCGGAGAAATGCGTTTTCCAACCGTATCATTATTATGTACATTTGTATCCCAGCTAGTCAATGTTTAGAACTTAGAGACGATTCTTTCATCTATTTTAACATAATTCCAAAGTTCCAAGATTTTAAATAACCATGATTTACATGAATCCATCCAGCACTACAAAGTAAAGTGCAAATATGTGAGCACAGTGATACAAAATCTCAACATGATCTTTCTTGGCCGCGTGCACTTGTAATCTCCCTCGTCAGTCGTCGCTCTATCTTTCCAAGTCAGCCAAGACCTTATCGTGAGAAGACTCTGCTAAACTAGTAGTTTAAAACTACTAATTTTACGAAAATGGAGTCTGATGACAGCTCATCAGACGAAAATGCCCAGATGGACATTATCTATACGTGCAGAAAGTGTGTGGGCAAGGAATTTACGAAGGAGGAACTGGACGAACATAGGACATTCCACAAGAATGAACGTAAACAGCGTAAACGAAGAAGGTTAGTTAAATCCTGTTAGTTAATTATTTTATATTAAATATTTCGTAGTCTGTATTTGTCAAACATTTTGCATTGCAGGCGTGGGGTATCACCAACTCCCTCATCTGTGACGACTACGGGCACGCTGTTTATCAGCAAGCCTCCGCCTCGTCGAACGAAGAGAAAAACGGCACAGCGAAACTCTGAACAGGATAGGCGAGCCTCGGCTCAAAATAATTATACTGGACACGCTAAAAAGAATATGAACGTCAAGTAAGTGTTTTATTTATTATATTTGCGTGTACAAAAATTTGGTACAAGACAATGCAAACGTTTATTTTAACCTTATACAGATATAACGGTGCGTAATTTAATGGCTCTACATACTCTACCTCTTGCAACCTTAATATTACTGCCTCGCCATGTGATAAAATTTTATTACCAACGTGCCTAATACAACGGAAGTCTTCTTTTTCCATGTAATTGGTGACTTTTTCACTAAACAATATCATTGCACGTCACTGCCTACAAAGAGAAATATAGTCTGTTCTCATAAGCCGCTAACCTACCGACAATGATTAAGTAATTTATAGTTGAAATATATCACAATGTACCAACCTGCCAAGTGTATATTGTTGTAAAGTGAGTATCTCGACTCAACTTTCATTTATCCTTATTGATGTATTTAAGGATTGTGTTCATTTACAGACGAACGTAATAACAAGGATATTTTGAATCCATATAATTCTAGCATAATTGATTTTTACTTGTTTGTACCTAGATATATCTATCTATTCTATTGGTTATCGAAATGTATTTTTTGAACTATTATTACGATATGGACAGAGTACTCTGTTTGTAATTGAGAGAGTCGCCGGATTGTAATTTTACTGTAATTGTCCTAGTTGGAATATATATATCTGAATATATTTCGTTACATTTTTTATAGTAAAGTATTTTTAGTAAATGAAATAAATAAGATAAGGATGAGAAATAATATTTGCCTCAGATTCCCCACATTCCATCAGCATAAATAACTGCTCCACAATCTACCCTCGGCAGGATGCGCCATCTACTCACACCCTCCAATTTGAGCCCTGTCCACCACGAGCGTCGGTCAGCAACCAAGCCAACAGACTCTCCTCTTCACCAAAAACACGTCTGTGAGCGCTCCTCTGCTGCATACACCGACTCCGCACATTTCTTTCGTCTTCTTTTCTTCTGCAATATCCACTACTTCGATTTCGATCAAGTTCTTCTCAAAATTTGGCAAACTATTCCAAATAATTTAAATTTCTAGTTAATTAAAGGAGGAACTTATTCTCCTAAGAAGAAAAAGAACTACGGGCGTATGTCAATCCAGAATTTGAACACTTTCGGTAAGCATTATTTTTGAAAGAGTTGTTAATTTTGACTTTTAATTATTAAAAGTCAAGCTGTTTTTTTGTCAAGTTTAGTTATTAGTTAAAATCAGCCCACTAACAAAATTATGTTGTTAGATTATGTACGTGTAGTTCAGCAAATCAAAGCACAAATTTCTCTCCTACATAAATGAGTCACTGTATCTGAGTATTTAATTTGTTTGTTTTTGTTGGTTCCAGACCCTTTTGCTGATGCAATTAAGGGCTCGGAAGAGGGTGTTCAAGATGGTTTCGTTCACATAAGAATCCAACAGCGCAACGGTCGTAAAACGCTCACCACGGTCCAAGGACTCTCTTCGGAATATGACTTGAAGAAAATTGTCCGTGCCTGCAAAAAGGTGTGTACACGACGATACAAAATTTTTAGCATCATCCAATTTTAGCACTGAAATAATATTATTAACAATGGTTATAATTAATTAGGAATTCGCTTGCAACGGAACTGTCGTTGAGCATCCCGAATACGGAGAAGTTTTGCAACTGCAGGGAGATCAACGAGAAAACATTTGCCAGTGGCTGACCAAAACTGGTCTCGCAAAACCAGATCAACTCAAAGTTCACGGATTTTAGATTTTTTTTGTCTTTTTGTATCAAACCTATTGCTTCTACTATTTGTAAATTAAGGTAAACATCAAGAATGTACTGAACCATCAAGAATCATCTGTATCAAATGGAATTATAATATTTGCATTAATTGCGAAAGAATATGTTGATATGAAGCAAGTTAATTTTTTTATACATTCTTGGGCACCGACATACACGTTTCATTATAAACTGTTATAAAATAGCAGCTATCACGAATAAGGCATTAAATTTAGTTCAAATTAATTCAAGATTAAAGCAGTGTCAGGAACGAATTGACTATTTATTTTTTCGTGTTTTATAAATTTTTTTTGAAGTGTAGAAATATTTTCACTTCAGCTGAATGTTGTGCACATTTATGGTAAATTGCTTGATAAACGAATTTGTCTACCTAGAGAATAAAACATTATGACACATTGGACATCTTGTGTTTCTTGCGTGAGTTTTCAAGTCAAGTTTATTCGAAAACTATATATATATATTTAATAATTTTAATGGTTCACATTACGTTCACTCCTGAAATATAGTTACTACTAGATTTTATCGTAGCAAGCATGGTCAATATTTAATGCGATGACGATAGGATACGACAGTTGCTTTTAAGATCTTGCTGGAGGTTCATGGCCATTGTTCATCCTGTTCAAAAATCAAGTTTTACTTAAATAACTGCTTAGCGAGTAAAAGTAAAAGACAATGGATTATCTATTGCAGAAAACTAAACATCAAAAGTATGTTTAAATTTAAGCTAAAGAACTATAAAAAACTTCGTCATAGATTGTCACCCTAATATGGCATCTTTAATTTTCTTGAGAAATTCTCCAGCTCCTCCTTTTCCTTCAGTTTCACTTCCTGCATTAGTAGATTGACCTGGATTGGATGCATTAGATTATTTAAAATTATATAAAATCAATCACGATTTATACAGTCATAACATAAGATTTACATTTGACACTCACCAGACTTTGTTTTAGTGACACCTTTAATCGTCCCAGGAGTATTCGTCTCATATTCTGCAAATGCACGTATTAATGCTTCTTGCTCTGGCGTAAGTCCAGTAGGGATTTTTATCTTAATGTGAACATAGTGATCTCCATGACCGAATCCGTTTACGCGTTTGATTCCTTTACCCCTAAGACGCATTCGAGTGTGCGAACTTGTGCCTGGTGGAATCTAGAAGGATATTATAGGAGAACACTGTTAAATACAGAATTTCAAATAGTGAATAGTGGACGTTAAAAAATAACTTGCCGCTTACATCAAGGTCAAAATTCTCGTGGACTCCCTTGATCCGTGTACTTCCACCAAGGGCAGCTTGACAAAATGAGATACTAGTGTCTGTATGCACATCTATACCATCTCTTGTAAAATAATCTGACTTTTCCACTCTGAACGTGATAAAAACTTCCTTTTTCCCAACCGGCATTCTAACTGTTTGAGAGTCTTCGATTCCTGAGTTTAAAATATTCTTACTCATTAATCGATCTCAATTAAAAATTATTTACTAGATATCTAAAAATAAAGTAATTTTTACTATTGAGGCATTTATACGGTATATGTACCTGCCGGAACTGGAACTGTAACGGTTTTCCGATTCACTACATTTCCTGTCCCCCGACAATTTCCACAAGGATTTGTTATTATTTGTCTAGTTCCTTTGCACCTTCTACAAGTACTTCGCATTACGAAAGGTCCTGTTGCAATGGTTTCCATTCCAGTTCCATTGCACGAAGTACATTTCTGAGTTTTTGAACCAGGTGCAGCTTTTGTCCCCTCACACTTGGGACACGTCTCTGTCACGTTTACCTTTGTGTCTTTAAGGCAACCACGTGCTGCTTCTTCAAAGGTAAGATTCATCAATATTTGCTGCAACACACGAACAACAATAAAAATAAATCTCTAGTGTCAGAATATAGACCAATTAATATTGTTGTAATAGAAGTATGTCAATTTCATAACTAAGTACCTCTTGAGCACCTCCAAATCCAAACGCTTCATCTTCTTCCCCTCCGCCACCAAAATTTCCAAACCCTTGTCCAAACGGATTACCACCAAATCGAGGATCTCGAAACTCTCCAAATATTTTTCTAAATAGCTCTTCAGGGTCAACAGACGACTGGTATTGCCATTGAGGACCTCCACCTTGTGCTCCACTACCAAATCCTCTTCCTCCCCCGTATCCTTCACGCCCCATTTGTTCCGAGGTTCGTCCCCAAGCATCATATTCTCGTCTTTTCGTATCGTCAGAAAGAACCTGTTCCAATTCAGTTGTAATTATATTATATCAACAGTCATCACGACTAATAATATTGCATTTGAATGTGTGCAGTTATACCTCATACGCTTCAGACACATCCTGAAACTTTAGTTTCGCATTAGAGTCCTTGTTGGTATCCGGGTGATATTGTTTGGCTGAAAATTAGTGAACTTATGTTAGCACTTAGAAGGGAAATTTTATGGAAAAGTGAAAAGAGAAAGACTGACATTGTGAAAGCTTTGGAAATTACAATCACGTAATCACATCTAGGAATAATTTCTTTTTTTTAAAGCTTGCAGACCCTTCGCAAATAATTATTAAAAACACTCTGAACCATTGACAATACAAAATATATCCAATTTGAAATTAAAAATTACATTATAATTTCCTTGTTGGTAGTTCCCTTACTACTAGTTACTACTAGGTCTTAGCTTCAATCATCTAATGTTATGTATGTGCTTTAAAGGTGAATAGTGAACACTATTTTTACACAAATTGGAATTGGTATCTAACCTAATTTGTAATACGCGTTTTTCACTTCTTTTGTGGCTGCGTTTTTTGGTATTCCTAAAATCTGGTAGTAATCCTTCCTCTGTGATAGATTAGAAGACACATGAATTGATCGCTTGAGTTGGATGGAAAAGTCGACTGAGATCTTGGACAAACTGGATTCAGCTGAAATGCAACAAATTATGCATGTTAGACCAATTGGTAACAATTGTGAGTGAATAATAATACACAATAATGTATGAGTCGCACAGTACGATATTCTTATTTAATAAGACAGTATCCTCAAACATTTAGAATGAGATCGACATGTGCACTTTTTGGTGCAGTCTGCAGTCCAACCGTCACAAGGCATTTAACAAAACATGTAAGTAACGTGCAAAAAATTCTACTTTTCACCTGCTGTAGTTTTACTAGTTTTTATAGAGCTGAGGGGGTGGCACCGGTTATGATTGGGTCGAATTAAGGTGTGGTATCCTCTGCTGCTTGCACCTCGACTTCGAATGACTTGATTGGATGGGCGTAGAAGCAGCCCCTCTAAAGCTTTCCTGGAAACAAGTAGCTTCCCACTCACAGTACTTGCCATGATTTTCTTGTTTTTGTACAATGCACTGTGAAGTAACTAGTTTATGTATTCAAATTATGTAAGAGCTAGCGAGAAATGTATCATGTGGATGAGGTGACTGGGACCAATTATAACTAGATAACTAACCTTCTCGAACACCATAAATAAAATAACTAGACTTGTCAAAATCAGCAGGGACTTACATTCACAAAATCACAAACGTGTTCCCACAAAATCGAGGAAAGGTGTGCGACAAAAATTGAGATTTCGGTCCCCCTTCCCGCAAGCAGTAACTCGATGGCACCTTCGGCCGAGATTATGATGCAACCGCTACTCAACACTTGGACATATCCATGAATAAAAAATGTCATTCCTTGTTTTTTTAGTGCATTTTAGAAAGTTACTAATATTTTTTATATATTCCGGACTCAGAGGTCGCTATAAAAAATAAAAATGTTATGGTTTATTCATATCTCATTCGGTTTGAATTATTGAAAGTCTGCATACATTTTGTATTTGTTCTAAATTCTAATATTTAGTCACCCAAATTCACTTAATGAAAACGTACACGTCAGGCAAGACCAGTACGGTGGTGTCATTCATTTAATAATTAATAGTTATTAATTCAATAAATTATGAGTTATAAAAAATAATGTAGAATTTATTTGCGATTAGTTGAAAGAACAAAGAGCATAAAAAGAAACTTGTGCTGTCCTGCCATCTCGACGTGCGGACTGGAGTGGCCGAGCTATGGCGCGGCATCAGCGGAGAGCCGACGACTCGAAAGCTTCCCTTGCAACTTGCTTGCCGGTGGTTGTAAATTATTCAAACTAGAAAAATAAAGAATTTTGAAACTAAATAATTTCAAAACATTTTTGTCAAACGCCTCATTGATTTTGAGTGCAAGTTAAGCAACTTTTGTTGAATTACTTTATCAATTAAACAATTGGAGAATGGCACTCGTTTGCGCAAGTACGAATTTGTTTATTTGCCTTTCAGTTCATGAAGCATTTAAATTTTGCATTACTTTAATATTGAATATTTTGTTCCTTCTAGTTTCCAATCACGTCCCAGACACCGCCGTAATTGCACCAACATCTGGCACCGTCTTTGAGAAACGATTAATTGAAAAACTTCTGGCAGAGAATGGAGGCAAGGACCCAATAAATGGAGAGCCCTTGGATATTGATCAACTTATAGAGATTAAAGGTATGTTGTCTTGTGATTATGTGATCACTTGTTGAGGTCCACCTTTGTTCCATGTAACGTGTCACACATGATGGCTGCAATACTTGATGAGTGTTTATTTAATTTCAAATTTCTTAGCTCCTGCATTCGTTAAACCCAAACCTCCTAGTTGCACAAGCATCCCTGCTATTCTTAAAATTCTTCAGGATGAATGGGACGCAATGGCACTTCACAGGTACATTGTTGAACAACAAGTTTGTTAATGTGTCGTGTGTTGTTGTGACTGGATAATTTATTTTTCTAGCTTTACGTTGAGCGACCAACTGAACATTGCTAGAAAAGAGTTGTCCCTTGCCTTGTATGAACGTGAGGCCGCGTGCAGAGTTATTGCTCGCCTGACAGATGAGGTGGCGGAAGCTCGTGGGGCCCTTGCGACCCTTAAACCTCAAACCCAGGCGTATGTTGCAACGGGTGGACAAGCAGGAGTAAGTATAGTTTAAATTAACGTTGAATTAAGTTGAATTTGTTATAATATACTATTTAATCGTATAATTCTAATAATTTCGCAGGCGTTTGAAGCAGCAGGAGGACAAACAGTGGCGATCGGCATCAGTGCTGAAATTCATCAGAAACTACAGGATACTGCAGCTGTTCTCACACAAGAAAGGAAAAGAAAGGGCAAAGCAATTCCTCAAAATCTAGCATCAGCAGAAGCCATTAAAGAATATCAAGTCATTGCATCTCATACTGTAAGTTTTAATCGTCCAACGTAAATAATATTCATACACAATTTAAATTACGTGTTACAATTTAGCCTATATCTTATTTTACGTTTTATTTAGGGACTACATAGTGCCAGTAGCCCAGGGATTCTGTGTTTGGATATCCAAGGAAGTACTGTGGTCACGGGAGGAAATGATAAAATTGTTACCGTATTCAATAAAGAAAGCGAACAAGTTGTTGCCTCCATGAAAGGACATTCAAAGAAAGTTATTTCTGTTCTTTGTCATCAAGACGAGGTGCGTAGATCATATATAGTAGTTTTATATACGTGTTATATACATTTTATTTTAAAATATTCAGTTTTAAATAATGTTTATATCACTGTAATATGTCTTGTAGACTTCTGTGTTGAGTGGTTCCCTGGATTGCACGATTCGCTTGTGGGATGCACAATCATCTCAACTCCGTCAAGTGATCCGTGCCCATGATGGAGCTATTACTGGACTTTCTCTGCATGCTACAGGGGATTACATACTCTCATCCTCAATGGATCAGTACTGGGCATTTTCAGATTTTCGAACTGGATCTGTTCTGGCTAAAGTGGTTCGTACCTTTTGAAATTTACAGACTTTCAAGTATGGGTTGTTATAATTGATAAATTATTTTAAAATGGTTTAGATAGGAGACGAGGAAAGTCCGTTGTTTGCTGCAAAATTCCATCCTGATGGTTTGATCTGTGCGATTGGAACTTTGAAATCCGTCGTAAGAATTTGGGACTTGAAGGAACAGTCAAATGTTGCAAATTTCCCTGGACATAATGGGAGAATTATTTCAATTGCATTTTCTGAAAACGGATATTACTTGGCCACTGCTGCAGAAGATGCATGTGTCAAATTGTGGGATCTGCGAAAACTCAAAAACTTTAAAACCATCGAAATGGCTGATAACTACTCTATCACTGATTTAGCCTTTGATCAAACTGGTACCTATTTGGCAGTGAGTGGCTCGGATGTCAGGTATTATTGAAATATTTGTTTGTCAATTTGTTTTATCCTTTCTATATATTTGCATGCATATTTATGTGTATCTGTTTAATTCCAGAGTCTATGGTTGCAAGTTGTGGAATGAAATTGCTGTGTATAACGATCACACTGGTACTGCTACTGGTGTTCGATTTGGACAAAATGCATCATTTATTGCGTCAACTTCTTTGGATCGCTCCCTGAAAATTTATGGAGAACAGCAGTAGGTTGTAAAACAAAGTAGTTATATCTATATATGTATATATATTTCGTTATAATACAATTTAAGACAGGACTATTACGTAATTAGACTTTTACTTTACCAGCTACTATTCGTTTGAAATACTTTTTGTATACATTCTCGTTGCTGTAATTTATTAATTAATCAATTAAACAATACTTGATCACTTCTTAATCCTGGATTAAATAATTTTAAATGTCATACACAAATGTCTCTCGTGCATTTGCTTAAAACCTGGTTTGACTTTAATATTAATTTTAATATCCCGTGTACTTGTCCGGTTCTTACATGCAGAAATTCATGTGGATAATGTAACATTATTAATGTTACGCCTAGATCTTACGAGTTTACCTTGCAACAAACAAAATCAAACATTTTAGCATAGCACAGATTATACTACAAGCAACCGCTTCTTTTTGTCCCATGTAATTTACCAAAGCATATTTCAGAAGAGAATTTATTTGGAAAGTCGACCTTTGCTTGCAGAGTTCGAATATTGATTCGCATAATAAAAAATTGTTACTTCATACATAAGTAGGGGTGCAAACAATAACTAACACAGCTTAATTACATATGCACGACTTCATAATTTCTGCTGGGATGCAACGGCGTGGGTCAGGTAACCAAACAGACCAACACCCGAGAGAGAAACTGCGTGTTTAATCCCCTCATGCTCGTGTGGACATATTGGCATTATTACTTAAAATTCATCTTGTGACTTGAACTGACGATGAGAAGATAGATATGCAAAAGCCCCAGGGCTCCCAAGAATAAATAGAGCAACGACATATTGCTATACTTGTGTGACATGACGCTATGCTACCCTATTCATATTTTACTCTCTCTCACACTCACTCACCTGCACATGCAGATCACTATTGTTAATGTATTGTTGCCTATGAATATTGCTGTTATTTGCCAAGGCAAGCTATATTGCATTCATGGGTTGCTGTGTTATTATGTGGACAACTTTTAGTTTTTGCTGTTGGTTCGTGGTACACTCCTCGCTCGTATTAACACTCACTGCAAAAAGATAATAACAATAATTTTATGTAGTCTAGCAGAGCTTGATTCACAGGTAGCATCATTTCAACTAACCTTAATTAAGCTATTATTTACTCTTGGTTTAACGATTTATTAGACTTTATGATTACTTGTATTCGCTGCATCTACATAACATATATGTGCCGTATGGTGTTATAATTGAGACGAGTTTACTGATCCAGAGAGGATAGTTGAATTGAAAGTGTGTGTTACGTTAAAAGTTTCGACTTATTGTATTGGTGGTAAGTTCCTTTGAAGATAAAATTTTTCTGTTTAAGGTTCATGAACAGCCTTGGACAGAGGCCCTGAAATTATATTACTTTATTATTACCTACTTTCATAATATACATACATAGTATCTGTCTCAATTTTGTCAAACTAGGTGAGTAGGATCATCTTTCCAGAGACGAATGTAGGCTACCCAAATGGATAATATGCTGCAATAATTCCATGTATTTCTATTTACTAAACTAAGATTTTAAGACTAAGGTTAAAAGGAAGGTTACAGGGTGCATCTGGTTTGTTATTGCTTTCATTTGACAAAGTGATAAACCACATCAAATGCACATGTATGCAACAAGAATATTGCTAAATTCTAAGTCTACACGACTACCTGACAACAATACCCTTTACATATATTTACCTAGTGATTCTACCTGTGGTTCTATTTATCAGGGTTTGTCAATTCAAAGTACTTCACAGGCATTTACTTAGTTAGAATATGGTTTAACTTGGCATTTACTAATGTTTCCAAGTTGAAACATGTAGCAGTCCAGTAGTTTTAACCCAACCAACGTAATTGCGATACATAAATTGGATCAGAGTATCATTTTTCATGAGAAAATTCACAAACCAGTTAATTGCACAAAATACTGAGAATCTACGTATATGTACATAGTTAGGCATCATAATCCACAGCGTGTACTGCATTGATTTAAGAAGGAAGTTGAGCTAGAAAATTTTATATGCAAACAATAAAAATTGTTTTTCTGTCCAGATTTAAGTCGTGTATACTCCATATTTATTCGCCAACATGGAGCGAGGAATCTATAAACGAATTTTACACTGTGGTTTGGTTATCGCGTCATTGGTCATAGTGAGCGCAATACCGGTCGAGGAAGAGCTAAGGATCTCACCCAAGGAGCTGGCTGCTTTGCAACAGGTTGGTAGTTTCCTCCCATTATGCATGTGCAGAAATGTTTTTAATCATAAATAAGCATGAAGTATTCTGATGTAACACATATAGGCATTTATTGTTCTTTTTGCAGTACAAGCAAATTATCCTTCCTAGACTCAAGCACGACTATATGAAGACAGACCTCTATCTAATAAGGTTTCTCAGGGCTGCTAACTTGAATTTAAAGGACGCTGAGCAGCGTATGATTGATGTAAATTTGCAAAACTTTGCATATGAAATATGTGCAAATTTCTACATATTCTTTTCTTAATTTCTCAATCTTTCTTGTCATGTCATGTCACTTGTAGAACTTAAAGTTTCGAGAGGAGAATAACCTTGAAGGGATACTTAGTGAGGATTGGTCCGATATAGAAAACGACTATCCATACAGTACAGACACCGTAGACAAGGAAGGACGACCAAGTAAGTGGAATATGATGTGAATGTCGATGAGACAAAAAATGTAAAAAAAAATTATTGGAATTTCTTCCCATATTGCATAGTTGTCTCATTTTCCCTGGGTGATTGGGACTTGCGGAAGGGCATTGTCCAAGGAAAACGTGACCGTGTGATCCGCTACTTGGACAAGGCTTTCGAGGACGTTGCTCTCCAAATCCGGGAGAAACAGGCGAGAGGAGAAAATGTGACGCAGGCAAGGCCAAACACAAACCTGCAAATTAAAGTTCTATTAAGTTAAAGTTACATCTAATTAAAATTAAAGTAATCCAATTTTTAGGCCATTTTTCTGATCAACCTGGCTAATTTTAATTTGGCTCAACAAGGATGCTTTCAATGTAAAACGACATATTTACATAGATGAAATCGTATTCATTATTAATAAGTTTGCCTAATATTGTTTTTCTAACTATCCAACAAATGCATTGTCTTTTCAGGTTTGCCAACAATTTATCAGTACTTTCTCCACCAAGTACACTTCCCAAATCTTTCAGATAAAATTATCCTAGTGAATAGTAAGTCATCCCGATGCGTAGTTGAAGTTCATATTTTAAATATATGCTATGAATTTACCATTACAGCTCCAGGGTTGTTTGAAACCGTGCTTCAACTCCTTCAGCCCATCATGGCTCCAGAGACAAGAGTTGCGCTGAGAGTTTTTGGTCCAGATAAGGACAAGTGGCGAAATTATCTGTACTCCTTAGTAGACAAGAATCAACTTTATACAGAATTCGGTGGAACACGACGACATCCTTATTAGCTAAATAAAGTTATCAAGTGAATAGGATGCTTCGAACATACGATTACAGATACTGATAGTTATTATTACGAAGTATACATTTCAGACCAATCTCCAATTGATACATTAATTTTCAATATTCAAAAAACAAATGGTCAATGTCAAGTTCTTACCAAGTGAACTAAATAAATAATAATACATTCACTTCATACAAAGTTTGAATTAAGCTTCAAGCTAAGAAAAAAATTCATAGAAAATTAAGGCAATTTCAATACGTATACGTACATTAAGAAGAAACATTTAGGAATTATTGTACTACTTCTCTTGATCTGCGTTGTTTACTTATTGCACTATCAGAAAGAGAAACCTGTGTCGCATACGTACGTACTAGGGTGTAATTTTCATACCCTATTACCGTTGGTGCACTATATGCATATGAAATGGCATAATACTTTGAATGGTCTTCGGAGTTCTGTATAAAACTCGGACTAATTACAGTCTGTCTATAAGTAGCATTCATTCGTTTTCTTCAAAGCAGCAACCCCGTGGAGTTGAATGAGACGAAATACATAAAACCGAAAAAGTCTCACTTATGTCCTCCGTTTGCATGGACCTGCAGTGAGACATAACGCAAACCACCACTTACTCCATCACGGAAACACCGAGTTTCTCCCGTGCACAGAACTTTCTCCACTCCGATTTCATCCCATTTCGCCAGTTCATCTCCACACTTCAGTGAGCAAACAACTCTCTCTCTCTTTTCACCAGGTCCTCCACTTTCTCCTCCCGGTGTCCAGAAAATCGCCTTAGACAGAACGCTCTTTGGGATTTTCTCTCATTCTCAGTTGATGCATTCGTCTCTAAACAAGGCGACATTCGTGTTGTACAAATTCAGTGACAACATGTTTAGTGAAAGTGGATCTTCAAAAATCTAATTTGTATATTCATGAAAAAAACGAGAAATTCATATCATTGACGTCAGACCACAGCAGCCGACAAACTTAAGCACATGTAGATGAAGTGATTTGAGATGAGAGGGGAAGCAGTGGGGCTATGTTCTTGTAGGCTACAAACAAACGTGTCGTGGATACATGTAAGAGTTTTGACAAAAGTAATCAACGTTGACTGACGCTCGTCTTGTACTACATACATCTGAATTCTCGGACACATTACCTTCATCATCGTCATCGACTCTGATCAATCAGCCAACCAAAAAAATAGTGAAAGTATGGCAAGGATGTAGAAATATGGTGAAGAAAGCAACTTATGTTTGGTACATCTGTGGGTTGAAGCATGGCTCACTTAAGCATAAAGCCACATATGTCCACCAGAAGTGGTGGCTGTGGTGATGTGACATTTTCACTTGGTGTGGGTGAAGTCAAGTCATCATTCGTTTGCTTACATGTAGTACCACCGACTAGAAAAGCACACTTTGTAGTGGCAGTGGTGAAAGTGCTGTGCCAAAATGAATTACGGAGGCAGAATGCTACGCCATAACATTTCTCTCACCAATAATAACGTTGCTTTTGTGCTATGAACGAATGGTGAAGCTGGTGGTGAACATTTGGAAACGCACTCTGAATGATCCACTTCCTTATTCCGTGAGACATATCGGGTGGTTGACTGACAGCTTACATAATTTGGACGAAAATAGCGTATATGTGAAGTCAGAACAATACACTGCATCAATATTGTTGAAATTGGTGAACAATCTGGACAAGAAATTTGTAAACAGTTTTACGCCAGAGACACTGCTTTCTCTTTGTAAAATAGTGTGGAGGAAAAATAGATAGACAATCAGTGGATATGTGGGCAACATATTCGTGAGAGGAGAAACTGGTAAGTTACTGATAATGACAACTTATAAAGCAAAAATAAGAGTATTTTGAAATGTCGATCCGAACATAACTTTATGATTTCCGTCAAGTAGTAGCAATCGTTCGTTAATCCATGGGTCTCAGGCATGATGCAAACTTTACAAAGTATTCTTTTTATTGGGTTATATGTCAATTACGCAACAAATTGTCCTTCCTATTCACACTTTTCACTTGTTAAATTGAGATGAAAGTTGCGGAGAAATGAAATGCATATGGTTTTGGTTGCATGGTTGGGCTGGTGGTGGTGGTGGCGGAGAAAGTCATTCTGACCATATGGTGTGATTCAGTGTAAATAATCATTCTCCAGACTCCTTTCACCAAACGTTGGCCGGCGACTGCGCCACGACGACACACACAGAAGTCAGACCCATGTTGCTTGCTCCTGTTCCCCCACGGCTCGCTTCCATGTCTCACTCACGAGTAAGGAGTTTAAGTGATCCATAAATCACGTCGACAGGGATGACCTAGCTCAGCGATGACATGGACGACGGTGTAGCGTGACTAATTGTGACATTCATAAAACGAAATACAAAACTTGAGTCTAAGCTACGTAGATTTAAACTTAATTCCTAACCAAGTGTATAAACTGTGGTCATGATGATCTCCAATATTTAATTTAATTATCACCCGTTCAATTAACCAATGAAACGCATTAACACATACATACGTACATAGTTCATGCAGACTAAATTTATCAGTAACGCTGAAGAAAACCCAAGACTTGCTGATTTTTTTTCTCCCTTGTTTCTTTCAATTCTGATCCAAACTAGATCAAAAAGATGACATAAAAGTATGTATTGGATCCCAATCTGATCAACAAGCAATGTACATATTCTTATTTTCTCGGTGTCGTCGTATACCCACATTTCATGGACTTGGAAAGCATGAAAAACAACTAGTTGCATGATTAGATTATTCTCTTTTTGCATTGCTATGCAGCCTGGGTGTCACATTTCCATCGTCTCAAATAAAGGAGACAACCAACAACTAAATTATATTGTTGTCAGTTCATTTGCCTTTCTCTCTTGCCCTTTCAGTCTTGCTCTACTTGCGTAGCTTTCTGGAATATGCAGCCCATGCATGTAAAAGACATTACTGTCCCAGAAAACATACAAATTGCAATTTTTATACATTGAGAATGGGTATCCATTGTAATGCGTGGGCTAATAACATTTGATAACGTTGTATTCCCTGCTGACAGCATCATAGACATGTATGTAGATATGTAACTGAATGTGGAATTCATAGTTGCTAACAAATCCATTCTCAAAATTTATTAGTGTTCTTATAGCTTTTTTCAGGAAAGGATTTACAGGTTTTTCAAACAACTACAATAGTTCTTGAACGAGTAGCTGAATCTGTATCTGCTATTTAACTACTCATTTCGTTCATAAATATTAGTAAACCACTCCAGGTTATGGCAAAACGAGTGACGCGTGGGTGGGTGGATCTTGTCCAGCAGGCCAAGTTGTGAGAGCAAGAACAAAATAAAGTCATATGATGATAGTGGAAATCAAAACTATGTGATGACAGAGAAAATTTTTCAGTGATGCTATCAGCAATGCAAAAAATTAATGATACAAGATTTTTCACTTTATCATTTGTCGCAACCGTTAAGGGAGTAGCTACTAAATGTCAAAGCAATCGTGGTGGTGATAAGCAGCATTAGTTATTGCTTGTACTAACTACTATAACTAAATTGTGCTAAACTATAATTATACTAGTATTATTATACTATAGTGTCACTAGGTTGAAACCTAGTGATCATTTTTGGTAATTCATTTCAACCAATCGCAAAAAACATATTAAGCTGGCTGAGCTAGATTAACAATTGGTAACAATCAATCAATTTCATAATTGATTGGGGAAATTGTTGTTACCAATTCTGGATCGGGTCCGAAACCCGTTCTTCCCCGATCGCAATGGGGCATTGTACTGTTCATAATGTTTTTATTTCGTACTCAAATTACTCGGCCAATTGTTGACCGATTTTAAAATTTTAAAAAGTTATAGATGAGTTAAAGTTTTGGGGTGGTTTTTACTTTCGAATTGGGATGTGCTCGACTGAAAGGAAAGTCCCACCCGATGGGGACAGGATTATCTCGTCCCGTGGGAAGCCCTAAGCAATTTGGTTGAATATATAAATGTGCATGAATGTGCTGGCAATACGAAGCATTAAACAGAACATACAGACTATGTACCGAAATGAAGGGAAATATCAACTCCAACGATGTGCGATACAACGAAATGGAGAGAAAGAGTGGCTCAGGAAGGATTAATAAGTTAAAATAAAATAAATGTCATCCAATCACTTTCACCGCGAGTGCTGTGTAACCCCGGTGGTGTTGGCTATTTTCAACATCAACCACATTATTTTATACCTGAATAAGAGGTCAAAAGTCAAAGCAAATGTGTGCAGAGCTAAGTTTTTGGTGTCAAATAATATTTAACAAACATTTGACCATCCCCCACCACAGGAGGAGCTAGGCATTAGTAGTAGTCCGGACAATTCGGACAAAAAAATTTAGAAGCGGACTCTGTCCCTGGGCCAAATGAAGTCTGTAGGGTATGTTACTAATATTTTCAAGTGTCTCATAAATATTGAAATTTTTGTTGTTCGAAATATTAATATTTCGAACTATTCGAACTATTTCTATTGAAATTGCCAGTTTTTCAAAAATATTTAAATATATGGTTTTTCATAGTTTCAATATTTCGACTATTCTTGACCAAAAATTTTGGTTACAGCTTACTTTTCTGGGTACAAGTTACCATGCACCTGACATAGTATGTCAGGTGCATGGTAACTTGCTGTTAAACAGCAAAAATTTCACCTTACTATTAGAAGAATTAAAAAAAACAATGCTGGTCACTCTATTGGATCCCCTGCTACAAAACTTGTAGAAATTTACACAATATTCGATGCTATTTACTCCCAAACTGGGAGTCCCAGTGGTCATGCAACCACTGGACCGATCATTCTCATCTTTCTTCTCACTCATGTCAAAGTATACATTTTAAGACAAGTCTCTAACAATCGGTGCAGTGGTTCATCTATTAGCGTCTTACAGCCGGACATTACGATTCCGCAAGTCTTATGTAGTTCAGGCTGAAAATTGTTTATTTGTCACTGATTTATGTAAACTGACAGATACATGTAATGTACTACTAAGATTGAAGCTATCACAGCAGGAATTATGTTATCCCAGTAAATTATTATATACTATGAATATAAATAAATAAGGTTTCCGAAGAGTGGGAGAGCTCAACAGGTTGTTTTCTTATAATCTCATCGATTTTCTTTCTCCATCTTCTATGTTTACTTGAATTCACTTTCTCCCCAACCCTAAACGCAAACAAATATCTCTCTTAGCTCTCCCAGAAATCGGGAAGGATAAATAAACCAAAAGTATAACGTAGACATCAATTTCACTTGTTTGGATAATGGATTAGAACCGCCTCCCCCAACGAATTTAGTATTTTAAGAAGGAAAAGGAGTGTTTGGACTGAATATATATTCGGTGAACCATATATTCAATTCACTCAGGAGAGGAGGTTGCGTACTATCAACTCACGGATCTCAATGCCCTTTGGATATGTTATAGTTGCATGAGCAATAGCCCTGAAGTGGTTTGATGCCACGGCCACATTTGCGCCCGCCACACCCACTCAAAGGTGCCCAAAAACGCTTTCACTCCAGCTTTCACTCATTAAAATCCACGCCAAAAATCCAATTTTACTCTTATTTTGAAATTTCTTTCGCCATTATACTCCCTGATAGTTGTTTTCTTATATCCAACTTCAAACTCAACTTTTGGAACTTTTTAGCATTTATAAAATTTAAAATTCCAAATGAGCATTGTTTCAGTAATCAACAACGCAAATTATCCCCGTGAAATAGTCATCGAAAAAGTTGAGTTTGATGTTGAATATAAGAAAACAACTATCTGGGAGTATAATAGTGAAAGAAATTTCAAAATACGAGTAAAATTAGATTTTTGACGTGGTGTTGAATGAGTGAAAGCTGGAGTGAAAGCGTTTTTTGGGCACCTTTGAGTGGGTGTGGCGGGCGCAAATGTGGTCGTGGCATCAAACCACTTCAGGGTTGTTTTTCATACTTGGGACACTATAACATATCCAAAGGGCATTGAGATCCGGAATACACAACCTCCCCTCCTCTGGTGAACCATGTTATTCTGACATTTTCATGAATTACATGTTCGTATGAAACCAGCTTTTGAAGCTTGTAGTATATAACTACACTGAAATTGAAATTTGTGTCTATCCAAAATGGCGATATTATAATGATTGACTTTCATGGTCTTCTAGGTATGTATGCAAAGAACGGGGGACGTACGAAAATCAGGGACAAGTACAAAACCTGAACTTGAGCAACAGAGCTCGCATTATTCTCGTCGTCATCATATTTTCTGCTTCAGGTGCATGCCAAAATTAGTGGGAAGCAGAATGTTCGGAGGCGGTCGTGGGGGAGGGGTGAGTAGCAGTCTCGGGTGAGTGCCTCCAGCCACCAATGCCCCACCGGAACCATCGCCACTTGACGCAACAACAGCTGGTGAGCAGTGCCTCCAACTCTCTGTTCACCGTCCCCCCTCCAAACCTCCGTTGCCAACCACCCCCGCCGCCACCACCACCAGTCACCCAGACTCCCCCGCCCCTCATTACCGACACCCTCACAGCTTGCCTCGACGTCAACGGCACCTACGTCTGCACCTCCTACAGCCCTCGATGCTACATCATCCAAAAGGTCAGGCTCGCCAATTCAACCAATTCAACCTATTTTATATGCATACATATTGCAAGAGAACTATGTGTTTGAAGAGGAAGCTAAGTAGAAATCAAACGGTCGGCGAAACCGAGAACGGCTAAAATTCCCCCTACTTCATTAATTAATTATATAAGCTATGAAAATTCTGTGTCCTTACAAACAAATAACTTAATCAGCTAGTGGGCTTTTTAGAAATAATATGTAGTAGTAGATTGAGTATGAATTGCGTTAATAATAAATTTGTTGTATTGATTATTGATTAATGTGTTTAGTAGTTATGAATATCTAATGAATGATATATGACTTACAATTCCTACACGAGAGTTGTTCTTTGTTCATTTCATCCATTTACTTGGTTCGAAGAATTACATTAAGCTTTTGTGCTTGCAGTTGACGCCGAATAGTGTGACGGTGACTCCAGCGAACGCCAGCGTTCCTCCTCCCGCACCTCCCGCATTGCCGACCTTCCCGCCTGGGCAGCGACCCGGCGGTCTTCAGCATCGGAGTGGGAAGCATCAGCATGAGGGGACCAGCAGCTCCACTGGGTCTGGAGCAACAAGAGTGAGCATGCAGTTTGTAAAATATGCAGCTTTCTCCACTCGTGCCACTTTCTCTTTTGCATGATCCCTTTAAACTGGTTCTATGTTGAATACCATTTTGGCCCAATATCGCACACTGTATGTATAATCTATCCAGTACAATAAAGTATGCATACATTATACTAAAGCGAAGTATAAGCAAAAAACCAGAAAAAATGAGTATATAGTTTACATGTTTTTCGCGCAATTCTACAGTTTCGACAATTTCCCGATGATCAATTTCTGAGATTACTATCATTCTTTACCTTTCCCCAATTATACTATCTCTCTTCTTGCATTCATTAAGCTTATTTTGTTTTCCAACATTTTATTGAGTTAACGTATGTTTTAAAACTGAATCATGCAAAGGAATAAGAATCCTTATGTGCAGATAATATGTACCTGTACATCTTGGCTTCTTATACTAATCTTATACAAATATTGGCTGGTTGTTCTTGCAGCAAGGGCTTGGCGGCGGACCTGTGGTGACAGGGGGAGTGGCACAACATCCCTTCCTCGCCAAGCAGCATGGGGTCAGTGGCGTGGCGCGACACCACAACCGTTACCATCGCAAGTCGCCCCAAACTTTCTCCCCATTCGAGATACCCGCTGCTCCCTCCTCTAAAGGTAAAAACTCCCAACCAAGGGAGCACACAATGAATATCTCCATTCTCATCACCCTTCGCAATTAGTTCAAAAATTGGTTTAAAAAAATTACAAACAATGAAATAATTTCCTCCTCAAATGTCATCCTAAAACCAACAAACCCGAATACAAACAAATGAAGTGATGGACCAAAATTACATTTAATCATAAGAAGAGTTATTTTTGTCCGTTTTGGTTTTATTTATATTAAAAGTCTTTGTTAAAAATTTTGATTGATTTTTGGCCCATTTGAGGGAATGAGGAGTGACGATGTGGTTGTGTATTCCACTCTGCAAGGATTCGCACTCTCTCCTCTCTCGCTGCAAGTCAGTCAGTCAGTGGGATTTCTCTCATCATCAGATTTGTGAGGAGTATAGAGAAGAACGGCAGACTCACTCCTGCAATACATTAGTCGTCGTGTTTCGAACTCCTCTGCTGTTGTCCCCAAAAAAATAAAGTCGAGTCGAATTTAAATTTCTTCACCACTTTTCTCCAAAAGGGAAGGGTTAAAAGGGGCTCAGACATTTGTGAAAAACACTTGAACATTTTCACCAAGGGTTCGCACTTTCTCGTCCTTTATCCTGGTCCACTAATTCGATTGGTTTTTAGTGCTGTCATATACATAATTTTCTCCCATTCATTGGATTCTTAATAATCAAATTCCAAAGTTTCAAGTTGTGGGTTGTACGTAGCAAATTTAACCTTCAGAATCAGAATAATTGGAGCAACTTATATCAGCTACAGAAGGAAGAGGAGGAGGATATTTTGGAATTTCTGACATCTGACACTATCAGATTGGTTCGAAAACTGCAGCAATAAAAAGTTGTACTACTGTGGCTATTTTATTAAGATGTTGGCCGTCTGTAACGTTTAGTGCTGTGATTTGTGATTCCTTTCTCGAAATATTAAGGATACGAATTATATGTGCTATAATATAAGTGCCCTAACGCACCCAACAGTTCCAAGTCCATAATTCAATTATGCAATAATTTAGACACAAATTAATGCTTAACTGTTTTCACGTACGATTTAAAGTTTATACATACATATAAAGTTTTGCAAGCGTGGCACAGCAAATCACCAGTTTAAATCTCATGTCGTTGGATAGATTAGGCGACGTTTTATAAAGTCGAACGAACGTTTTCTTTCTAAATAATTAGTTTGTTGCTGCTTATGGTTTCGATTGATTTGTATTTTCTCTATTGTTCTACCATTAGCTGAAAAAAAATTAAGAGACCTACATGAATTTGTGACTGTTTGTGTTAAAAACTTGGATCACACAGGATAAGAAAAGCTTATCATTTAGTTTCATTTGTTCGTTCAGGATAACGACAATCATTCCCATAAAGGGTAAGCGTTTTTGTTTAATTTTATATTTTGTTTAAATTTTTATTTATTTATATTATGATTTACTTGTTTCATTGCTAATATATAGATTGTTAAGACACACTATACACTTCATATCTAAAATAATTGAAATCAATATAATGACATTATCATGCAACTTAACTATAACGAAGCAATTTAAAGACAAAAATTAAGTTTTGAACCTAAACTTGCCAACAATATTAATAATAAGAACAGTAATATTTTCTGCCTTCTCTTCTCTGGATTGGATAATGAAGTAATAATACATTGTGCCATCATGTCTCTTAAGACATGATGACTTAAGTCTTAATCGACGATTTTGAATATTACGACGACGGCGACATGAATCGAAACGGAGTAGTGGGATGCATCACCGTCATTACCATGCGTACAACAATTACCACTGATGAATAATAATAATGTACGTGGGTACAAAAGGAAAAGGCAACTCTGCAATATAATATAGTCTAGAATATTATAGCTGTTTTAACCCAACTAATGCATGCATACTCATCAATAACTTTGGACAACGAGTTATAATAATTCTGGATTCCTGGAACATGCGAGATGTGACGCAAAATCTTTAATCCTATCACAGTAAAAGCTTCTTCTTCTACCTCTTCACTCATAATAAATGCTAACAGGTGAGTGAGCTGTAATCTGAAGTTGAATATAATTGGTTCCGAATTACGTGATTTCAAAATTATGTTCAGAGTACTTGTAAATAGAATTTGGAAAGGTCACATTTCAATTAATAGTTAGAGGAAATGTGTTTATCGTAAAGATTGACATTGAAATTTCTAAATGTAGTGGTTACCTACGGGCTTATTTAGAATGACTGAACTAAATTCAATACCCCAACCAAGTGGTCATCTGCTAAGTGAAAAAAGGAGCTAGTTGGACATCAAATCATCATACCATCAGATCACAGAATAGCATAGAGAGAGAGATAACGCGAATCGAAAAAGGTGACCTAGATAACACAGATATTACAATTTACAGTGCAGCCACTGAGGCAGCGTAGATGCAGGAATCGGTCGATTCAATAAAATTCGTTATAAAATACATGCCTATTCATCCACCACGGCCCACTCTCACACGTACCAATACCTATGTAAATCCGTGTGCCTTTCGACATGCAGAGATTTTTTTAACATCTGTAGAACGACTATTATTCAGATGGTTCAAAATGTGCAGACCTCAGGGAAAGCAAGTTAAAAGATGAATATAATAAATGCGAGCAAAAGGTTGTCACCAGGTAGAAATTGTCGATTCATATCAGATCAGGGCACAGGGGAGAATGTGAAATGAATGTTAATGTGTTATCAGCATTTATTCCATATTATGCATTATTATTCAGAATCCATTTGATATTCAAATGAACAAGAGATGCACGGATGATGATTAATTATTTACAAAATCAGAGGTTTCGAGGATTGATCTGCTACATTATTTATCTGTCAGAACCATTTTTTAGAAGGGGGAAAATTGTGTCTTGATTTAAACACTCAAAAAAATGCATGATACATTTGTGTACGAATATGCACATGGGATAAAAATATAATTTGAAATGAACTTTTAAATTTAACTGTTGAAAAATATAGTAATTAATAATCGCTCCAGTTTATTAGACACACGATCAACTGGAGAAGAAAGGCAAAATAGATTGAAAATCGCTCCGGATGAGGATTTTGAACTGCTGCTATTATCAATTGTGTGGTCGGTAGACATACCAAAAAATACTTAAAGCATGAAATCTAATAATACTAATACTTCGACTACTGCGAGTTCAGCGTATAGTCACGCATATGCACAATTCCATAATAGTTTTTATTAATAACTCGTATGACGGAAAAATTTGGTAATTGTGGACATCTTTATGAATGGAGTAGTTTATAAGAAGAGTGATTGAGTCATGTATTTGACTATATGAGGTTGATTGACTAATAATAAGTCCGTTGTTTAACAGTTTATCGTGTCCCAGTGTCATACATAGCTATTAAAAATTTATAACAAAACATTAGTCAGAAATGTAGCCGGATAAAATTAAGCAAAAACATCATAGTAAACTTATTGATACACTCTCGTCATTTGGAGCACGGCATTAATTTCGAATGTTTATATTTTATTATTCAACTAGCAGGAACAGTACGGGCAAGACGGTGTGAGTTATGTAATACAAGACATACTCATTTGTACGTGCATGTATTATTGGCGAAGAGAGATGACCAGTACAATTCTGGCTTTCTTTAATTCCTTTCCCGTTTTTCAAGATTTGATTTGCATAATGTTGTTTGTACGAATGATTGTTCGGTCACGTTCCTGGCTTGAGCCAATGGATGTATGTTGCAGTTGTGTCATTATCTATCTACCTTTCTAGAAATTTTGTATCTGTTTAGCATTTTTCGCCTTCACGTTTCTGCAAATACATGTACCAAACATCATAATCTCATAACGTGTAATGTCTATATCTGCAAATGACATGGTTAATAGGTGTTCGTTCAGTCAGGAAAGTCAATGGCATCTCGTTGTTAAAAAGAGTTTACCTGCCTCTGCAGAGGCAGGTGCATTTATCTTGCGGTGTGTCAGTGTGGTCATGAAGGTTCCTTTCTTTGTCTCATAAAATGAAAATCCAATGCACACACCACCAAACCAATTGCATTCAGTTGTTGTAGAAACACTTTAAACTTGCCATTTTATTTAGCAGCGGACGAAAAGTGTGTAAGCAAAGAGATTGCAGTCATGAAGATGAGCTTGTTGTTGGTTGGATGGACGGACATGCAGCATGGTGTAAAACCAATACCGTACACTTGGATGCTGATGAATTTGGCGTATTTGAATTCAGTCATCAGTCAAAGAGCGTATGTCCATTGATTTGCAGCTCTTTAGTCGGTGCTGTCTGTGTATGTGGTATGTATGTCATCCTAGCTAAGCGTGAAAAAAATTCGACCGAGTCAGTATTATACTACTGACTTGGTATATTAATAATGAGCGAATCGCCTATCTCACAACTTGTGACTTTTGCGTAGCTTTCAATGCATTTATGCAAGTCTGCTTCTGCCTACTCGTATTTGAGGATAAGCTACAGCTTACGTGTATTTTAGCATACGGTACGGAGAAAAGATGACTGAGCGAATAAGTTGCACACGCAAAGTAGTCTCTCATTATTAAAACTCGTGGTTTAGTTGCACTACGCATTCGTTACCAATGTATAAACTAGTTTTGGGATTGGAGTGTAAATAGCAGTGTCGAAGTCATAGATATGTATGCATCATGCTTTCGTTCTTCGTAATTTGTGAATGCATCGACTTGCGCCGATATGTAGTCATGACCAGAAAGAGTGTTGGCTCCAAATATTACGTGGTTGAACTGAGGAGAACATCTACATCTACATCTGATGTCCTTGGAGGACTTGGAAAACCGAAGGTGGGTGAGGAGGCTGGATCAACCTAACCACACCTCCTCAATGGGCGCCCAACGCCAAATTCACGCCACTAAAGAATTCACAAAAAACACAATCGTTATATTTTCTCTGTCCTCGATAATTACTCAATCACGCTCAATATCAACTTTTTTTAAATTGTTAGATATTTTCGAATGTCTTTGAAAAAGGTTCATTCGAATATAATACACAAGGCAACATTTTTTTTGATGATCAAGGTCCGAAAAAATTGTACTTTTGGCATAGGTTATGAACGAAAAGTATTTTTCTGCTATTTTCATACTTTTGTGTGAAATTATTAAAATCGTTTGGTGGTTTTAGTACACTTATCGCTTATGATCTAAAGACGATCAAGATCTAAAAGTTTATGCTATTGGTTCTCCGCTCTTGAATGTGCCGAAACTAGTGTGATTTTACTGAAAAGTTCATGCCTCTTCTCATTTCTGATTCACTTTATGTTAATAATGCTATATTTAAATGGCTTGTTGGCCATGAAAATTTAACAACAATTGAACATTCTCCATGTTACATATTTACATTATTTGGTGTTGGTTATGGTTAAGAAAGTTAAATTTTTAGGTCTTGATTTTCCTCTCGTCAGTCATTCAGAGATGGTAATTCTTCTCCTCAGATTCTGCAATCCAACCGGTGCTTGTAGATGTGGTAGCAAAAAGCATTATAGCGACGACTTTATGTGAATATCACTACACAATATATATGCATTTGATAACAGACTAAACCAACTTATTAGCTAACGCTGCATGTCGTAAGTACATGCGTTTGTACTCTACTCTTCTCCTTCGGTTGTTGTTCGGTTATTTGGATTGGTTTGGCTTTCTCGGATTGCACTGCACTGCATTTTCGGATAGACTATTCTATTCTCATCGCATCGTACAAATCTTACTTTACCAACCAACCAACTTCCTTTTTAAATCCTTCCGAATTCCTCGTCGTTATCCATTCCATTCCATCGTGGCTGGCTGGCATGCTCCAACACCCTGCCCACCTACGTAATATACCTTCAATTCATTCCTCAATTGCAAGATAGCATTTGGAAATTTTGTGCCGGTTCTCGTGTATGAGGCTTAAAAACCCATCAAGGGGGATATTTTTTCTACGCATTATCTTATGGAACAGAAGATAATCGGTCTCTACTTCATTTCTACAAACCCAAAGTGTGTATTATTCCGATAATTGATTACAATCAAACTCGTCGAACTAAACCGTTGGCTAGTGACCTACACATTTTACAAGTGAACATTTTACTATTTGAATTTTGTACGCATTTTCACAATATGGGCATCTGAGTTGTATTTAAGTTGGACAAAACCTGTTTGAAGTCAAGTTGTGAATGGGTGCAAGTAATATAACGAAACAAGTCTTTCGTAACGTAAAGACTAAATTGAATTTGGAATTCTCTATGCCAACAATCGGTTTCTTTTCGCGTTGTGAGCCATGGGCTGTCTGCTTCTTTGATTGTGATACGATGTCGATAGCCGTGTAGCCCAATGTCTGTGGTTGTGATGTATGGTAGTAGTAGTAACTACTTGTAGCAAATCATCTTGTCTGGCTCAATTGTTGAAGGCGTCCGTGGTGGAAGTGAGGGAATTGGGGTGCACAACTTGCTGCTTCTTTCGAGTTTGTTATCTTCTTTTCTCGTCGAGATGAAGAAGTTCTTCATATGATAATAAACAACAGGTAAGAATCTCCTCATAGCATTGGACTCGCATCGAAAAGCACAATCAAACGTATGTATGATTCAAGTAGGGAATTATTTAAACTACATAGAAACCTCTGCATGCTGATATTTGCATAATCAAGTCAAGCGTCGGTTTTACTGTTGCGAAATTAAATTATTTAGCTTAAATCGAGCCCTCGCCAAGTATTCATTACCTGGCACAGCGTCATTTGATCATATTTTAAATGTTAATCTATGAACTTTTGAAATTGAAATCCACTACGTTTCCAATTATTCACTAAAAGTGCCTGTGGAGGTGGGAACTGGGAAGAATAAATTTACAATGGTGGGTAATACGACTTGGCTTAATATTAATATGATGAAACTAATCATGCGAGATGCGAATCCAGTATCAATTCTGGAAATTATGGTCTGAATGGAATTAATGTCAATAATAATCCTGTGTATTTATCTGGCATGTTACGAAGCAGCAGGCGCATACATTTGCTCATAAGTGAACGAACGGAAGTGAAGTTGTGCGAGGTGAAAGGTTGTTCCGTCATGACCATTTTAAAAATCACTGTCACTTCAATCAGAAACATCCTGCTAGTCTTTTGCTACGACTCTCTGCAGAGATACGAATGTGCATACCTGTGTCCCACCTGAAACCCATCTTCCCCTCCAGCGCAGCGCAGTGCAGCCCTGTCTGTCGACAAACAAAAGTATCGAATTCATATGTACATAGTGGTGCATGGCCTATTGAACTTTGATCCTGGCCCTGCTTTTCCGTCCCATGGATGGTTTGTAGAGGTTTCTGTTATTAGTAATAACTTATGACTTAATAACTTATAACCACAATGTAATAACTTATTACATTGTGTTGGCAGTGGTGGTGGTGGGGGTTTAACCATGGTTTAAATTACAATGTACTAACTTCTTGGATTTGTTTGTACGGAGAAGAACAAGTATGATAGTTGTTCAAAGCCAGCTAACGATTAGTAGCAGGTTGGTCGTGATATTTTCTTGTAATCTCTGTAGTAAGCATAAGCAGTGTGGACATTGGGAAGATGAAAGGAAGGACGTGAATCCAGAACTACAAACAACGATGAAGAAAAATGTCTGTGATTCATTTGAATCGTTCATTGTGCATTGAATTGACACATTTTATTTTACAAAATACATGTAGTGAGCAATTTTCGACTACCATCTCGTAAATCATAATACATTACTTACATTAGAAGGAACTATCAAACGTTTTTAAAAACTATGCATGCCTGAATCTAATTTTCTTACTGAGAAAAGCTGTTAAATGGAATGCCAATCCTGTGAACTTGACATAATACTGATTGATATGTGCAAGTAAAGTCATCCTGGAATAATTTTGTTCAAAATTTATCAACACACCAATTTATATAGTGCACATGTGTGTGTTCATTTGATGGCATATATTGTAAGATAAAAATGGGTGAAAAAATTGAAGAACTTGAGCTTACTGGGTCCGCGTCCGCAACTGTTGACTAATTTTTGGCTTGAAATTATTGTTTAAGTGAATTTCTTAAAAGTACGAGCATTTTTAACTAATCTCGATTTCATAAATAGCTCAAATTGGGAAAGTCATGAACTGGTGATTCAAATTTCAACCTTCCTTTATGGAGTTAGACATTAAATAATTTCCGTATTTCCTAAAATTATTTGGAGAAAATGCAAAAGAAAATTAGATTACAGTTTAAAGATTTTCGGTTGAACAGTATTAGTCAGTTTCATTGGTTCAATTTACTTCGAGGTTGAGTTGAGGTTGGGGTTGGTAATAAATAACAATGCTCTGACGGATTTACTTCCACTATTAAAACTCAAACACTGATAACATGCCCTCTCAATTCTCATCCCTGCTAAACCTTTGCAATTGAAGCCAAGTAGTGTTATTACGTTATCTTAGTGAACTGAGGAAAGCGAAATAATAATTACCTCGTTGTCTGCCCTAATTGAACTTTAATGAATGGTATTTCTCATCACCTCAAGAAATTGAGTGAATGGGCTGCTAATTTGATATCTCCTTGCACTCCATTCATAAAATCGTTCCTTTAGTAGTCTTGTATTTTCTAGCAAAAGCATTCACTCGGTGCATCTCGTACACTTCTCAGGAAATTAATATTACGACTGTATTAACAACGTTTCATAATCAATCTGGATTTGATTTCGATTGCTGAAATGTATCATATTCGCGTAAGTCAAGTTACAGGATGAAAGGATTAGCCATTTTAATATGGTGTGTAATTTTTAATTTTAATTTATATGACGACGATAACTAAACCATAATCTAGCTAGAGTGTAATTCTCATTTCTCGCAGTAGGAGCCCAAATTTAGCCAATTTTTTGTTTCAATTACATGTTTAAATAAACTCCTGGTTGTGATAAGTTTGAAAGCAGACATAAGATCTAATCCTAAGATTTAAGATCTTTCTAAGGTACTCATAATTAAAAAGGTGCTAACTATTTGTGACCATTGTCACCACCTCTGGTCAGACGGGCGAATCGGGAGAAACAAAAAGTCGCTGCTCTCTCGCTCTCTCTTGTGCTTCTAGACAAGCCGCCTTCCCACCAAAAAAAATACTCAATTTATGCAACACAAACACAGCGCCAGCATTTACTTTGTTTTTACTTATATTTACACTTAAATTTCAAATCAGATTTAAATAATTAGCATTCCAATCAGCTTATATACTCATAAAAGTAGATATTTATGAACTTACACAAGGCAGAGGACCGGAAAGACGAATGTCAGCCTAACTGAACAATTAGACACTAGCGTCCGTTTTTTGTACAAAGTTAATTGATGTAATGTGTGAGTGTTACCAGCAGAAAAGCTGTTGATTTGTAATTGACTGTGGAGGAAGACAAGATAAGAAGAAGAAAAACGTCGTCATTATGTTATACTGGATCGACATGGTCCGAGAGGCTCTCTGGCTATGTCGGTCTCAGGACGAATAAGTTAATAATCCTCCTAATTTGTAATTACTGAAGAATTTGCCTCCCTCATCAGACAGTTATGCATTCTCGGTATCACAATGGGATGTGTTATTATGAACCAATTCGATACCTCCAGCAACCAGTTGGAAATGGATATTGGTTTGATCAAGGTCAACTAACTAATTTTGTGTCGTAATCAATAAATAATACAATACTGAGATCCTGAATTTGGTGTGTAGTTGATACGTAAACCATCTCGGGTTTATGTTTTGTGCTTAGTCAAGCGGAGTACACAATAAGAAAACACTAACTAACGGTACAATGATGGCATTGTTGTTGAATTTCATGGGTATCAAATATCAGTTGTTTATTACTCAGAAAAGTTCTTTTTGAATCAAATTCAAGTGGCCCGAGTTTGATAGAGTCACGTCGGAGTTCTATCTTTATCTCATTTCAAAGCTGATAAATAATTATGCAAACATTATGATACGATTCTAATGAGAGCTACTGAACTAATTATAAGCTGCTGTACATATGGTAATGGTGGTTGTACCATGTATGCAATATTTGTATGGCAAGCCCTATAAAATATAGTATAACATTATATTGTAGTTTAATGCTGGATTTTTTTATTTAGGTGGCGCTTACATGAATGGGGAGATTGGATCTTCGGTTAGATCGGTTGGGGAGCCTGGGCCAACAATGGTGTATCAACCTGTGGGTACCACCCACACCCCTCATCCTCATCAATCTGCAACCCAATACTCTGAACATCATCAGTAAGTTTTCTTTCCCCCATTGATAGTGTAGTTTGGAAAAATTGATGATTTTGTATTTGCTTCACTGGACGCTTTATTTGTAGCAACAATATTTCTATTTTCTTTGCATGTATGTGTATATGCAAAGAAACTATAAAGTAAAGAAGGAGCCAAAAATTGAAAATTATTAGTAATACTTATGTTTTTTGACAACTAGTATTTGCAGGCGATGCATTAGATTTTACATTTTCAATTTTCTTTAGTGGATACAAATTTGTATTTGTTCTCATTATTTAATTTCAAAGGTTTTTATACAAAATGTATGTTAAATAAATGCGTGAATTGTTTTTCAGTAGCGGCATGAATGGAATGATAATGCCGCAGGATTTGTACGGCGAAACAGTCGAGACGGCTGCTGAATTGCAGAATTTCAATGGCTCGGAAAATAAACGAGGGTTCAACAGTCATGAAACTATCTCAGGTCAACCTGCCCAAGCTGGTCACATACCTGACCTTCCTATTACCGAGCTAAAACGAATGCTTCTAATTCAACTCGAATATTACTTTTCGCCGTAAGTCGTCGCCGTAACACATAGTTGATAATAATTATGATAGCCACGAATGGGTCACTTTGATTGTGGGTACTTATAACTTTAATTATGGGATGCAGGGAGAATTTGGCAATCGACAAATACTTGGTTACTCAGATGGATCAGGACCACTACGTTCCGATTGCTACCTTAGCGACTTTCAATATGGTTAAAAAACTAACATCTGATATTAATCTCGTCACGGAAGTACTGAGAGGTATTGATTATTATTTTTAATACTAATATTATAAGTACACATTATATTAGCTATGCACCAATAGTGATTGAATGGATGCAATACAATTTTGTATTAAATTTAATTATTTTAGAATCGGCAAATGTTCAGGTGCATCCTGACGGCAAAAGAGTCAGGCCTGTCAGCCATCGAACTGTTGTCATTCTTCGGGGCATTCCGTCATCTACTTCAGCGGAAGAAATCAAGGTATGTTACTTATCAAATAATCAATAAGTTATCATGTAATTTGTTAACTTTACAAAAACACTTTAGAACATATTCGACAACGAGAATTGTCCCAAGTGTACGGGTTGTGAATTTGCCTTCAACGACTCTTGGTATGTCAGCTTTGAATCAGATGAAGATGCTATGCAGGCCCACAGATACCTAAGAGAAGATGTTCGAGAGTTTAAGGTAGTTCATAATTCCATAAGGTAATTCTCAGTATAAGCACAATTTGAATATATTTGATTATCCTACAGGGTCATCCTATCATGGCAAGAATCAAATCAAAGCCAACGACTTTACTCTCACAAGGAGTTGCAATTGGTGTCCCCGCAGGCATAAAAAATGGATACAGTCAACCTGGAGGGATGATGCAGTCTTACATGGCGACGGCGACTCCATTCGTACCTGCAAGTCAACAACAACAAACTGGTGCAAACAATGGGCCTGCATCTTTATATGCCCCTGCACAGCAGGTATGTATTATGATAAGTCGAAGATTAAAAAAACAAATTGACTAGAAAGCATATGCTGAGATATTAGTTTATTTATCCAGGTTCATCAAAATGTATTCCCCCTACCATCGAACTATCCAGGATTTGGGCAATGGCCTGGATATTTTGACAGTCTATCTATGTTCTCCCTGAACGGACTTCAACCTCAAGGCCCATCAGGATATGGGAAGTCAGCCCCAATGAATAATCTAAGGTCACGTAATCTCAAGTATGGAACTTTTTTGCATTTATTTAAGAAGCTTTGTATTATACATTCTAACTGTTCTCATTCATGTACCAAATAATGTTTAGCCCCATGCGTGGCGTTGGTCCGAGAAGAACAATGAGTTCAGGCAGTGATTCTCAAGTTGTGAGCGGTACTGGAGGAAACAATAATGGACTCCAGCCACAACAACATCAACAGTCATATAGCAGTAATAACCAGCCACCCCGCAAGAACACCGCTCCTGTTCCTGCTCCCCTTCTAGGCATGGTACCACAAAGTTTGATTTCTCATCCGTCTTCTCACTCCAACCATCATCCTTCGGTGCCCCATAATTCGATTCAAAACTCATCTAATCAATCCACAAATGGAGGTCGACACTATAGTAGTAACGCATATTCCCAAAGTTTACCCCACGTGGTTGACAACGGTCATTATACGCGTCCATATCGTGGGACTGGCGATTCGAGGTAATTATATAATTGTTATTATTATAGTGAACCAATCATTCATTATCTATATCTATATATTCATGCAAAACGTTGTCTTTGTTGCGTTGTATATGTTTATAATCTTGTTATTTCGTTCTGTAGACCAAGGTCTAGTATGAGCTCCAGCTCTAGAAGGCTCCCCCGTCGAGACGAGGAGTGCTCGTCGTATGACTATAGCTCACCTGGTACATCTAGTTCTTCAAATTATCGAGGAAATCCGTCCAGGTAAACTGAATATTATTTTTATTTATATGAAACAAGTAATAGATTACAGTTGAATGATGAAATCAGTTTTCAAAGACTAATTAGAGAAAAGGACAAACCTCTTGGTTTAGCAAAGTCAATGATATATTATTTTATTTTCTCCTATCTTCTTTTCAGCCGCATTAATCCTCCAGTAGCCGTCTCACCTCAAATCCCTGCACAATTATCTGTAACAAATCAAAATCATCAAATTGATTTGGATTTGGAAGGATCGTTTCCACCGCTTCCAGGTTCAGCCAATGCATCCAGCAAAAATGGAGAAATTAGGCAAGTTCAATTTTATGACCCTAGTTTTTATTACTATTTGCTAATGATATGCACTTTATCTTATTTTTGGTGATCTGCTATGTATTAGTCTAATTATCACTTACATTGTTGCCATTCTAGAACTCCCCGTGTCACTTCGATACCAAAAGGGTACGTTGGAGATTTTTCATAAAATAAATCGATTCTTTGAACTCGAATTAATCAAAATCTTTTCTGCAGACTATCCGATGTGGTAAAGGGTTTCAAGGGTGTGAAATTAGATGATGGTTCTTCTGCTGATAAGGAAGGGCCTAATGAGATCGTCGTCAGTGCTGCCGAGCCTGGATCATCAATTAGCTCTGGATCCCCTGGTGAGGTTGTTGTGTCTGCGGCGCAGAAAGAAGATAGCAACGACATGTCTAGTCATTTATTTAAGAAAGAGTATCGCGAGATTGGAGTCGGCAGTGCCGATGAGAATCACGATAGCATTCAAGCAAAGTAAGACTACAAGTGGTTTAATATGCACATATGTCTTTGGTTACCAGCAAACCGTGATCTTTGGTCACTTATTAAATGCATTTATTTATTTATTTCCAGAACTGGCGTTGTGAGCCATACACAAACGGCTGACAAATCAACACGAACTGATGAACACCTCCTATATGGGGACCAACCAAATGGTGGAAACAGCAGAAATAATAGTCAGATACAACAAACTCAACAACTGGCCCAAATTGTTGGGAACAATTATCGAAAATCCGTAACTTCACAACAAGGAGGTGCAAGTAAATCTCCAATTATTCCTAGTAATCTTAATCGTGTTGGAGTTTCACACATAACCGGAACTGAAGTGCCTTTAAACAACCCCTCCCCAAACTCGATGCGCGGTGCTCCTTCGACTCTGTATCCAGACAATAATCGTCTTGGTAGTGGTGCTGGTGCTGGGGGAACGATCGTCAATCCTACCAGTAGTAAACTAAGTACAGATAAGGAGGCTTTCCCAGCTCCGAACTTTGTCAAAGTGCCAACCCCTGCTAGTGCAAAACCGTTTTCTGGAGTCACTGATCACAATCCCAAGGAGGTATTCATAACATATGATATATTTATTATTTCAATTATATTTATACATACAGAACGCGAATGTGCGAATATATACTGATTTTTAATACTTGTCGAATGGCGGATATAAATACTTTTGTTGAATTTGTGTTCTAATACAGTCGGTGCGCTGTAGCGAAAATGAGCGAAAAGAGTCTGGACAAGGGGATGGTAAGAAGGCAGAAGATTGCTCAAATCTTTCAAATGACGAAGGCCCTGCGCGCTTAAGCTATGCACAAGTGGCACAAAGTCGTAAAGATGCTGCTGCTGTTCATGGACCTCCTACAACGTCGTCCTCGTCTTCTAATTCATCTTCCACAAGTGCTGCACATACTCAAATAAATAGTCCTCCACAAAGTTCCTCAGGTGCTCAGTCTTTTCAGGATGAAAGGAAGGGAAGGAGCTCTCGTGACAACAAAGACACTCGTGCGCAATCATCTAGTAACTATTGCATTTTGAGAATTTATTTCGAAATACGTTGTTTTTAAACTTGCAAATTGCATTATTGATATCTGTCTTATCCTACAGGGAACACGCGTGGGAATAGTGACCGAGATCGTGTAGATCAGACTCAAGGTCGTTACCCAGAAAGGAACTATCGAAATAGGGGACCCCGAAGCCGCGTCACGTCTGACGCATCAGATACTGGGAGTAATTCTGGAGCGAGTAGTAGGCCACCACCTGCGAGAGGCCCAAGGTCTCCAAAGTGAAAAGTTGTTCACTTTACTCCAGCCATCATCGTCTATCTCCGCTGCCCACAGCGTCAAACGCACCGCATCCCTATATATCATCTCAACGGTCCCAACCAGCAATCAATCCTACCCAGTTACAACTTTAGCTCTGTAATAATATTCACCCACCCATCGCCACTTATTAAGTTTTCAGATTTCTTTCAAATTACTACTTCTCTACATCAACCGACGAATTCTAAAGCCCAACTAATCCTAAAGTGAACTTTGACGTTTCGAATTAATTTGTAAGAACTTTACCAATTTACCTTATGCAGCGTAAACGTATTTCAGGGAACGCTAACTTAAAATTTAAGTTTTTAAAAATGTACCGATTATTAGATAATTCATTCGCCATGCTTATCTTGTTCAAAATCATCCGCATTATTCAAAGGATAACAATTCTGTAAGCAATGTAGGATGCTACATAATTCTCTTCAGTAATATTTTCGCATTTGATTGGAAATTTTAGTATTTTCGAAATTACGATTATAAGTAATTGATTGCCCTGCATTTGATAAACTTTATTGTGATCTGCATTATATAAACCATGTAAAGTAAAAGAAGAAAAGGGTTTCTTATCAAAAGTGGTCTTTTGCCACAATTTCTATTTATACTCCTTTTTAATTGAGTCGACTAACCACATAGTAAAAAAAAGTAGTTGCCAATTCGAATAGCTACCCTCTATACTTGTACAACCCTTGGAAAAAAATATGACCATTCATTGCTTTCAGTTAGGCAGCTTTGACTTGGCTTGCATATTGGAGGTATCAAGTTTTCCATCCTTTTGTATTACCTGTCCTACCAACCAAACTAATAATCTTATCATCATAACTCGTCTATTACTATACACTACAATAATAGATAGTGACTCATTTATGTTAAGCAAAAGAACTGATTTACTGGTATTTGTAATTTAATACGTTAGGTACTATAAAATTAAGCCAGGGGAGCGATGACAGTGATATTTGCGCATTCATCGGTCATTGTTTTAAACTTAATCTGCGGCCATATGATAAGTAACTCTAACTGATCCAATGAATGCAGTGGAGAATTATAACATTACATAATAAGGAGGATGGTTGTCAGTTGTTGTAGTGTACTTATCATTTGACCAAGTCAATTCCTAAAAAAGATCGATGCTAAATTCTGCAGTCCAATATTTGGAAAATTATTCATCCTCGATATGATGAAATATGGGCAATCAGTATCCTATGCATATGTAGGGTCGACTAGAACAATAGTTTGAGTTGGGGCGAAATTTTGCTAGACCAACGATTTAAATAATAAGAATTTATCATATTGCCAAATCACAATCAAATCTTTATGTTAGACACAATAGGATGATACTATTATCGATTTAAAGGTAAATTAAAATCAATGCAAATGTGTGTGCAACCCAGGGCGTATGTTTGTGTGCGTGTTTGTGATAAAAGTACTACGAATCTATATAGTATGTGAAATTGTATACGTTGCAGTTAAAAAGACTAACAGATAATATTTAGCTGGAATAATGGTTTCAATTAATAGATGCAGAATTAAAGTTTTGTTTTGGCTCATATGTTCATGAATTAAAAGTCTGTTAAGTTCACGCAAAATAAATTAGGAAAGCAATGTGCCTCAATTTTACCATTCATTCATAATATTTTGCTGGATAAATTTCTTGCTACAAAACAACCCCTGTTCAGATGATGGAAGGAAAGACATAACAATTGAGCGATTGAAAGTTTTGTTATTTTTGTTGGTCTTAACAAGTCGTTAAATATAGTACCAATTACCAAATCATGTATTCATTATTATGCTTGTATTATGTATAATGTCACTTAATGTTTTTACAATATTTTGGTGATTAGAATTTATATTGGTTTAAATTGCCTTGGTTTTTATCAGTTTTGCTATAATAATCTATTTTTAGGGTTTAAAGCCAGTGAAAGCCATCATTTAATATTTGTAGGTTAAGGGGGATTTACTCTTTCGATAAAAAGACTATGATAATGGTCGGTTACTTTGCTCAGACCAAATTATACAAATCAGCAAAGCGTACTAAATTTATGTCGACAACTCTCAACTCGTATCTTTTCAATTCGCGAGGCAATTCTTAATTACTTCAAACGAATCAAGGACAATTTGATATTTTAGGACGATGCTTATTTCTTACCCGAATACATTCATGGGGAACTAACTATTGTTGGATTAGACGATGTAGTAGGGAACTTGAGACAAATATTGGTGTGTGTCCGCAATTAATCAGTCCAGTCCGATAAGTAAGACAGTGGAAGGTTGTTTAAGACTTATTAAATTACCTTTTGCATCGCCAGCATTAACAAAAAATATTATATTTCACCAGAGCTACTAGATATGTATGTGTATACATAATTTTCCGAGAATTGAGTTCACCAAAAATAAACCTACTATGCATACGACTAAAGCAATTTTTAAGAAACATGAATAATTCTAGAATTATATCTCTTGCCTTTTGTCCTTTGTAATGTCGACAATTACGTAATATTCATAATAATATTAGCTTGAGTTTTTCTGATTACTATATTAATACAGATTAGGATAAGAAAAACATAAGACTTAACATCAATTTATTTATTACTAGAATGAATACAATTATGGTAGTGATATAATAATTTGCAATCGTGATTCACGTTAATGTCGAAATTTAAATGAATCACGTAATCTTCCTTAAGGAGGCGATGGAAAGAAAGTATAGGACGTCGATAGCGGTCTTAGGTTTGTTTAAGGATGTCTGATGAGAAGGAAAGTGGCTGAAGATTTGCTGAAATTACTAAATCCGTTAAAATTAACTAATTATTCGTGCTCTTCATTAAATTATTGTCATTGTGTATGGGCTACACGTATTTTGTCTAATTAATATTTGTATGTAGGGAAGCTGTTCGTTTTATTAGTTTCGATAGTGAACGTGGTAATTTAATTGCAAATATATTTTAAACTGTATGCTATCTATAATTATTTCAAACCAACAAATTAGCGGAACTGGGTTTCGACCATTTGTAAATTAAGTTAATGAATTATCGTACGCTGCAGCAACATTATTGCAATTTATTTGTTTCTTAATTGTTTCACGGTTGAGTACCACTCTAAAACTAAAAAGAGTGACGAAGAATGTTTTTTTTGTCGGTCGTGTATAATATAAACATGTAGGAAATATTTGTAGTTCTGCTAGAAATATTCCTGCACGTTATATGACTGGATATACACATATGTAGGGCTGTACTTGATGATTTATTTAATTTAATGGTTAGCAAAGAGTGTACAGGTTGGTGGAACAATCAATTAGGCTGTGCTAATACATATATATTTGCCTTCCTGACCACACCTTTATTGTTATTATATTTAACTCTGATTATTATTTTGCGATTTTCTGATATGAATGGATGGGCATTTGTCATTGAAGGAAACCCTACCACTTGTTTTACGAACTTGACTTGGCGAATCCTCACAGATTCCGATAAGTGTATCCTAATACATAGTCGTCTCATCCCAACCCTTGATCAACTTTAAGAAAAAAGTCACTTTGTAGAGTTTCAAATAATTTATACAAGACATAAAGTAACTGCCTATATACACGCATAACAATTCGATGTACCTAATTAATTAGTAATGACAATTATAACTTCAAATTTATTATTTACTTGTTTTTTGGCTAAATAATGCTTAAATAATGTTCCAAATGTCGATGTGTCTCAGTCAGTCATTCGTGCAAGAAAGCATAAATTATGCATTGTAAGAGGACATGGGTCCTCGTATGTACCAGTCAAAAATTCTAAATTCTTCAAGTGTTTCTTCAGACATCTAAATTTTGGTGGAATTGGAACCGTGTCGTCGTTTTTATTGGTATTATTGTTGCTTTATTGCTCAGCACACAATTGTGTTGCTTGTGTTACTATGAATTATTATCATGTTTAGAACCTTATGTACTATATACTCATATTAAGCTCTGTATTGTTGTACCTCTGTTGACTGTTAACTTGTACTAATTTATCTGATAGAAAATTTACTAAATTCAAATGTTTGGTTTTACTCGTATTTTGTTTTGCCTCTTTTCCACTTCGGTTGAATTTTGATTTATTTTCTGAATGAATTGAGAATGCTTGAATTGTTTGAGTTGCATACGTTCATGTTCAAAAATACAGTTTTGTTATTACATTAAAAAAAGTAAAAACAAAGAAATATATAAAGTTGTAGTTGAGTGGAGATTTTTTGATTTTTGTTTGCATTTGATTTTGTTTCTTTTTTATTGGTTAAATGTGTTGTTTCAGTTATTACCCCTTGCCTTTTAAGACACTACATATAAGTGTATTACAGCCACCTTTGTGATTGGTTATACATGCTGAGAATGATATGAATGTGTGCAGGCATTATTAAGGGTGTATTGTGAAATTCGGGGTTTAAAATCCTCCCGGCCATTAATTGCTCATGCCGCTAATACATAATTCCATTTACGATTGTTAAAATTCCGGGGCCTGCATAGATATATTTACATGATGCGTGTGTATGCATACTTGGGTGATACATGGCGTGTTCTAAGGTACATGTATATTGCAGTTAGCCCTATTTGGGACGATATCAGTGTCCATGTATGTATGTACTTATTAGGTAAAGTCTTGCAGCGAGCAGCCAAATTTGTGTCAGTATTTTCATTTAAAGAAATGACAAATTGTAAAATATTTTAACTCTCAGACCCCAGAAAACAAGATTGAGCTATTATTAAACATACCAAACTGTGTAATATTTGAATTGCCTTCTTTGAATCACTACTTCGACCCTTCGATTTGGAAGAAAATTACATTAAGCAGTCGTGAACATTTAAAATAAATGAAACAAAGATACAAAACCAAATTGATGTCTTGTATTTCAAAACTGAACACAAACTCTGCAAATCCCAAGTGATTAAGTAGCTGCATGGTATGTACATGTGCTTAAAGTCTATAAATTATACACTTACTTATGAACATAAATACATATAGTGATTGTCAGAATTATTGCAAAACACTGCGGAATATGCACATATGTAGGTACGCATTGCGACTCTATATAATGACAATTTCGGTAGAGGTGTTTTACTAGTCGCTGTGATAGATAATCAAGTATCGCTTTTTCAAAGTTGTGTCGCCATGAATTGCAGTTCTTCCCTCCCAGTCTGTCCAAAAGTTGTTGGATTATTGGCCGGTTCATTAAAGTACGTGTTTTCTAAAAATTAATCTTGACAAATTAATCTTTTGCGACGATGCCGTTCCTTTCGTACACCACACAATTTCAAGTAACTAATCGGTGAAAAACTTTTTTGTTGGATTTATAATCATAGCTGGATTTGAGTGTGAAATTATTTAATGACAGATAATTTGACTACTATTACAAAGTTTTCCATAAAACGTGAGGGATTATAAAAATTAACAAAATAAGCTCTTGATGTTTGATGGAGCTTCGAACGCAAAGCAGGGGAAGCAGTTTGTGCATTATTAATTTAATTTAGTAAAGTGAAACAGAAGAATAAAAAACTTTGCTATATTGTGTAAATTAATGAATAATATATGTATGCAAAAATCGACATGGACGGACACTGGGCCCGACATTAATTGACGTCATGATAAGTAAATTAGAAACAATTTATCGTTCTCCGGTAATTTTAAGGTCATCTACTGGCGGTGCATTTCATTTGTAATAATAATACGAAGCTATACAATGACAACCATATAGAATTAATGTATATAAATGACGCAAATGTAATGTTGGGACGAGAAAACATGAAAGCAGCCAAATGACGAAAAGAGAATAAAATCGACTCATTTTTATAACAAAAAGACTACAACTACTCGTGGTTTTCGAATCTGCATTGTTTACATCATAATTTTTCGCATCTAATTACTGAAACCATGTATCGCAAATTGCGATTCGAAATTCCATACTGCACTTATCTGTTCTCATTATTGCAGAGGAATATAAATAATAAATATGTATGCATTTCAAAGGATCAATGAAGGTAACAATATAATGGCGTCCTCACGACAACGTCTTATTTCGCATCGAAACTCATTTAGAAAACTTGCGAAGATCAAAATATTTGTCCTGAGGGGATTCGCAAATCCAATAAAAACGCCTATTTTGATATTGTTTCCATGGATTTCTATAATTTCTCTTGTTGACGATGATGAGGATCAGTTTCTGAAATAATTTTGCGAAATAAGAACATATGTATTGCTGGGTAAATTTGCTAAAAAATCCTATGGTTTTCCAGCAAAATTTTTGGGAAATCTCGCAAAACTTTGCAAGTTATGTTGATATGTCCAATTTGCGAGATATGCAAAGAAGTGACGTGAGTACATACGTTCAATAATTATATTGAAAAACGAACAACCAACGAAGTCGGGAAAACGAAAGTGAAATATAATACTTCTTCGCAGCATTAATATTTGCATGCAATATTGGTCACCTTTGTTACGCCAACTTTAATCAATCGCACGTAGTTTGGACAATTTAAACAGACTTATTTATTATAAAGACAATTTCTATTTCGTATCAAAACTAGAAAACTTACTAATTATTTATATACGCCTATTTATATATGCATACATACATAATAAATACATATTATTTTGTTTTTACACTTCATGTTAGTTAAGTTTTGTTCTTGGTAACTTTTTACATGAAAAAATTCAGTCATTCACTATATATTTATTTTCCTTTGGTTCCTGGATGTCGGCTGAGATATATAAATCCACTTATTGTGCATGCATACTTTAATTGAGCATAAATTTAACAGATGATGTCAGATGTCAACAAAGCACAAAGTTTTTGGCATGTGTTGTCGGTAGATACCCGGCACTCGGCAGGCCAGGGCTAAAATCATTGCAAATGATGACACTCTCATGTAGAAAAAGTCTGCCGATTCGGATCCCCGGGACAGTTTTCCCATTTCGGATGATTCACCCAATGTTGGATAATTTGTAGGATTCCCCGGAAAATAAAGGTTGAAGGTTACTTCAAGTTGTTCTTACACGTTATGGTAGGCAGCAGCGAGACAAGTGGCGTTGTCAAAACGTACGGAGGTGACGCAGTCACCTCCGTACGTAGTCCTTGTTTTCAGTTTCTTTCAGGTCTTGGCACCATGCCCAAAAATTATGAACATTGATACAGAAAATTCATACCAAAATTTTAAACCATGCAATTCCCTGTCTTGTTTGTTCTCCTTAACACTACAAGTTCAGATAGAGATTCATTCATACATGCAGTAGTTGACGAGTGTATATTTGATCATCGGGTGCTTACTTCATGAGCAAAGGATGGGCCATGGAATAAGATACTACACGGTATGGACAATGTATGGGAATGAAAAAGATGAAGAAAAGAGTGCTCGTTCGTCGTAGTAGAAATCCAATCACACATTTTAAATTGCACTGTCTCGGTTTTCCTTAACGGTTTTGGTAGGATGCTTAATGGGGGTGTTGGATGGAATATCATTTACAGATTCTGGGAACTCATTGAAACAGCAGCCAAACAAGAACTGAGCCGACCCACACAAAATCCCATGCCAATAATCTTTCTGGATTTCCATGTGTAATTGTTATATAAATGATGCTGAGATAATTTTCTCTTGTAGTTGCATAACTGTTGTGCTGTCAGTCGGTGTGATGTAAACAGATTACTGTCATATAACACCTTTGGATTCCTGTTTGTTTGAAGAAAATATTAATTTCATATACAATTTACCAAACATTTGGTCTCATCATTAACTCAGCAAGGTGTTAAACGTACTTTGATTTTTAATCCAACACTTGTTAAGCTTGTGTTAATATTCTCGCAAATCATTGAAATGTTATGCATGTGCACATGTACTGACGTATATTCATGCCTGCAGTAAAAGTCATTCAATTGTCTCTGATTTGACATTTGCCTACTCAATGAACTCGGAGGATTGAAAACTATTTAAGTATTTCCTACCTGATTTCGTTGTTAAGTGATCCTGTATTGTACCGAATGGACTACATTACGATTTCCACAGTTAACCTGAAAGATAAGGTAAGAAAAGATCCCATGTTTCAGAAAGCGTATACGTAGTATTTGTTGACTTGTTTTGCATACAAATGCATAAAGTTCACATTGAATAATAAGTAATTATTTATCATCAATCTTCGGTTGGAAACTGTATGTATGTTTTATGCTGATAATGGTACAGCATTTTTGAGACAATTATTTTAAAATGCAATATAATCTCTCAAACTAGTGCAGTCTTGTATCTTTTTCAGTCAAAAGCCTTTGCGCAATTGTAGAAGGTATTGAAAGCAAAAGTTGTGCTCATAGTAGTATTTAGGTCTCATTTCATTATAAGCTTTGAAGCTTGTCATTATGTGAATGCTGGATATTAACATTGCAGAGCCGTCGAAAGAAAATTAAGTTCCAATCTTTTTACTTTGTAGGCTTATTACGGCTAAAATCACGCGACACTTGTGACTTGTATGAACAGGTAAAAATGGTTAATGTTTTGTGAATAAGTACTAAAGCCTTCTTCATAACTACCTGCTATCAATTGTGTGAACCATATATGTATGAAAGCTGAGAAGTACTTGCATAAGCACGAAAAGGTATCTTTCAGACACCCTTCAAACAAAAATCTCCCTTTGAAATGGAGTGGTTGTCAGGGCATGGAGTAAGTAGGTTCATGACATGAAGGAGTTTATTTAAACTAAACTTTGTCAGTCTCATGAAAAATGCCATAGTAAACTTTTGCTTGAGAAATAAATGAAACTTACTTTCAGCTTTTCATGCAAGCATACTCGAAAGCCAGGTACGAAATTTAAGCGTGGCTATGTTGTATTTCGTTCACAATGAACGGAGTTTGGGTGATTAGATCGGCTGCTGGTGGATATTAATTGCGTGCCATATGCAGCCATAGTACCTCACTCACTTAAGTCGCATGGTACCTATGTCCAAGTCCAATCCAACACAATTGAAATTCAACCCCTTCGTCTAAACTCCGTTCGACGGTGCAATATCGTTCGTGTGTCCCTGCAACAACCAAGTGGCAACAATTCAGAGAGGAATGGAGGGGAGTACATTTTTACAACATCCGTTCTCCTCTCTCATTTCCATTGTCCATCAGTCTGCCCAGTCTCATTGTAAAATAGAGTGCCTGCAATATCTGCAATCCAACAAATGCCTATCCAAGTCCTTCCCCCTGAGCAGATTCGTGTTCAAGTTGAGCAGAATACGGCGTCGGTGTTTGCATGTCCCTTACATATTTACCTCGATTTCTCGAAAGTCTCAACTTCTTGCGAGATACATTGCATGCATTTTCCAAGTCCAGACCCAGACGTTGTTTTCAATGTTGGAAAAACATTTTAGAACACGATGCAATATGTAATTTCATCCTCGTCTCATCGCTTATTGTGATCATCATGAGGAGCAAAAGTCCATTTTACACCTCAGCCAATTCAACTCTTCAACCCCTCTCGCTCTCGCCCCCGGCGCATTGTTGGGACGATTGATGGTAACGTTTTATTCCTTGAGCCATCAGTGGCAAGGATTGTTTGCAACACGTCGACTTGCTTCTGACTTGATGGCGTATGTACCTATTGTTGTTGGCTCTACCTTTTTTTGCTCGTTGGTGGTTATGTTGATGGTGGATGGAGGAGGGTAAGGCAAGGTGCACCAACCATGCTTAGAGAGAAGTGGTTTGCTGGTAGGGGGTTGCATTGTATATTTCATTGTCGACGCAAAATAGCGTTGCCTCAAAGGTAGTTCAGTGCATTTTCTTCACCTACACAATTAGGTACGCATTAGAGACCCAGTCCCACTGAACCACAGAATTTCTAAAAGAGAACGATATTTTTATTCCTAATAACAAATACTATTGCTGGATTTAAAAGTATTAAAACTTTAGCTCCGTAACGACGGCAATGTTAATTGCACATAAAAGTTAACAGTTACACGAAAAGTGAGACGGTATGTATGGTGCCCCAATAAGAGAGATTGTGGATTGAGGTGCTACAGTGACCTCACCACTTCATTGACGTCATGGATTGCAATTGTTTACGATAACCAAGTTGACTAGCTGAGCACGGCATAGTTTAAGTTTATTATTTCCTTGTGCCAATCAAATAACTCAGGTGAATTTACTTAAATGTACAAACGGTACTGAAATGCAATGCAATGCATTTGGTATGCACATACATATTTGCTAGTTATGAGAGAATATAATATCGACTTCGTACTGGATGCGTAAAAGTGAATGTGTTTGATGGAGCAATATGAAAAGATGGGATTTTCCCGTTAAAGTGAGCACATTTTACTTAATACTCAATTAGCTGCACGGAATGAAGTGTTTATTGATTGAAAAACGTTGTCATCAATAAAATAAAAAGGTGACTATTATACAAAAAATTGAGATATCTAATTGATGAGGATCCGGGTCAATATCCGTCCAACCTTTAGCATTCAGGTAATGAACTGCTTATAGTGAATGATTTCCACATTTCTGGCTGTATAACTTTTGATTCATGGGAAATTAAGAAATAGCGCTTCTGGTATATTGAAAAAAATGTACTAGATTTTACGAGTTAATGATTTCCAGCAAAACACAACTACATCATCCATACATTATTTTAGATGCATATTAAATATTTATATCATGACTGTTGCTGTGCATTTATTGTAACAAGAGGTAAATAGCGGATGAGATATGGGACAGGTAATGCAAACAGAATTTGCTAACACAGCCAACACACAGTTGACTTGCTGATATTGATTACGATTTAGATTTGCAAAACAGTTTAGACCTGATTTCGCATATCACAAATAATTAATCGAACATGTACATACTAGGCTCGTCGTCGTTTATCTGGTCTGTGATGCGGCTAATTGAACCATTTTGGTTCTGTTATTGAACTGAACATGAGCAGTTCTGGAACTGATTGCAAATTCTCGTTGAATTGCAACCTTCAACACGGCGACTGAATAGTGAACGTAATAATAATGCAACAGGTGCTATTTCATCTGTACGAGCCATTCAACAAGTACAAATTGGCGAATTCTACGTCTAATCCAGGTATGACTAACGCCCAAGTCATCTCCATCCATACATACACAATAATTATCTCCTTTCTTATCATATCAAGCTTATCATGCAATGCTCATTACGAGCACCTTATGATGTACATACGTGCGTCCGTACGTGAGTCGATCAAGTAAAAGTTAGGTCACCGCAGACCTGGTTTGGCTTGGTTGGAGTTGCCTCGTAGTAATGACTCTTATTGCTGGCAGCTTCTTTTCCAGTTAATTCTCGTCTTTCAATTAAGAAGTTTGCGTGCGTCATTAAACTACTTCAAATGCTATATTTTAGTTCCTGATTTTTGATAAGTGAGTTCGCGCATGAAGCTTAAAAGGACAAGGATAAAAGGCTTATTGACCAGGTACTTTTTAAATTCAGACACGCTTAGTTTTCATAAGTATGTCTCTTTTTTGTAATCAAATAAGTTTTAAAATAGGCAAAAAAGAAGATATGTTCATATCGTATAAGATACTCATTACTGCGTAAGTCACATTGTAACAATTTGGCAGTATATAAATCCCGTAAATTCATATATTTTGTGTACTCTCACCAACTTCTGGATTCTTATTCTTTATTGGTATTTTTCTCTATAGTAAAACTCGATGTATCGTACGACGTATTTAGCTATCGAAAGTTTTTTGTCACGTTTTCCACTAAAAAAGTTGGTCTGTCATTCATCTGCTTCGTATTATATCTCTGGTCCACAAGGCAAGGGTTGCTGTCTCCTTCACACAATAAACTGTTGTGAAAGCGACATTTGACATACTCATTTCTTTAGAATGGTTGCATTGCCCCTTCATATCTGCTGCAGTACGTGTTATGTGACAACAACTCCAAGTTATGCCACAGCAATAAATAGCTATTATTAAACCACAGACTGACCACCAACCACAAAATCAATTTTACCCTTTATAAATATCAGTAGGTTTGAACTGAGATACATTTATTGAATCTCTTAGCTCAGTATTATGTCTATAATAAAGGTGAAGAGGTATTTGAAATAGTCAGAATATCATAAAAGATGAAAAATTGTACCTAGAAATAACGAACACAAAGAAAAATTCAGAAAGTCAATTTCAGGAAATCCTAGTTTCCTCTGATTTTGTTGATAAGTTTAAAATAAAATCCAAAAGTTGGACCCCAAGTCTCATATTAACCAAGCAATCCATTATGCCGTTGGTTGTGCAGGTCAAAAAATTTGCATTCGTCCCTTTCACCATGACATTGACTTTAAGTTTGTGCTCAATACACCGGGAAATGGTTTGGGACATGCATGCTCAGGGTAACCCATTTTCATTATTTATAAGAACAAATCAATGGCAATGAGAATTTCTTCAACATGTCGGCAGTATTTTCTATTCGTCGTAAATATAAAGCACACGTCGTTCAGCGTTCAGTGGCCGTTCGCTGAATTTTATTGCTCTCATTATGTACCTAAACCTAAATACACATGCATTCCCGTTCAACTTTTGTCATTATGAGTTTTCTCATCCGTTTGTTGTTGGATATATGCACGTATGAATGTATTGGATTTGCATGCATTCATGATATTATATAGCATAATTAAAGGCTGAGTTGTACCTTGTGCATTTGTCCTGCTGTTTTTTACAAGTTCATTGTCGTATCAATCTCCAGATCCCTCATTGAAATATGTTCCAATACAAATTATAACGTCTGAGTGAAATATATCTAAAAAGTGTTGATTTTTCTTGATAGAATAACTATTTAAATAGTACACGATTGTTTCTGAGAATCACAAATTCCAGAAACTAATAGCTATTGTGCCACGTTGACTCGATATACTTTTATCAGGCATTCATTAATAAGGCATCATAAAAATGAAATGTTTCGACTTGGACTAGCGTGAAATGTCGTGATGGTTGATAAGTCGAGCATGTCAAATCAGGGAGAGAGAAGAGTAAAGAGCAAGTTACTTATCCAATCCACTGGGTGGGGAAGCATTGGCAATAACAATTAATTTTAATTTGTTTTTCAGTTTACACCATGAAGATTCATAGAAAGACTTGATAAGGATTATGGTCAAGCAAGTAGGACTGTAATGTTTTGAGAATCAGGCATCGTGTTTATAAGTATAGCGTAAGATCTTGAAATTGTAAACTTTAGAAGAAGAATATCTCTCACGAGATGTAAATATTGTTTGACAATGTTTACTTTCAGGAACATTTTATTGTTATCGAGAGCCATCGTAGGTTTAGGATTTATTAGATTTGTGTCAACTTTCCTCTTCCGAGAATTCACAGATAATAGTTGTACAGATTATTATAATGCCCTGCCATTTGTTCTGAAAGTTTAAAGAAACATGTAAAAGTGTTCTGAAACGAAACCTATGTATGCACAAGATAATATCCTTGGAAATATTAGTAGCTTTGAGTTTTGTTATTGTGACCGTTTATGCTACTGTGAAGTTATGCAATTATACTGTCGTGCATGTCAGAAACTGATGAATGGTGACATTTTCCCAAACATGTGTTCCTGCGTTATTTCTCGGAACGAGGCAAAGTATCAGGTGCAAGGTCCTCATAAATACTTTATGCAAGTATCAGCAACACCATTACCTCCAATTCAGATAAAAGAGAAAGCACTGCATACAAAGCACCGCATTCATAGCACTACGTAACGCTATGTTCTGGGCTGTATCAATGTAAATACGCAATGAACACGCCATGTCACGTGGTCATTATGACATTTTATGTGGTGTGAAGGAAAGCTCATGAAACCTGCTGAATGAAACTGACTCAAATTAAGGCTCTACGGTCACGGCGAGTAAAAGAGCAAGTCAAAAACAAGAGAAAATACAACTATAAAATCTTGATAATCTGAAAATCAAAGAGCAAAAATTGCGCAAAATATATGTTGTGCAGGGAACCTAAATACTTGCGTTTGTCTGGTCTACTTATCACTTTACGTTTATATGTTACCCGGAATCGGAAGGTTGAGAAGAGGAGAATGACAGAATGGCATGCAAATAAAAATCGCGCTGCAAATGGCATGCAAATTAAATTGTAATAGCTTTTAGAACTAGCAAATCAAGTACAAATGCATAGACACTTTTGGTGCTAGATTCAGTAATGTTTAACTCGCAGGATTAAAGAAATGAAGCAAATACTTGCATGTGTTATGAGTTTTTAAGTATATTTTATCAGTTGTAGCAGTTGAAGGTCTGCAAAACTCTACGTTATTACGTTGCAAAATTGGAAAAAAATTATCCGCATATGCAGATACCCAGAATTACGGCTGCTCGTTCATGTACATACTTCTTTTCCTGTTAATCGTACATTTCTTAGAAATCCGAAATGCTCGAATTTCCTTCTGGCTCCAATGTCCACCCTCGATAATTCTCGGGCATAATCTTTAATAGAAATAAGGACACGATGGAATTCTGCTCACATGATGCCAGTAAAAATCCCACTTTCTATTTTCCGTTCTTTTCTCTGCTGAAGCATTGCATACATATATTCATACCAAACATAGCACAAAAGGAGATAGGGTCGTATCGCGCTAAGCAGTGCACATATAAAGTACGTAAAAAAGTACGTGCTGGGTAGTGACGTCGGCCAAAGAAGGAGAGCAGTCCAGACTTGGTCGTCGTGTGGGTGAGATAGATAGTCTCGCGGACGGAGAAAGCCTTTCTCTCAACTTTCCCGTCCTGGTGAAGCGAAATCGATATTATTCTGGAGCTGAGTGCGGGTGTCTTACTTACTTTGTGGCCGTGGTTATTCCTCTCCGACGACTCCGAATTTCGGTTCTCCCCCTTTCTCTCTCTCACTAAAGGCCGAATCTCCATTCTGGGAAAGGGCAACTTCCATAGAATGCGTATCTTTCTTGCCACCAAACATCCAGCACGTACCAGACCCTCGGTTGTGGGCTTTCCTGGAGACTCCACTCCACTCATCGTTTGGGAATCCCCAGTTTGATATTTCATTCTCAGTTTGCCGTTCCGACAGCAATACACACAAATTGTGAATCTGACAGTATGAAAATCACGAAAGGACATATAGACACCAGGGTTATATTTTCAGCAACAATAATCGATCATCTTGCAAATACTCAGTCTTTGTAAAATAAAATTAATAAACTATCAATCCATATTCTACATTTGAAAGCTTATGCAAAAGAAATCTATATTAAAACTTAAATAAGCAAACGGTGATATTATTCCGTGCAACGTATCGACACCAAATAAATAAAAACAAATTAACAATGGGTTCCCCGTCTATTGTCGTGTTTGCAGATTGGACGGTACAGTGTCAAGTTAGAGTAATAAAGGGCAGTGGACCTTTGTCGTCATCGTCAGTGATCCTCCAGGATGAAGCCTCCAGCCGTGTCTCTTCTCGGGGAGAGAAGGATTTCATCAGCACTTTCCCTCTCTTATGTTGACATCAGCAACGCTGCATTCGAGCTGGAAAAGTGTCGCATCTCAAATCTCAACCAAAGTGATAGACATTCGACCATCAGCATAAAAAATGCTATCAAGAAGACGAAGACGTTGCCTCTGACAAACTCTAATAAAATTTCAAAAAGTTCAAAATTTTCGAAAAGTTGCAAAAGTGTGATTGACTGTTGTGAAAGCGATGGCATCATTCTCAACGTCAAGCTTCGAAAAAAGTTGAGCCAAAGCCTGAAAAATATTAACATTTCCAGTCAAAATTCTTCCGAGAACAAGATCAACAACCGATTCAGCCAGAGTTTAAAAGAGTCTCAACAGATCTCGGACTACAACGAAATGAATATTACTGAGAATTATGTGGCTCAAATTTTATCTGACCCTGGAGCTGGGAACTTCCGGTCAATGGACGAATTAAGGATTTTGCAGAGCAATTACCACTCTGACAGGTAATAAGCGATCACTCAAAATTACTCTCGTTATAAATTATGATCTCATAGCACTCGTATCAAAAGTCATCATTAATGTTTGACATTGTTTACTTATTGGCTGCTATTTATTAATGATACAATCGCACGTATGCACACCTCAATTCATCATTCACGAATAAATTCTGTCATATTGATACTTTCCATGATTCCCTCATCACAATGGAATTCAGTCGATACGTCGTTCCTGATAAAAAGGCATTGAAAGTTGTCAAAGTTTTGTTTCATGAACTCGTCTCATGAAACAAGCTGGCTGTAATTCAGGTTAGGTTTACATTCGAGCTGACAAATTGACACTGACAATAATGAAATATATGGATATATATCCGTATATAGATCTGTGAATCAAATGCTGAAACAAACAATCATGCACATCACTTATAAGTTGTTACGCAATAAACTGGAATGGCCAAGCATAAGCTGAATATAACCGAATAGTAATGTTACTAAGGTCGGGGTATTAAAATTAAAAACATGCATTACTTATGCCGAAATGTGTTTAATTTTAATGCATGGATTCATAATCCCATGTCGCATCATAGTTAGATTAATTTACTAATTGTGTGAGACATGTACCATCTTCCATTCCATTTGCATGAAAGGGTGGATACAATTGACGGTACTAGTCAATAAATTAATTTATCCGTAATCATAATTCGTAATCGCAGGCAATATTCAATTTGAGCTAAAATCAATCTGAATCATTCATTATTATGATGATGATGATGATTTGATTATGGTTGATCAACCGTCGTTGTTAACACGGTGAGACAACACATGTACAAGTGCTGTAGGAGTAATGTGTGAATATTAAACAAGGGAAGCGTATTAATATCAGTATCAACATTAGAGAGTTGGAGATTTTTTGTACTTTTACTTGTACTGTACTGTGACTACAGTACAATACAAAAATTAGTACAAAAATCAAAAGACCTGGAGAATTTCATTATTTTGTACTCTGAAAAAATTGTATTGTAAAACTCCGCGAAATAGATGAGTCAAAAATTGAGACAAATCAACTCATGATATACAAAATGAGAATCCCTCCAACATGTGCGTTTAAAACGATCAAACCAAAAAGTCGAAATTTTTTACCCTTGACCTCGATTAAAACGGTCACCAGGCTGATATAAGCCGAAATGATAGTAATTTCTGAACTCCTCGCTTCAAAGTGAACTACGTCTGCAACGGTTGAAATAAAATATTAACATTTTTGACCTTTGACCTCGTGAACATGGTCACGGGGTCTTCATACGTTAAAGCTATGCAGATTTCTTAAATTCTCGCCTTAATACACGTCTAAAACAGTCGACACTTAAATTGCGACCTTTGACCTCGTCCTTTCGGTCATTGGTTGGTCGTAGGTCAAAAGTATTGACGACTATAAATTCTTGGTGAAATTTCCTTTAAAATGATACCGCATATGAAAATTAAGATACAATTTTGCGTTTACTTCACGCCAGGGTGACCTTGACCTTGACCACAGGGAGCCCATCTTCGAACTCGACCTAGGGTCAAAAATTAGAAGCAAAATGGCGAAAACGGCGTCTGATTACATTGAGGCGTTCTAGAGATATCCTAGTTGCCAACCCTTGATTTTTCCACAGTAGTACAAATTGAGCCCGTGTTTCAATTTGTCTACTGTAGACTGTAGAATTAGTACAAAAAGCTGATGACGTCATCATCTAGAGTCCACAGTACAGTCTACAGTCAGAGTACAAGGAATCTCCAACTCTCTATTACACCAAATTGTATTCTAACTATTTCTAACCTTGTACATGTATTGGTATGTCATATCAATATGTATGTACATACATGTTACATACCCAAATATTCTCAAATTCCATATTATACAAACATATGCACACACTGCAGTTCAGTGAAAACTTTGACATTATCATTGCCCATGTCATGGTTCTCAACCACATGTGCGTACTTATTTGATAACTATATAGCTTAATGGTAGTTAAACTATTTATATATAGCCTCCGAATGTCGTAGAAACTAAAAACTTTCCAGTGAAACTTTCATGCTACGACTTTTTAATTTTTTAAACCTTCCTTAAGGCCGTCTCACGATTGAATTGGGAATTCAATTTCTGATGCTCAGAACAGCTCAATTTTTTGCAAATGTTTTCACGCCAACTCAGGAGGGGAGCTTGCGAGGTTGATAATAACAGATCCTGATGCCCTTTGGATATGTGGTAGGGTCCTATGAGTGTACTAAAACCCTGAAGTGGTTTGACTCCATAGCCACATTTGCGCCCGCCACACCCACTCAAAAATGCTCAAAAACCGCTTTCACTCCGGTTTTCACTCACTCAAATCCACGCCAAAAATCCAATTTTGCTCGGATTTTGAAATTTCTTTCACCATTACACTCCCAGATAGTTGCTTTCTTCAATTCGATATCAAACTCAATATTTTCGAAATTATTAGTATTTTTAAAATTTAAAATTCTGAATGAGCATTGTTGTAGTAATCCACAACGCAAATTATGCCTGCGAAATAATCATCATCAAAATTGAGTTTGACATTGGATTGAAGAAAGCAACTATCTGGGAGTGTAATGGTGAAAGAAATTTCAAAATCCGAGTAAAATTGGATTTTTGGCGTGGATTTGAATGAGTGAAACCTGGAGTGAAAGCGTTTTTTGGGCATTTTTGAGTGGGTGTGGCGGGCGCAAATGTGGCTATGGAGTCAAACCACTTCAGGTTTTAGTACACTCATAGGACCCTACCACATATCCAAAGGGCATCAGGATCTGTTATTATCAACCTCGCAAGCTCCCCTCCTCAGCTCTCTTACTTTTGGCGTCTTTCAGTCCTTCCACCCAAAAATTGACATTCCTATCTCGCTGGAAGTTATGTACATTCCGTTCGCGTTCCTTCCGTATTCTTCCAAATATAAATTTGAGTGCTTGTAGACACTGTGGACGAGAAAGAGAAGGGATCGAGGCGCGGTGTTGCCAGCTTCAACGTCTTTGTGCAAGAACGCCAGCAGTTAGAGCGATGTGTGATAATTAGGCTATATACATATTGTATGTACATGAGCGGACGAATGTAAATGCGATTTATGGATGTATATAGGCTGTAAATTAAATAAGGGTGATGTTAGCTCGTCTCATGTGATCTGTATCTGTTGTAGGCAGCAAATCCTGCTGCACATTATTTAATATTTATCGGGATTTATATTTATAATTTCAAATTTCAATCAAATTGTCATCATAAGTGAATTTTACTAAAACCTCAGCCACTGCACATTCTCCATTGTTCGGGCTCTATTCAAAATCTTGAAATGGTTGTCCAGAAGTGTAAAAAGTTGTAAGAAGTGCTAAACTTTAAACGGGGAAGATGCTGTCGACAAGTTTTCTACAAGAGGCCCTGTACTGCTGTCGCCTGCCTTATTCCCGACGAAGGGGCCGAAGGAGGAGCAGGGCACGACCCTATGCACCTGCTGAAGGATGTGGTGGGGAGACTACCACGACCTCCGATGATTCCCCACCAGGCTCCTCAACCTTTATGACAGCAGAAGGACAGTTCACCCAGATTACCAAAAAGTATTGTTCACTTTCTCCATCAATTATACACGCTGCGACAATGTTAAGGTCGACATATGTAATGATATGTACGTTGGATGAATATGTCTAAGAAAGAGATTTGCATTTGTATTCGTACAATGCATAAGGTTGTAAAATACAAGCTGTAATGTAATATTTGTTCGCGGATACCAAGAAAACGTTGAATCGGCAGTTCATTTTGCGTTGGTGATGCTAAGTACATGACATGTGATCATAATGTTTTGATAATTGAAATAATATGGCTATAGTTTCAATAATTTTCATACATTAGGCACACTGTTATGATAACAGACATTTTGTTTATTTTATAGTGTTATGCTCGTCCACGACAAGCTCTCCCTCACCCTCTCCGTCCCTGATGTCACAACCCACGCTAATAATCAAGCCAGTCCTGACAAACTGGGACATAACGCCCTCCGTCCCTCCGAGTGGACGAGTTGTTCTGTCCCAGTCCATCAACAAGCTGACATCCTCTCAAATCTGAACATGGACAAGACCAGGGGGTTAACAATCAACTCGACATACGATCCCCTCCCTCGATGTCAGTACCAACACCCAGGTCACGGCGGCAAGAATAACACGACTGTGCTCCTAATAGAACCAGGGGAAACTAAAGTTGCTACCTCAAGCAATTCTGACAATACCAATACACTTGCCGTGATTGGGCCTGATGGGTCTGCCATGTCCGGCAGTAGTGGGGGTGCCAGTGGGAGCAGTGGTCAAGGGCACAGTTGGTTCAACGGACTCTTGGGCTGCTTGAGACCTGTGTGGACAATCTTGGGAAAAGCGAATCATGACTTGAAACATCTCAATCAAGGTACACAAGTGTCCATTATCCGCATGGTTTATAAATATGTGTGGCTATAAAACATATTACATGTGGTTGCATTCGATTCATTTAACTTAATATCGTGTTTTTTTTCCGCAAACTGCAGCGGACGATTGGGAAATTCCATTCGAACACATAAGGTAGTTTGTTCTTAGTCCATTTCATCTCATATTTAGCACTTTTCGCATATTAACTCTTTGTATTAATACCAATTTAAGTGACCTCGAGTGGCTGGGGTCTGGAGCCCAAGGTGCTGTCTTCAAAGGGAAGTTGCGAAGCGAGTGGGTTGCTGTCAAGAAAGTTCGTGATGTCAAAGAGACTGAGATAAAGCACTTACGAAAGCTCAATCACCAAAATATAATTCAGTTCAAGTGAGATTCCCATAAAATACATTACTCACTCAACTTTCTGACGCGATTTGTCCTTTTTGCCACACACACAAAATAATTGACATCGTTTATAATTACAGAGGAATATGTACTCAAACTCCAATCTATTGTATAATAATGGAGTATTGTCCGTTTGGAACGCTGTATAGCATAATTAATCGTGGAGAAGAAATTCCCCCCAAAAGACTCGTGGATTGGTCAAAACACATCGCTTCGGGGATGAATTATTTACATCATCACAAAATTGTTCATCGTGATCTCAAGAGTCCCAAGTAAGTGTTTCATATTTCTAAACTTTATTAAGATCTACCGTTAATTTTGTATAGACATTTCAACATTGATTGTTCGTATGTTTCATAGTATACTTATTGGAACAAATGAAATAGCCAAGATTAGTGATTTTGGAACGTGTCGCCACTACAATGAGCAAAGCACAAAGATGAGTTTCGCCGGAACTGTGGCGTGGATGGCTCCAGAAATTATTCGCAATGAGCCATGCAATGAACGAGTGGACACTTGGTATGTATATTTAATTTATTATCATTTTGCCGGATTACAAAGAGGGACACGGACAAGGCTTTTGATGCTAAATAGATCACTGTACATATAGTAGATAATTTGTGGAATCATTTTCCCTTTGTTCAAATCTTGAAATTCGCAGAATGAGTCTGAAACTGAAGTTTAAATTAATTAGCAAGGCAAAAGGTATATGCTTTGAACTATTTCATGAAAGGTTTGCCTACTATGACGTGCAACCTCCTTGACATTTTAATTTCGAGGATTACATTATTTTCAAAGTATTTTGATTTCTTTTCATCTTCGTCATTATTATTTTTGGCCGCATATATATATTACCTAACTGACTTTAGACTCACTACTAATAAATTCAGAATTGGTTATACACTTACTCGTACTTTATTTCTGTTTACGAAAGTGTAGGCGTTCCGCCCAGTAGTCCACTTTAAATTAAGTAAATATATATACAAGCTCTCCGACTCGTGGGCCTATGTATGATAGTCAGAAGAAAGCTTTTCCAACGCTGATGATCGAGTTTCAAATTTAGGTCAGTTTGATTAGTTTCGTTAGTTCTCATGACTCGAGCAGCTTTAGGTAGTGAAATAAGTGTGTTACGGAACATCAGAGATAGTAATCCGGGCACGCCGTCGTATAATGAAATGAAACATCAAAGGGAATGCTGAAAATCGTAGCAGTAGTTTCATCCAGATCTCAAGTGATATTCAATATTTACTAGCTTTTAGGTGTACGCAAAAGACTATGCTAGCAATGAACTAGACTTTATGTTAATAATAAATGAAACTCGCATCGCATGGATATCTTTCATAAGTGACTAATATTATCATTTGGAAAACTAATTCCAGGTCTTTCGGCGTAGTTTTGTGGGAACTGATAACTTGTGAAACGCCCTACAAGGATGTAGACTCTTCTGCCGTCATGTGGGGAGTTGGCAACAATTCTCTGCATCTTCCTATGCCTGCGTCTTGTCCCGAGGTAAGCACAATCAAGACATAGTCAAACTAGGATCGATCCGTCTTTCTCTGCGCAAAAATAAATGATAATAATGCTGTCATTGGGTGAAAGTCTATGCTCATTATTATTATGAATATGTTTTATTAGTGTACATAGCTTACGTTATGCAGCATAACGTAAGCTACACTAATGAAGGGCACAACTATATTACTTATCGCCCTTTGCTCTTTAATAAGCTTAAAAGTAATTTGACGTTAGCAAGGCGTTCATTTGTCAATTTTTATTCATATACATACGTAGTATATGCAAACAAATGTCATCAGCACAACTAAAATATTTTTAATGCTTTACATCGGTAAACCTGTGATGTGACGAGGATGATTAATTTGATTAATGTTTTTACAGGGTTATAAGTTGTTAATAAAACAATGTTTGAGTCTCAAACCAAGAAACAGACCAAGTTTTAAACACATTGTTCTCCACTTGGATATTGCCTCTGACGAAATTTTAGCCACACCACCAGATCAATATCTTCGAATGCAAGTAAGTTGAAATAATAGTAAATAAATAAGTCTCTCTATGTACTTCGAAATGGTTTCTTGTTTTCTTGAAAGTGAAAGAGAGAGAGCATATGCAATAATAGGACTAGTTCAGCATATATTAGTTTATGAGTGAAACATGGCTTTCAGCTTGTTTATGTACCACCTTTCAAGTCAAAGTACATAAGTAATTGCGTTGTTCACGAAACATTTGTTACGACAAAACTCGATCTGCAGTCTGCAATATCAACTTGCATGAAATTCTAAATATGGTTTAGTATCAATGTTCTAGACTTATATACCTGTTCTCTGGTTAATTGAATTGTGTTATATATGTACTTTCTATATGCATTTTCGCTGATATGAGTTGCTTGAATTTTAGACTACCTGGAAAGAAGAGCTTAGAGAGCAGATGTTGAAGGCGAGGACTCGGAAGTCGCATTCGAAAGCGGAGGATGCTGTAATTCGCAAAAGAAAAGAAGAGCTTCGACATGCGCAAGATATTAGAGAACATTATCTCAGAAAATTGGAACGCACAGAGAACCTTTACGTTGAACTGAGCGAATTTCTCGGAACGTTAAAACACAGAGAAAAGGATTTGCTCAAGTAAGTAATCATTAGACATGTGTCCACTTTATAGAACTAAAATATACAAATTTCCCCCAAACCTGTATTGTTAATAACAACTTGTTTTGATTTAGGAGGGAGCAACAAGTAGGACTGAACCCAGCATCCAAGTACAAACGACGCTTCAAACCGTTATTCGAAAGCAATTCGACAAACAACCATTCCAACCCAGTGACTGTAGACTATCCTCCTCGAACTCCACTGAGGAAAAGGACTGCTCTTCTTGTTGTAAATTCCCACTCAACGGATAAAACTGACGATTCTACGACTCCCACATCCCCAGAGCATGTTTTGAGTGGGATTTCTTATGTGAGTATAACAATAAGTATTATAATGTGGTATAATACTACTTTTTGTGTCCGTTCCGTAATGTAGTGTGCTAATATCCACTTTCTTTTAGAACGAGCAAGATGAAACTAATCCAGAAGCTTCAGAAACTCGAGAACTCTACACTGAATTAAATTTATCCTCGCAGAAGCCTGAATCGGTGTTTAGAGAGCAAATTGATGCAGAAAATGACCTGCCAGCCACTGTCTCTGCTTTGGCATCTTCTACTCCAACCACAACTGGAGGAAAAGGAAAATGCCTGCCGTTACTGCTGAATGCAATATCTGTTGACTCTGTGAAGACGAACAGATATCGCAAATATCGCCATCGAAGATCCAAGAGTCATGAAAATTATTCTAAAATCATGTCTCCCAGGAATAGTCCGCATCTCGAAAGGGTAAGTCATGTTGCAGAACATTGATTGTTCGAAATGTGATAAGTTTATGTGAAGGGTAATACGAATGATGAAAGGGTCTTGCACACTATGTATTAAGTGAATTAGACTCACTGTTGTGGCATAAAGGGGCCTACATATTGTCGCCCTTGGAATATTAAAATAGAATGTTTGATAATGGAGTCTCCGTTTGAAATTGAATGAAATTTCTAAATTGCCTAAAATATTATATACTATTGCAAGTAATTTCATAGGTTCTAACGACTACACTGTGCATACCCTTATTCATTGGTGGTTCTTCTTCTTATGAAACTATTTGAATTGACTATCTTTCTTTATAAGGAGATTTCGTTTTCAGCCTTTGTGACGATATCTATTACAACTTACGTTTCCTTTGTTCTAGGTTGTTGGGACTCCGGTCACCCACTCGTACTCACCGTGCGCGTCATACTCTTCCTACCGTACAAATTATAATCATCTAGCTCATAGCGAGACTCAGACAGACGAATCCAGTTTTTGCGACAGTGCTGCAAATACCCCTTCCTCAGTTCTCCCCAGTATTCAAAACACGTACAACAAGGACCTCAATTTTCGCCAACTGCACCTAAACCTGCCAACATCCCCCATGCGAGGAGAAGATTCAAAAGTTACTGATATGTCTCTAAGCTCGGAAGCCAGTAGTTCTAAAACTCCTGGATTCGATACATACCTCAAACAAAAGTCGTTTACGACCCCCACCGTGGAAGAGGAGGACCAAATTCCGGAGGAGGACACTAGCCACGAATTTCTCGAAGAAAACTCTCCTGGGGGTCTTCTTAACATGAAGCGCTCCATCTCTTCAACATTGGACGAAGAGGACGAAGAGGACAATCATCTAGACCATGCGATCGGAGGGATGAGAAAGTCGAATAATAATAATGAATACCACAATGGCGAATCGAGTGACGACATGTTGGACACCTTAGATCGTGCTGTAACACAATTGTATCGAAACACCAATGGGAACGGGAGACGAAGGAGTCCTCTGACCTCGTCATCGTCCACTCCATTCCCGTGTAGAAGGTGCTACAAAATTTAATGAAGCCAACTATTATCCAAATGTATTTATGACATAAATGAAACAAAATCTAATTATTGAAATGCTTTCACTAGATGCAAGTGCACATGCAGCAGTAGTGTAGCCTCATCCGGCCCACACTCTTTTCCCAATGGGAATACAAACAATCTTGGGGGAAGGAAAGGCCGTCACGTGACTGAGGACGAGGAAGATGACGACGAAGACGACTACGAATATGAAGACTATGTTGACGATGATTAATAATGACCAGTTTCTCAAAATTTAGTTTCCCTTATTTTAAATTACAAAATTCGATTATATTTGTTATATTGTGATAAATTAAGTGAATTAAAAACACGATGAGTTTATGTAAATTGTTTAATCGCTTCAAATGATTACATAATAAAGCTCCCTATTAGCTTAAATATAAATACTGTTAGACATGAGTAAAGAGAGAATATAATAATAATATAATTAATATAATAAATCGACTATAATAAATCGACAATGTCAAAATAACAACAAAGGTTACCCTACTTTATATTTATTATTAAAATCCCAGGAACGCTTGGATTTTTTCATGCATTTTTTTCATGGATCCATATTCTAAATCCTAATACGTATTACGTACCATATACGTACCATTTTACATGATACAAATTCGCTCATAGCCCAGGGAGCAGGGAAATTCGAACCAAATTCTTCAGCCAATGTCAACACGTCAGAAATAAATTTGTAATCAATTGGACATTTCCACATATGGCTCCGAAAAAGATTACAATTAGTGCGATATTTGGCCTACGAAGATTTCTAGAATTTTGACGGTTTCTTAAAATTAATTGTGCAACTAAGCTGATTAAAGGGGAGGACGGACAACGACAGGAATGACCAACACAAAAAAGTCGGCGAGTAATGGGAGTACTTCTTCTTACCTGGAAGTTCCGATGAGCAGTAACAATCGCACGACACCATCTCAGGCGTCTCGGACCAAGGGGAAGCGCAAGGTCTCGTCGACATCTGAATCTGGAGGAATCTACCATGGAGAACCAGATTATAAAAAAGACCTGTCGTCTATTCTCCTCCTACTCTTCCTCTACATTCTACAGGTGAACTACTTAAAATTCTGGTCTTGTTACGGTCTTGCCAATACCATTATTAAGAGTAAAGTAAAAGTATTAACTTGTTTGTAGGGAATTCCACTCGGTCTGATTGCATCCATCCCAATGATTCTGTTGAATAAATCTGCAGCGACGTACACGGAACAAGCCAAGTTCTCCTTTGCCTACTGGCCCTTTAGCCTTAAATTATTGTGGGGTACGTATAAAAATATCCCGATGAGATTAATATATCATCACATCATCGAGTTTTAGTACATAGTATTAAAAAAATGTCGATTCGAAATGATTTTTTCGATTTTTTTCAGCTCCCATTGTTGACTCGATCTACTCGGAGAGATTTGGACGAAGAAAAACGTGGTTGGTGCCAATGCAGTACCTCCTTGGAATTTTTATGTTCAGTCTTAGTTTTCAAGTTGATGGCCTGTTGGAACAAGGGAACATTACAAAGATTACCGCAGGTACAGGGTTACTATCCTTATGTAACGATTGAATGAACAACTATAATTAACTTAAGTATCAATACCCAAATAAGTACATAATATGTACATACAAAAATTTTAATTTGTAATTTTTACTTTTTTCTTGCAGTCTTCTTCTGCCTTAATTTCCTCGCTGCGACTCAAGATATTGCTGTTGATGGGTGGGCACTAACTATGTTGAGGAGGTATAATTTTTTGGATGCCGTATTACTAAGTTAGGAGGCTTAGTTCGACAACAAATTGTCACTCTGTAAATTATGCTATAAGTGTGAAACTTGTGGTATCGATCGTTTCAGGGAAAATGTTGGATACGCTTCCACATGCAATAGTGTTGGACAAACGGCTGGTTACTTCTTGGGGTATGTTGTTTTCCTGGCTTTGGAATCTGCGGATTTCTGCAACAATTATTTGCGATCTGCAGATGCAGCGAAAGCTATTGGAATGGTGACCCTCTCTGGTATTCAAGAATTTGCTGCTCTTTACTATTCATAATCTATGAATAGTCAAAATAGCATTCGATTTCATTTACTTAGATGTTATTTTTATTAAATATATAGAATTCCTCTACTTTTGGAGCTGGGTCTTCCTAATCACCACCACTCTTGTATGGATTCTAAAAACTGAGAAACCAGAGGAAATAGACTTTTCAGATGAACCTCGTCTCAGCCTTGTAGATAGCTATAAATTGTTGTGGCACATTATTCGTCTAAAATCTGTAAAGAGACTTATTCTTTTCCTACTCACATGCAAGGTTGGTGTCCATATATTCTAGTATATTGAACATAACTGTGTTATCTGATTGATGTATACATTGTGTTAATGTTTGTCTTCTAATTCAAACAGATTGGCTTTGCTGCAGCAGACTCTGTAACAGGACTAAAATTAGTAGAGGCAGGAGTTCCAAAAGATCGCTTGGCCCTATTAGGTTAGATTTATCACGTGATATCAGGATGATACAGATTTGCCGTAAGATTACCTGAAGTCTGACTGAATTATTTATTTTAGCAATCCCAATGACCCCTTTGCAAATTGTCCTGCCGCTTTTCATAAGCAAATACACTGCTGGTAAAAATTGGTTACCTAATAATCTACAATAATCCAATGAACTAAACGAAATAACCTTTAACTAGGGTCAAAACCAATGGGAATATTTATAAAAGCTATGCCCATCAGGTGAGTTTATCTAGCATAAAAATGACTACGCATGATCTCATGATTATTTTTTTTGCCCAAAACAGACTTGTATTTGGTCTTATCTTTGCTGCAATTGTATACGCAACCCCGAGGTATTTTGCATCTGCAGATGGTTCTTATGGATGGCCGTATTACACGTTTTTAGTGTTGGTATATTCCATACATCAGGTTAGAACTTATAATAAAAAGCATATATATTTTAATTGAGGTTGGATAACATGTTCATACGAAATGTGGGTGTGGTTTAGATCTCTGTGTACAGTATGTTTGTGGCAGTGATGAGTTTTTTCGGTAAGTTTCGGTTTTATTTTCAATGTATCGTTGAGGGAGATTTGATATAAAATATCAGAAGTGAATGCTTCACATTATATGGAAAACAAATTCTTATTGACGTGAACATAATACACAGCTAAAACATGTATTTGTCTTTTTCGAACAGCCAAAATTAGTGATCCCACCGTTGGAGGAACCTATATGACTCTTCTAAACACATTAAGCAATCTTGGGGGAAACTGGCCCGGAACTTTGGCTTTATGGATGGTGAATAGACCAGATTGATGAAAATCTTAAAAATCATAATTATTGAAATAATCATGTACTATATTCATTTATATTTAAGGTTGATCCACTTAGTCGTAAGTACTGTGAGGCAAGATCTGATAATGACTGTTCCACTCATGAGTTAAAGCAGGCATGTAGTTTATGAATGTTTCATTTAATTGCTGGATCACCGCATTCATATCCACCAATATATATTAATGATTTTATTTGTTTCTTTTTACAGGCCTGTAGCTCTACTCTAAAATCTAAATGTATAGCAGAAGTGGACGGCTACTATATTGAGTCTGTAATTTGTGTTATTATCGGTCTAATTTGGGTTTACACATGGGGCAAGCCAACAATTAACAAATTACAATCGAAATCTGATCGACAGTGGAAAGTTCAAAGCTCTGAATCAAATAGGAAAGAACATTGACTAGCTTAGTATGTTATATAAGTAAAAATTATCGAAACCAATTTTTTTAAAGATTCTGAATCTAGTTTATACTTTTCCTTTAAAGGTGCGGACATTGAAGTAACTTCCGCACGAATTATATAGCTTTAATGTACAAAAGACCAAGGTCCCTGCACTTGGGGGGTTGCTTTGGAGATGAATTCGAAGCTACAACAATGTTGTAGCTTCGAGTTCATCTCCAAAGCAACCCCCCCTAGTACAAAGACCTTGACAAAAGACTGTAAACAGGATATATGTTGCTACGTTCCATGGATATTGGGATATCCTCATCTATATGTTGTATTGCATTGCATGCTTGCAAGTCACGTTTTTATCTCAAAATCTACCAAAGTACCAAATAGTAACTGGGTGGTGCTAATTTCAAGTTTTTAGAAAATCGTGTCGCCTTATTGTCAACTAAATTGCAGGTGTAATGCACTGATAATGCAGGTATAGCTATAATTTTATTGACATAAGATATTTATTACTAATTAGTGAAAATGTGATATTTTTCAACAACTATTGAGATCATTTAGTTAGTTATACAAGGTTGGAATTACGTAGAGATCAAATCTACACGTTTTAAATAAAGTATGATATACATTAAAATAATAAAAACAATTTATCAAACATAAATCTACAAAAACTGATCGAATGTTAAAATGCAAAACTTACATTCTCCAAGAACTTTGTAATTAGTAAACCACATATCAGTATAAAATTAAGTAACGTTATTCCAATCACGCCAAATGCCATTGGAGACAACTTCCATACCAGGATGAACCATAAGGTGATTAGCAGTGACAGCAGGTACGGCTTCAAAAGTTCAATTTGTTCGTTTATGCAGTAAAAGAAATAGTTTTTACACTCCGACAGCTTCATGTTTCGTATGCTTCAATTTTAAACCAGTTGATCTGCATAAGGGATGAAAATATATATTCATATTCTTAAAGATTCTACCATAAATTAAAATTGAGAAAACTTACAGTCAATAAATCAATAATGTGGTACTTAGGTAAGTCAACTAAGCTATCGCCGTTACAACTGGTCCACTTGGAGCCTGCCACACAAATGAAATGAAAAGTGACCTCAACCCTAAAATCTTTTTTCATTCTTCTTACATAAGACTTTTTCATCGAGTCAGCAGACTCGATGGTGGAAATCATGTTAATTTCTTTGTCCTATGTAATAGTATCATGTGCCATCATGCGGCAACCCGAACTTTTTCACTTCTGTCAGTGGGTATATGAATAACTGGACGTGTTGGCCTTGTAGAAAAACACGTTGTAAAATTATTCTGTCTCTGAGGTGCAAATCCTTTGTTGGAAGTCCACGAATTCATATAACCATCCTACCTCAACTCCTTGTATGAGTTTATCTTCCTTACAACCTTCAACTCACAAAATCTGCCTCAAAACCTTCAACTCAACACTCGTTCATATCATGATGCCTCCAGTTGCTAGCTAATTATTACACTTTCCTAAAAGTTGATCCATAAAAATTTACTTGTTTTATCATGCAATTTAGCGTAAGCAAAAAACTTCAGAAAAACCTTACATAAAGCAGAATATATAGATGCATTTGCATTTTACACATTGTGTTAAATAACATCATGTTTCATACTCAATTAAAGTGTTGATTTTCTGTTTTAAAAGAACTTACATCTAATGGAATTCTCCATGCATTGGATGCTTTTAAAAATAAAATATAGTCTGAGCGAGACATATGCATATTGTTGAAATGATGTACTAACAATCAGTATGTGCATAAAAAATTGCCATGCAACCCATGCAACTCTATGTATGTACCTCTATCTGTAGTTCTTTGTACAATTCTTCAACTACCTGATCAATTCTCAGTGTGGGATAACTTAGGATTAGGATTAATTTGTGCACCTATCCTTTAAATTTTACAAGTTAGAGTAACTATTTTTTGCATAAGCGCTTGCTTTGTACAGAGTAAGAGTTTGGCAGTAAGATGCCAAACCACAACTGAATGAGAACCATATTTTTCAGAGGTGAAACAAAGTTGACAGTACGAATTTGCATACCATAAACCAGTACCTATTTTTACCAAAGCTTTATGCTTTTTTAGACAAGTTAACTTTTCATTGCGTGTTCTTGCCAATTATAAATGACAAACGCTACCGATCAAGATAGAGGGGAGAGTAATTTTGATAATTTTTGTAAATCTGTATGTAATAAAATGTTGTCAATACCGAATCTATGTAGTAATCTAATCCATCCATCCATCCTAGGCAGAATGTTCGGACTATTCGCTTATGCTAATATTTATGCATTTATTAACAATAGATTAATGTATGCAGAATTGGGTATTTTCTTTAAGTGTAATTTATTCCACCTTTCTTCCGTTATATTTTATGTAGTGTGACGGTACATGACATACATATTTTTTATAATTATACATTTATTCGTTTCATGTAGACATCATTAAGGTAGATAATTAATTCAGCTTAAGTTCATCATTAAAGCTACGGAGATGCAAATGCAGCTTCATAATATATCATGGCTTACATCATATGCGGGAATTACGGAGGGAATTGGCTTAAAGTAAATTTATATGTATAAATTAAATGTGCTGGCGTGACCCTAATGAAGGTAGGTCATCATGGTTTTCGACATTCATACATTCTGTTTCGTGGGCATGGTTTTGTAAAAAATTGTTCGTAAAATCCATATTAATTCACCTTTTTTAACCTTATGCTCTCAAATGTATTAGAGTAGTCGAGGAGAATGGCGTATTTTGTTATATTATAGCTTTATTACATTACTTATATAGCACTATATATGTATATCATGACCGCATCAGAAGACAACGTACCTTTATATAAAAAGAACACAACAAGGGTGTCTGTGTGTATAATTGCTCTAGTCTGTAATTACAAAATTATACTATATGTATTCAATATATATATTTATATATATATATATTTATATGTATAGTGTACTCAATAATTGCGTGATTCTCATGTTCGCTTTTAGTAGAAATGCTGCATAAAGTGCCATTATATTTCTGATTCATAGCATTTAAGATAACCTCATATTTAGCACCAATAAGTTGTAAATAAGCAATTCTTTAAGCAATGGCATGTTTTGATTTTACTTGACAATGAATACATTGATATACAAATAATTAAAATTTAATTAATAGTGTGAAAATAGTGAGGAACAATAACAGAGTTAACAAAATAATTTAGTTTCTCAACAAAATTTGCAAACACAAGTAAATCAAGAAATTAATAACAAATCACTTGTCCTGCTTCAAAAAGTACATGCATCCATCCATACGCACACTTGGCTATTTTTATTTAGCATAGTTGGCTTGTTTCTTTATACTGGCTATTAAACCAAGTTACTTATTTCCACTCTGAACACTTATCACTAGAGCGTAACTTATCTCGTATGTAGCGGTTTTAATTAATTAATCAGTATAAAACACATTCATTGGTTTAGTTTGTTCATGGTAAATTAGTTCTGATGCACATTTCGTTATACCCTCACTAATGAAGAAGACTTTCTGTTATCGATGCTTGTATCATAGGTCTGTTATTAAGTAGCTTATCTGGCAATTTATTACCAAATCAAATTTTACATGATAAGACTCTTTTATTTTTTATTCAAAAACGAAAAGTCAAAATAATCAACCTTGGCATTTAAACTTCGCAAAGTTCAAAATTTTAAACAATGATTTTCAGCTTTGGAGGGTGATTTATGAAAAGAACTTTTTTTAATTTACAGTGTTTTACCCAAAGGTGTACGCAGATACAGATTGAAATTTGTAACTTTGGATTTGTAAATCTTTTACGGTAAAAACTCTTAAAATGGATGGATGGGCGACAGCTTGTCTGGATAAAATAAGTCAAGTCTTGATTGCCGTTGATTGCACCCACAAAAAAAACATCAATTCATAGGAATTTGTTCTCTCACAAATTTATATAATTTCACAACTACGACGTCAAAGAAATATACTTAACAATTGCGTAAAGTAATAATAACTTTAAAGCTTTATATATAACTAAATAAGAACTCAACATTGTGGACTTGGATCGAGATTCTGTCCTGAGGAATGAATGAAAAATTGACTGACTGTAATTTGATACTTAAAAAATATTTCTAGTAAAATAAAACAAAACTGTACATAAAATATTGACAATTGACAAACAAGAGCAAGTTCATATGGTGGGGACTTTTGAAATTCATATAAACTTTATACCAAAAAAAGGTGTTTATAAAACGTTAAAAATAAGGCTATCAGAGCTGATGGGACTGAATGAACCTATTATTATACTCGATAATCGTGGCAAACGACATTATGACGGCGCATTATTATGAAAATTAATTATTAATGGCAATGTACTCATCTGTCTCTAAACAAACTGCACTGTACTGTCTTCTATTATATAATATGTAACAATAATAATAATGTAACAATATAGCGTCATTTGAATTGAAAGCGTTTAACCTTGTCCACTATATTCTAAAAAGACGAATAATGAAACAAGGAGTAAAATTTTTAAATTGCACCTGTTTGAAATAATAAACCTCACAGTACACAGCTCGGCTTTTTTCTCCATTAAATTACAATTAATTATTATATTTATGTATTAATTTTACTTTAAGATTATACTTAATGACATTGTAATGTAATTAATTTGATGTAAACGTGTCGGGAAGACTAGAGACTTTTTTTTCTGGAAATGGCTGCCTTAGGTCAACTTTATTAGTTATTCTAAAAGATTGTTTTTTTCACTGCTTGCTGGGTTGTTGGTGTGTTAAGGTACTTGATTGACATAATATAATAATAATAATAATAAGGTTCCATGAAATTACAAATGATATGATTGATGAAAAGAAATTGTAGATGAGAACACTTGTGAAATTCATTCAAATTCAAAGCATAAAGTAATCCTCAGTTCGTTGCTGGCTCGTAACAATTGTTTTTTTTTCTTATAAGCAACTCAAAATGGAGGCATTGATGGTCTAGTAAAACAAATGATGCAACGATTCAATTGGACTGAAAATATGAGCCCTATTGTAATCGGTTGTTTATAGAATGAATCGCGAAAATTGAGTAATAATGATTGGTTGTGAACTACGAGTGTGTAAAAAGATAAGGTCCGAGTTGTCCAACTAAAGCATACACATATTATTATTCATGTAGTCAATCAAGTAAACGGTGGTCGTGATTATGCGCTTCGATGGAGTAGTCCAGTCGGTGGAATAAGTAACCGTGGTGGTGGTGATGGGGGTCGTGGATGAAGACAAGCCATGAGGTTGCTCCGATACTTCCAATAAATGAGATAATTTTGATTCTTGTTTCATAGCAACCTAATTTACAGAAAGACATCAATCAGGTTGAAATCCATAAGAATCCTTTTATCAACAGAATTAGTTAACTTTCCGCGACAATTTTCATAGCTTTGTAAAAATTCCGAGCCTTAAAATTTGATCTCTTCAATTTTTTAAAGTAGAAAAAATTATAGCAGAAAGTTAAATAATTATCTTTAAAAAATTTACTCGTATTGACGGAGGTGCATCCTCTGCAAAAAGAAATAAAATTCATATTTATACTCATTCATATGTTCATATGGTTTGGCAAAGTGAGAAAACCAACGCTAACCTGAATGATATCTCGGCAGTCGTTAAACACTCGACGGATATTCTCCGTGTCAACTACAAAGATTCAGATCAAAATTAATGCAATTTTATTCTCCCTCAAGGTAGCTAAGACAATTACGGTAGGTATCCAACAACTTTCTACATCCTAAAAGCATGAACTATTTCGGACTGGCGAGGTCCGAGGTCCGCCAACCACTGTGGTAAAAATGCCGTATTTATGAAAAACTGTATACCCTAATTGAATAGCTACCTTAATTCGCCCCATATGATTTATTCGTATGCTTACAACAATTTCCAATAACATTTATTACCTGCACATGTGAAGTGAGGGTAGCAGTAATGCTTATTATCCCCACTTGCTGTGCTGATCCGCTGTTATAATTTAAAAAATGGATGATCACTTTTCTCTGCTATGTAATATATGTATGTAGCGCACTTTAACATGAAAATACTTACGAGAAACTCATCGCGAATGAAATACTTGGCGCGGACGAATTCGGGGTCATCGCCGGGTTCCGATGCCGCGTCACTTGGCGTCTGGTATCTCGTAAAGTCGGGGAAATAGTCTTCCAGCTTGGACCTGCCAGCCTTTATTTTCTCCGCCAACAGGTCTTGTTTGTTTAAAAACAGAATCACTGAGATTGTCCGTAGCCATCTGAATGGGAAGGAGACGATAAGCACAATTTTAAAAATTGCACATGCATTCATCATAATAATACATTTCTTATTTATATTCATTGCAATGGAATTGTAAATTAGTTACCGACCTGTTGTTCCAAATGCTTTTGAATAACTCGAGGGACTCTTTGAGCCGGTTTTGGGAAGCTGCATTACATAGAAAAAGAGAATAAAGTGTGCTTTTACTATGCACTCGTAGCTGAGTTTCATGGATCCGAATTTTAATTGTTGGTATTGAATTGTATTATGTATTCTTACCGTCTTCTCTAAGCACCATGTTGAAACTACTACAAGCAGTCACGAAGATTATGGCAGTCACGTCATCTGAAAAGTGCACAAGAAATTAGCTAACATGTCCGACACTTGATGCCAGAACGCATACAAGTGATGCAAATAAATACTTACTAAAACATTGAATCCACTTATTCCTAGAATTAAGACAAGAATTAAGAGAATTAATTAACAAGGTAAAAAAAATACTGCAAGTAAAACGAACGATGTCTTACCGTTCCGACCTCTGGTGAACGACATCATGTTAAAAATTAAATTAACACGAGGAATCATTCATGTCGCAATATAAAAAAATATTCACAATTAATACTAATTTCAAACTTTATAATAATCTTTATTAAGACAAACCTGTCCTCCTACGTCGAATAAACTGCGATTAAGAAAAGACAATATTAAGGACATATTGTAAGTTTAAAAACACAATGTAAAAACGCAAACTGTGACCCCCCAAAATTGATTTTTGCATGAAGTATATATGGTCACTAGTAATGGAACTTGGAATTCATACTTGGGTCTGCTTGCCATTACGAATTAAAACATGAAATACAAGTTTGTTGCTGTTAATCATAAGTTTTTGTAAAGAATATTTTCTAAAAAATGATGTAATTGGTTCTTCAATTTTCAGCCTGTAAGAAAATCTTACGTGAGACGCGATCAAAAGTCAGAAGTGTGAGAAAGAACTGCACGAATACACCAAACACACATTTTGTTTCGTCACAATAAGCACTCAAATAACAATACCCAACATGAATGACAAGTTCCACACTGCATTTGAAAATAAGCGTTTTTATGTTAGCTTGTGAGCTGGAGTTACATAAGTAGAAAGTTCACTTACTGAAAATTTACTTTGTCTACTTGGAACCGAGTTTCGAAAATACCCGACGTTAGAACACGACACCGTAATATATCCTGTAAAAACGAAATAACCACAATGTACAACTTGAGACACTAAATGTTTATCTCGCTAAACACTTCCCATCTTTGTCAAATTTTTAATTGTGAATTTGCCCTTCTTTCTACTGGAAGGCAAATTCTCATATAAGGTTTATTTTCGCAACTCGTAAACCTTTGCCAACAACCATAAATTATGACAATGCAAATAAAACAGTCCACTAAATAAGTAGGATAGAAAACCATTTAAATTTTTAATTGGCATGAATAAATCATTCAAATTGACACATCTTATGAGTAGTTTTGTAAAGGTTTTCCTACTGAACTGCCATAATATGTATCGAATTAGGACTACAAATGACAAAAAAGTGGACAATATATTGACTGGTTTGTTTGTCTTTTGTATGACTTTTTGTAACAATTTTTTAAATAATATACTTACTTGCTCAGTAGGCGTATAATTTGTTAGCTTTATATCGCTAACCTTATCTAAAAAACTGGAAAACAAAAAAACAGCATTTAGATTTCATTCATTAACCAGGCATGATTTATCTTGGTATAAAATTGAACGATGAACAATAATTGACATTAGTTTGACAGTTGAACTGGACATATTTACTTGTATGAAAGAAAAATGAAGTGAAAAATTGCGTCATTATTATGCAAATATGTATATATTATTTATGATAATGACACATCCTTATAGTTGTTACACGTAATATTTAGTTATTATCTTTTTACATGTGCACCGGAAGCACATTTATTTATTATCGGTCTTAGCTTATAATTTATTCAACAAAACGACGTATTAATAAAAGAAATGCCACTTATTTGTTGATATGGGGAATAAAGTAGAGGGAAAACCTGATGTGGGTTGAGGAGAAAACCTCGGTAATGCAGAAAGTTGGGTAAAGTACTTCACAATAGTAATATACTAAAAATTACATTCACCTTTAGATAGCAGATAGTGTGTACATGCATCCTACCCAAATCTGGGATATTTACTACATCTGTACAACTATGAACACTTTTATTGATATGTGACGCTACGTTTAGTGCATTGTATTTTAGCAGTGTGGAAATCATAGGAGTTTTGGGCAGAATGGAATAAGAAAGACATTTTATTTCTTTCCTTCCTTTTCTTCTCGACAGACTTGAGAACATAACAAAAGGAAGATTTGGGAGTTATTTGAAGACTTAGAGATTTGGAGGAGGACTTAGCGAGGGAGATGAATATTATGTGATCTTCGAATTGCAGACCATGCTGACAACCAGCCAGGCATGAAAGGAGTAAAAGTAAAAATCTAGAATCCAACAGGGTTTCCTTTTCCTTCAAAAGAGAGCCGAGAAGGAAAGAACCTTGACTTGTCCATGAAATTCAGGCAGACCTACTTTCTCCAGAGGGGCATGCTCACCGTGTTTGTCCACCCATCCATCTCACCATCCCGTTCCTAACATAATGTTTGTTTACAACGTTGACCTTAAACAAACTGACAATGTTCAACTCTTACTAAAACAATCAATACGAGGTAATAAATATTAATTTAATTTCACGTCCTCTTCTTACACGGTTTCAAGTTCAGGGGTTTCCATTTTCTCGAATTTACCACATTAAATAATTATGCATGAAATTGAGGGTAACAATTTGATTATTTTTGTCTCAACCCATAACCAGTCTGCATAATTCATGCATTATATTCCACCCGTTGCAATTGCGGTTGTACCGGATACTTTTGTGAATACGTGGATGGCGTGTTTTTGCTGGGATGGTGCTGGTGGTGGGTCACTGGAGAGGATGCCCTTGACTGGCAGACATGTGGCACAGTTCGGCAGAAGGGAGAAAGTTGGAAACACCCACACCGACCAACCCACCGAACCACCCAGAGAGCAGCCAGAGAATGCTTTCTTTTCTCATCAAATCTCACTACTCGACTCAATGCTCACCAAAACATTCGGTCCATCCACACTGATCTGGAGGCTGTCTCACTCACCTTCTCCAGGTGAACACACTTCCAGCCAACAAATCACCTCAACGCTACACAAGTGTAATTTTTGTCCTCTTTTTTCCTTGCAATTTCTTCGTCCGCATCATATTTGTCAAGTTTAACAAAGTGCTTGGACGAGCACTCGATACTCTAGTCACCATTTGGAATGCACCACACAACCAGCCTGGTTGGAAATAATAATAATGGAAGGATTGGAAGTAGAGTGAGTCTAACTTGGCTTGACCTAGATTACTCCTGAGCGTTTTCCTTTACTCTCTCTCTCTCTCGTAATCCTAGTAGCTCTCTGCTCTACTCTATAATTCTATTATTACGCTCTGGACAAACCAAACATTCTAAAATAACTCGAATCCCTCAAATTCCCAAATTTATTGAAAATCACAAAGACTGCTCAAATCTATCATCCCATCAAAGCGTTCATCTCTTCTCTTTGAAAAAAGTTGTCTCGGCTTAACCTTGAAATCCATATTGCATTCTTTAAATCGAAACTTGGTCAGTGTAAAAAGAAAATAGCACAACACACTCAACAACTGCAGGTGAAAGTCCGCATCTGCTTAATACGTACGCTGATAATGCCGGCGAGGCCATGGCTTGTTTGCATGGGTATAAACATCAACAAAGCTTATGCAACCTCTACAAATAATGAAGACATTCTCCTTTTCATCACCAACATTATTTCCTCTCTGGCTCCACAAATTGAAAATATTCATCAGCCCTTCTTTCCGAGGGAGTGAAAGTCCTCGTCGTCTCCTCTATAGCACTTCTCCGCACAACAAAGGGGGGCAGAGGCGAAAGGCAAGGCACGAGTCGCTCATCCAGTGCACATACATCCGCACACGCCGATCCACTTACTTATATTCCAGCAACTCACACACCTCACTCACTCCCCCGCTATAGGAGCCTAGGAGCCGCCGTGCCTGGTGCTTTCTCCCAGAGGAAACCATTCCTTGCTTGAGTTGAACTCGCCTTTCCCTCATCATCCCATCCGTCTCACTCACCAACCAACTCTCTGCTATGGACTACATTCATTTCGGAATCTGGTCTTCTGGAATCTGGAATGTAGGCCACTGCCACACATAGAAATATATATCCGTATACCTATGTACGTATACTCCTCTCTGCCATTCTGCCAAGTAGTCAATCCTTTATTTCCCAACAGGAGAGCTCATTCCAACATCTCTTCTGCCATGCAATGAGTCCGTGTGTTTAGAGGAGGTGGATATTATGGCCTTTCCTGGTTGAGATATGACTCTCGATCATGATACAAAAAAAAAGTTGTGGTCTGATCCCACACTAAAAATATGAGCATGAGGAATTGGAGTATAATTTGAATAGGAGACAAGGTTGGAGGTTTATATTAGGAAACAATATTGTGTACGTTGGTAAATTTATACCCACCGAACCACCAGCCACCCGTTAATGATGATCTATAGCAAATTTTCCCTTGTACGACTTGACGGTGAACTTTGTTGAATTTCTTGTTTGTGATTTGTTTCCGAGTTTTTCTATATATACCTCCACTCCTCCACGGATTTAGAATCGGGGTCTATTTTTAGTCAAATGAGAATGAAATCCATCTCTGTGGTCTGCTATAAATAAATACGTTCGTCCTCACAACATCAATCCAGGAACAACAACATTAAATAAAACAGGTCGGAGTGGGTAGTCGATAACTCGATTCGTTCGATAAGATAGGTGGAGAGGAGGATATTATATTAAGATGTACGCATGCAAGAAAGTGCGGTCTATATACGCCGCCTCCAACTTGTTTACTTGCTACTTTTTCACTCTTTATTTGACCCAGTCTTGGATTTTAAATTGGAAAATGTTCATTATTGCACTAATTTGCTAGCATATTTACTCATATAAATTCAGTATGGTAAGATTATGCTCATTGTCATATTACTTTTATTTAAACAAATAATTTATCGACTTGATCAACTTTGAAAGCGACCAATATATATAAATTTCAATTATGTAGAAATGCAAATAGATAGAAATTTGCTACTTCAAAAATATAGTCAACATTTGGGTGGAATGTGGATTAGAATTAGACGTGTGTATGCAGATAATGTAACAGGTAGATATACATATGTTGAGGTTAACACAATATACCATGATTTATGGCACATTTTCCCAATAACAATTGAAAATACGGAAATAATCACAACAAAACCGTAATAAAGCCTGCATTCAGCCTGCTGGTGGTTATTACATAAAGTCTCCCACAACACATAAAGTCAACAAGGAGTAGGCTCCTCTATCAGCCATTCCCTCCTCTGCAAATCCTGCCTTTAAACAAGGAAGTCGCCAATTCTGGGTTGGGAGAAAGGAGAAAAGGAAACCAATATTGAGAGTGATTCGATAATAATATAATAATCATAATAACGGGAAGCTGTGCGGGACGGATGAAGGTAAGCCATGGCAGACGAGCAGACTTTTATCATCTAGAGTATCAAGGTGTGGTCCTTCTCCAGAATCAGCCTCGCTAAGGCTGATCCACGTGCTAACATAACCAACTTTTCTTGTCAGGAAATGAAGTGAATTGATTTGAATGGACCATAAAATAAAACAAACAAATATTCTCCCGACACACTTTTTGAGCAATATTTCTTCCAAATTTCCAAAGCGTATCATGTATCAAATCCAAATCTTTATAAGTAAGGACTTCTTATAAGAGTACATACTTCAATGCAAGGGGATTGCACTTGGGGGATTAATTTCATGTTAATATAGGTTGTGCCAGTAAGGAATTTTCACTCTTGCAACGTTAACAATGAAGTGATAATTTTTCGAACTTTCCAAGACTTATTTTACAAAATTCGATTGAACGGACAAAACCAATGTATAGTAACATCAAATTAATCATCCCTTGAGTGAAAGCACATAAATGGAATAATCAGAAAATACATTGATAAAACTTCTACAGAGCTTATTTAGACTATGCTAAAGACATATATTTTGCAATTGTCTAAATACTTGTAGTTGTGCGTCGAAAGATTAATTTAGTAACGTTTGGGCTAGATTTTAAATTGTGAAAAGCTAATGAGTTTTTGAATAATTGATGATGCCATTAAGTCCATTCATGAGACCTATGTGCATATATTCTGCGAAAGAATTGAAGCTAAAATAATACTTTCTCCCCACTTTCCATACAGCCGATCCTAATTTATGTCCTATTCCTACTCCTTCAAGTTTTCGAACAAATCGTTACAATTTCGTAAACTTTATTTTCATCCGCTCAACTCACATTTCTTACCTTGTCAGACCGCACCGACATTTCTATTTGCTGATTGCATTACAATCCGACCATCTGACATGACCATGTATGTATGTAGAACTCTATGTAGCATTAAAACGAATGGATCCGCTTTTAGAGATATGTTTAACACATGAATAAAAGAAATATCAATCACAATCATCGTGGGGGAGTGGTTCCCTACCAACTTCAACTTACATTCAATCAGATCAAAGACAGTAACGTGCCCTTTCCT